AGCAGCGGGTGGCTGCCATGTGGGACCCTCCGCTGGTGTCCGGGGAGCAGCTGGGGATCGAACCGGCACTGCAGAGGCTGCGGGCAGCTTCGCAACCCTGTGCTCAACCGTTGCGCCACCGGCGAGGCCCTAATTTTGTTTTTTTAATATTCCACAAGCCATAAGATGAATTTGTCTTTCTCCATCTGACTTATGTCACTTAGTGTAACACCCTTAAGGTCCATCCATGTTGTTGTGAGTGGCAACATTTCATCTTTTTTATGACTAATATTCCATTGTGGTATACCACATCTTTTCCAATTCATCCATCCATGGACACTTAGGTTGTTACATATCTTGGTTATTATAAACGGCACTGCAGTGACTATAGGGGTGCAAACATCTTTTCAAATTAATGTTTTTATATTTTCCAGATAAATACCCAGAGTGGAATAGCTATGTCAGACAATATTTCTACTCAATTTTTTTTTGAGGAGTCTCCATGTTTTTCCTATTGTGCCTGCAGCAATTTATATTCCACAAATACTGTATGAAGGTTCCCTTTTCTCCATATCCTCTCCAATGCTTGTTTCTTGTCTCTTGGATAAGTATCATTCCAATAGGTGTTAGGCTCTCATTGTGGTTTGGTTGTATTTCTGTAATAATTAATATTGGACATATTTTCATGTCCTTATTAGCAATGAAAATGTCTTATTTGGAGAAACACTCAAATCCTCTACCCATTTTTAGATGGATTTTTGTTGTCTTTCTGAGTTCTTTACATATTTTGGATATTAAAACCTTACAGATGTATAGTTTGCAGATATCATCTCCCATTCAGTAGTCTTCCTTTTTGTTTTGATGGTTTCCTTCGCTGTGCAAAAAACTAAGTAATCCTGTTTATTTTTGCTTTTATTTCTCTTACCATTGGAGTCAAATCCAAAAACGTCACTGAAACCAATGTCCAGGAGCTTACTGCCTATGCTTTTTCTGTTTTATGACTTTAGGACTTATATCCAGGTCTTTAACCCATTTTAAATTTTGTGTATGGTGTAAAATTACAATCTAATTTCATTTCATCTTGATCCAACCCTTATCAATTGGTATTTAGATTATTTCCCTGTCCTGATTATTATATATCTTGCTGCAATAAACATTGTAGAATAGAGTTTTTTTTGATTGGTGGTTTCATGTTCTTTGGCCAGATGCCCAAGAGTGTGGTTGCTGGGTCATAACAGTATTGCCATTTTTAGTGTTTTAAAGGTAAATCCAGATCACTCCATAATGACCATTGTGATTTTAACTTGCTTCTCTCTCATCAGGAGCAAAGGTGAATATTTTTTCCATGTATCTATTGGCCTTCTGGCTATTCTCCTTAGTGAATTGTCTAGGTCTGCTTCCATTTTATTAATAGGGTTGTTTTTCTATTGGATTCTGTAAGCTTTTTAAAATATGTATCTTTGCTGTTAACTCTCAATCTTACATGACTTTAAGTTTGGTTTCTGGAGAATTGTCATTTACTTTCCGTGATACCATGTTTCTGTGATTTTTCATATATTTGATGAGTTGTTTCTCTGCCAGTGTATTTGTATTTCTTTTTTTTTTGTTTAAGATTTTTATTTATTAATACAAGCACTGGGTATAGTCAGAAGCATGGGAGGGTGAGAGAATTCAACAGAGGCAGAGCGGGGAACAGAACAGAGCAGGCAGACCGATGAAGTACACTGCTGAGGGGAGCAGCGGGCGGCAGGAGAGGTCTGCGCGCCATGTAGGACCCTCGCCCAGTGCCCGGGCATTGAACCGGTGCTGCAGAGGCTGCGGGCAGCTTCGCAACCCAGTGCTCAATTGCTGCACCACGGGGGAGGCCCTTGTATTTCTTATTTAGGTAATCTTTATTTTTGATTCTAACAATTCAACAGGTGGGTTAATTAGAGACCTTTTTTTTTGTGTTTCAGTAGGTGGCATTATTACACAAGTTTGTGGTTTCTGTTACCTGAGCTGCTGCTCCTCTTATATTTTAGGGGTGCTTTTGCAAATCAGGATTGTTTATGGTTTCATATAAATTTCAGCATTTTTTTGTTCAATTTCTTTGAAAAGTATTATTTGTATTTCAATGGGGATTGTGTTAAATTTATATATCATTTTGAACAGGATAATCATTTTGGCTATACTGAGCATAGGGTATGCCTCCACCTTCTTGTGTTGCTTAGAGTTCTTGTTGTATAGGTCTTTTACCTCCTTAGATTATTTCTGAAGTATTTAATTCTTTTTGAAGCAATTCTAAATGGGTTATTTTCTTGATTTATCTTGCATCATGTTCATTCTTTGTGTATAAAAAGACTATGGATTTTTCTGTGTTGATTTTGTAGCCTGCAACTTTGCTGTGTTCACTTATTGTTTTTAATAACTTCTTGATGGAGCCTTTAGGATTTTCTCCATATATCATCTGTGAATCACGAGTTTCACCTCTTTTCCTATTTGGACTCCCTTTTTATTTTGTTTTCTCTTGTTTTATTTGTGTGCTTCCAACATTGTGTTTTCGAGCTCATTAATTTTCTCCATTGCTTCTGTTTGGTTGCTTTTGAGGCCCTCAGCTGAAATTTTAATTCAGCTATAGCATTTGTTAGTTCTTATTTCTAACTGCAGCCACCTCATATTTTCTTTATCTTTATTCTGCTGTTTTATATTCTCTATTCCCCGCCCCCACCCCGAGTTCCTTAAGCTTTGTTAGACTGTTACCTTGAACTCCTTTTCAGTTCCGTTCTGCAGTTCTGGTGCATTGAGACTCCTCTCAGGGTCTTTTTGCTCCAGCATTTGTGCTGTGTTCTGTCTCCTCATTTTAAATTCTTTATGGGTTTGAATAGAGACAGACTTTCAGACTCTTGTCTCTGTACCTGTTGAAGTAATTGGAGAACTGGTACTAATAAAGGGTAGTAGGTAGAAAAGAGGACCAAAGCAGGGGCAACAGAGGATCACCTCCAGTAAACTCAGCAATTCAAGTTTGCTATTGTGCTATGGTTACTCGGTTGTGTGGTGGGAATTCACAGTGATCCCTGCCTCCAGGTCAGCTCCTTGGTCTCAGTGTCTCTTATAGTCTCGTTAGGGAGCCTATTTAAGATGCACAGATGTGTGGATTGCTCTAGCATCTTGGTGTATTGAAACTTGTTGAGTTATGGAGGTCCTACTAGTTGTAGATTGAAAAAGAGAGACAAAGGGTGTCTCATGCTGCCATGATACTGATATCACTGCATAGCTGATGTCCACAAAAGTGAGGAAGGAGAACACAAGCAACTCTTGTAGTCCCTGCCCGGTGAAAGGTAGCTATGGGCCTGAAATACCGTATTTAGAGTGAAGAACAGAATTCAGCCCCCTGGACTCCCAAGTGACCATGAGGGTGCTGCATGGAAGAGTGCCATGATCGTTGTCCCATCTTTCTGCTGCTCTGTTGTCCCTAGCCTACTCTTCCTGTGCCCTCAGTAGGCATGGAGGGGACAGGGCCTTAGTGCCTCAGTGAGGCCTGTGGTCTGTTACTAACTCAGAGGCTGTGTAACACTGGACTCCCTGGCTCTGGAACTTGGCATCTGGCATGCTTTCAGTGAGGAGGAATAAAGGGCAGAGTCCTTGACCAGAGGGACTTGGAACATTGACTAGGAGATGGAACAGGTTTTTGTATCCCACCTGGCACCCTAGGTTTCTTTACTGCTGGTTTCTTCTTGTCCTTCCTTAATTCCCAGGAAGCAAGAGGGACCAAGAATTTAGGTCAGCTTTGCTGAAACATCTTTGAGACGCTGAGAAAGGGACCCAGACAGCAAAGGCCTATGGTGCCACCCAGGGTGATACTTCACTAGGGTGAAGTATCCCTGGACTGGCTGCTGGTGTGAGGGAACTACTCATTGCAAGACAACTTGATTTATGAAAATAAAAGGAATTTTATGTAATGAAGATGAAAAAAGATGGCGAGAAGTCACTGTCTAATTTATAAAAATAAATTTAATTATGTCATTTACAAAGGAATTTCTTTTAGGGTGCCTTTAAAAATGTATGCGCCTATCCTACCTTTAGTTATTCAATTTAGTAAGGAATTTACCAGCTTTTTTTTTCATGAAGGTGGAAGAGATGGCAATTATTATATGAAGTGTGAAAATCTATAGATGAATTGGGTTACTCTCCAGAGGGCCTATACAGATGTACTTGCTTTTCTGAATTATCCTTACTGCCACTTAGGTTTAAGTCATAAAAATTAAAAACTAAGAGACTTTAGTGAAGGAAAAAGTGTTCTTCCCTTGTTTGGATCCTTCTCAGACAGAAGCAGTAACTCTTGACCAAATCCCCTTTATATGCCCATAACTTTCAGATGTCTCTCTAGTCCAAACCCAGACTTGTTCACATAAGTGCCTGTTAAGCACCTCTGCTTGGATGTCTGAGCTGAACTACTGAACTTCCACCACTTCTGTTCCATCTGCAGCTTTCCAGTCTCAGTGGCTAAGATAAAGACCTGACAACTCTCATTTGATTGCTGACTTCAGATTTCAGATACTTTAATTTCCTGGCCTGAATAACATCCTAACTGACCTACCTGCTTCTGACTTTGTTCCTCTACAGCTCATTTCAATAGACCAGACAGAGACATCCATCACACATGAGCCAGATGGTGTCTCTCCCCAACCCTAAAGCCTGCAATGGCGCCCCACTGAGCTCAGAATGAAAGCCAGAGTTCCTAGAATGGCTTTTAATGGCCTATGTGAGATGTGCTTGGGCTGCTTCTCTGACTCCTTTCCCTCTTACTCATTCTGCTGCAGCCATGCTGGCTTCCTTGCCATTTCCTGAGCATACCAAATGTCCTCGACCAGAGGGACCTGGAGCACTGGTCAGGAGGTGGAACAGATTTTTTGCCCCTCCCCTGGCCCATGGTTGCACAACAAAATGAATGTAGTTAATACCACTGAACTGTACACTTAAAAATGGTTAAGATGGCAAATTTTAAGTTTTTTTATTATATATATATATAAAAGAAATGACAGAACACTAGACTGAAGTTAAGGCAATATTTATTCAGTTTCATTGCAACCCTGTTATCTAAGGCATCAGAGGCGGTTATTTGGCAATGATAAAATTCCTTTTCAAGGTCTTCTATAGTTGGATTTTAGTTCAAATATATATCTGGTGCAAATGAGAGAACTTATTCTGGCATGGGCTCTCATTCGTGATGAGCTGATCTTTGCCTCCCCATCCCTTGATCATACTCAAGTCACGTCCAGTGGCAGTGCTTGTCCAAGTGCAGTCGGCGTGGGTGGGCCACAGGGCTGTCTGTGTGGCTCAGGCCATGCGCTCAATGATGACAGCGATACCCTGGCCACCTCCAATGCAAGCGGATCCAACAGCATATTTTCCACCTCGACGCCTAGAAAGGCAAGCAGCGGCTCAAGTTTATTTGTATACAGGATTGACAGAATTAGATAATTAAATAGAAGTAATAGAATTAATAAGTCACATCTGTATTATTCACTTTCATTCAGCTCATCGCCTCAATCTTTTTCTATATCCTAATATTGCTTTATAGTCATAACAGGAGAATTTCAAAAGCTGATTATTTGAATGGGAAAAAAAATAACAGAAGAGTGAGACTGAAACAAAGATACAAGCTCAGATGTGCTGTGACAGGGAGTTGAGGGAGGAGAGTAAATATTAAACTCCTTTGATTTATACGGCTTTAGATTTTTATGGCACCTTAGCACCTTAGAATAAGTATAATTAGTGAAGTTTGTCTGTATGAAAGGGCAGATAATTTAGAAGCACTACACATCTTATTCAGAAAATCAGAGTCCTTTAATGTACCATCTGTTCTCATTCCTCAGTCCTGATAGAATGACCTTGACAAAACCATCCAGGAATTATTTTTGTGCACGTCAATTACTCATTTCAACTCGGTGAATCACTAAGTGAATCAGAGTCCCATTTACTTCATATAACAGGGAGCTAGAGTGATTTTTAGCCTGATATATTTGGTTTCATTTGCAATTTTCCTAGTAACAGAGCAAAACAGACTAAAATATGTAGTACCAGAAGGAGGAGCTCTTCTATTAAAACGGGAAAGTATTCAGTACACGGAAGACTCCTCCTGAAACCCCAGAACAGTGAAAGAAAAACTTACTGAGATCCAAAGTGCTGGTTTGCTTAGGTTTCTTAAACGACACTATCTCATCAGAACCTTCTCAGTATTGTTTTTCTTAACTGGTTTCCCTTAATTGATACGGGGGCATGCACTATGGTACCCAGGGCCTGAGTACTTGCTCACTGACTGAGCACACCAAATGTAAAGAAGAATGTGCATCCCAAGAGCAGAGATAGTAATAACTCAACTGAGTCATCTATAAGGTCAGCTGACAAGGGGCGTCCAAATCACCTGCTCCCAGTGAGAAGCAGTCCAGGGGTATATGAGGAGAATACTGAACAATGTTGCCTATTCTGGGGATGCCTAAATTTTCACATTTCTATATACAATGGCAAATCTGAAGTACAACAATTTTAGCAAGTACCTTAATTCATGAACCAGGTGTGACATGATTCTTGATCCTGATCCTCCCAATGGGTGACCCAAAGCAATGGCTCCTCCATTAACGTTGGTTTTACTTGGGTCAAGATCCAAACTTTTCTCAACTGCTAAGTACTGGGGAGCAAAAGCTTCATTCACCTAAAAAAAAAAGGAAACTGATAAATACCTTTATTCACTTAATAAAAGTCACTTAAACTGACCTTTTTTTTTTTTTAAAGATTTATTTATTTATTTATATAAGCACTGGGTACAGTCAAAAGCGCGGGAGGGTGAGAGAATTCACCAGAGCGGTGAGCAGAGCAGGCAGAAGGACCGAAGTACACTGCTGAGGGGAGCAGCAGGCGGCAGGAGAGGTCTGCGCGCCATGTGGGACCCTCGCCGGGGTCTGAGGATCTAACCAGTGCTGCAGAGGCTGCGGGCAGCTTTGCAGCCCAGCGCTCAACTGCTGTGCCACCAGGGGAAGCCCACTTAAACAGACATTTAAGGGACTTTTTTAGTCCTATCGATAGATAAAATTTTGCTGTTTTTTTCCTATTTAAATTCAATCATTCTTTGTAAAGTTTGAAAATAGGTATAATTACTATAATTACTAAATGCACTCTGTAGAGGAAAGAAATCCTCAGAAATACTACAAATGGATACCTCCATTGCAGAAAACCCCCAGGTTCTGGAGCTAGAGGAGTGGCTCCTGACCCTCTTGCCACTCAGGTGTCCTCAATGGTAGAAATATGTAGTATCACCCTGAAAGTATTGTCAAGGCTAAATAACATAGGCGTTAAATGTCTAGTGTATTACTTAACACATAGCAAGTATTCAGCATATGGTTGCGAGTATGATTGCTATCCAATGCTGCAAAGCCATTCTCCCAAGAAGAAACGGACAAAGGATAAACCTTGGGAGCCAGATGGGTAACTGAGCCCTAAATGTGGAAACTGCGGCAGAAATGAAAGTATCTTGTTATATTATACTTACAGGATTGGCTATGAGAATTACCATACTTCAACTTTATATATGATCTTAGAGGGAGAATTTTAGAAAACTGATTTTTTTAAAGATTTATTTATGCATACAAGGGCTGGGGTATGGGTCAGAGGTATGGGGGAGTGAGAGGATTAACCAGAGACAGTGGGGAACAGAACAGGCGGATTGACAGAAATACACTGCTGAGGGGAGCAGCCTGCGAGTCAGGAGAAGTCTGCTGCGCTGTGTGGGTTGCTCCCTGGCCGGCTGGGGATCGAACTCGTGCTGCAGTAGCTGTGGACAGCTTCATAGGTTGCGTCTTAACCCCATGCGCCACTTGGGAGGGCCCAGAAAACTGATTTTAAGGAAGTTTAACTTTTTCTGATTTTGGATCAAAAGCCAGTATTGTGTTTTTTCCTACTGTATTTTGTGCCCTTCCATGGTGTCTTATTTGTCCGTAGGTCCAACATTATTTTCCTGTTTTTATAATTACATTCAAGGAGGTAGTAAGAGACCTAGGATATGCTGGGGAACTAGGTTTTTGAAACTATGAAAAATCACTGCACTATCGTCAAAAGTCCCAAAGACAATCACATCGGGGTGTTGAGAGCTACGTCCTCAGGTATTTATAAAAATCTATTAAAAAGCACAGCAGAGCTGATCTATTTCAGTAGTTTTCAGTGGTATCTAATGGTAGATACCTATTTGATAATACAACTCAAGCAGACCCCTTGAGTTCTGGACTGTGATTGCCTAAGAATAGTAGAAGAGATGTAAAGGTATACTATTTGAAACCATGCTTTGCTAGGCAAGAGATTACCACCAAGTAAATCACATATGTGATCTCTACACATTAATTGAAGTAGAGATTTCATTGTTATAGTAGTTACTTTCCAATGTCAAGCAGCATGTGCTTAATTACTGAAATTTTTCAAATACTCTCCAGGTACAGAATGTACCAGAATCGATCTCTAAGTATTTTCTACTTCTTCCCCCTTTTAAATTGTGCTAATATTTGAGATGACTTTGTTCTAAACTAACATTAAAAATAAATCATCCTAGGGCCTCCCTGGTGGCGCAGCAGTTGAGCGCTGGGTTGCGAAGCTGCCCGTGGCCTCTGCGACGCCGGTTCGATCCCCGGCTGCTCCCCGGCCACCAGAGGAGGGTCCCACATGGCGCGCAGACCTCTCCTGCCGCCCGCTGCTCCCCTCAGCAGTGTACTTCGGTCCTTCTGCCTGCTCTGCTCCCCGCTCTGGCTCTGGTGAATTCTCTCACCCTCCCACGCTTCTGACTGTACCCAGTGCATGTATAAACAAAACAAACAAACAAACAAACAAATAAATAAAAACATGCCTCTATAAAAAAAAAAAAAATTTAAAAAAAAAAAATAAAAATAAATCATCCTACTAGTAAATTTACCATTCCAATACCAAGTGTGTTCAAATCAAGCCATAGCTATGGTGTAAAAACCAAAAGTTGTAAGTAAAAAGTAATAAAGGACAGGGTTTTACCTTGGGAGGAAAGCAAGAAACTTCTAGATTTGGCATCAAATACTGTTTTTCTATTAGGTCAATTTCCTTTTTATCTGTATTTTTTCACTTTAATTCATAAAACTTGGTTAAAGTTATTTCTTACCCACCTTACGTAATCATCAATTCAATAAGCACATCAATAGTCTAAAATATAATGGGATCTTATAAGATCTTAGGAGTTTCTAGGAATTTATATTCTTCTAGGAGACACCAAGTTATTTTAATTAGTCAAGTATAAAGCATTTTAATCTGGTAAGGGGAAGTACCAACATAAGGCATGTAATGAAAGGAATACGTACTTACATGGCCATCATTTAGTAAGGTTAATGGTACTAAAAAAGAGCTATAAAATAGCAGAGTAAATTCACATGTGCTATGGCTTGTTCATGTTGTAAAAGATAAAATCCTTACCTCCACCAAGTCCATGTCTTTAAGACTCAGTCCTGTTTTCTTCAGTGCCCCAGTGATAGCAGGGACAGGACCTATATAACGAACAAAAATCAGAGTTTCCTTTTGTACTTATTTATGTTTAAGTTTCTGTTGCTTTACTAAATAGGCAAGAAGGATATAATACGGTAATTATTAGTAACCACAGATCTTGCTACAGTGACAGTATACTATAAATGATGTGACAATAAGGGTATAGAACATGGGACCAAAGGGATAAGCTGTTTATGCAGTTAAATTGCAAATAAGGAACTTAAATGTAAGAATCTACCAAAAATGGTTCCTTGAGTGCAAATAGCCAAGGAGTCACATCCGGGATTTTTGCAGTCACTTATAAACCAGATTTAATACCAAATGGCAAGGCAGAATCATGCTCTCCTAGGACACAAACAATATGCATTCCTAGTACAGATGTGATTATCACTACACTTTGAACTCCCAGGCTCACTTGGACAAAAGGCAAGAAATAGCATCTCCATATAAGTACAGCATGGTAGGAAGCTTGAGGCACTTTAGGGAAAAGAGATCTAAAGTAAGGGGGTGTTTATAGCATGATGGTTGACAGGGAATTTATACAAATTTATACAAAATAAACCCTACTGAAGAAATACTAACCACCTAATAAGATTCTGAAACTTTAGCTCCCAGATTTCTGATGATTACTAATGGCAGTTTAATACTGCTCATAATTTTTAATAAATTGGTATTGGCTAGAGAAGAATATCCACTACTACTAATAAAGAAATGTGGTATGTTCTGTTGAATTCAAGTAAATATTCAAGTTTCATAAATATACCTAAGGTAAAATGAGAGTCAATTTTTTTAATTAAAGCATAGTAAAATCTAAATACAATGTGATTCATTTTGTTGATGAGTTAAAATGTTCTTTGGACACCAATCTGTTGATTGGTTAGGGTTGTCCAGTTAATGCTTCTCAATTTAAAGCACCATTTCTACACTGGCTACTGATTTAATACAGAATTGAATTCCAAATTCTCTTTGTTTCTCAAGGGTGTTAAAATGGGATGCATAGTCACTAATAATGCACCCGTAATCCAGCATGGTCAGAGGCTGAAGTATCCTACAGGGTCAAAGAACTAAAACCTGAGGTGTCAAACTACTGCATACTGTACATCTTCCCTGTCTTCATAACGACAGAAAACATCACTCAATGTGCACATGTTAACTCAGAATCCTTAATAGACAACTGTAATGATATGTTAGGTCACAATTAGATTTTTAATGGATTTTTGCCCATACTACTTATTTACTGAGACTCAAGAAGGTAAACTCTTCTGGCTGGGGAAAAAACCTGTGTCCCTCCTAGGAGCCATTACTGTTACTTCAAGTCCTGGTTTTCATACCTTCCCCTCTTCCTCCCCCAACATTTTAGTTGCCCAGTATGTACTTGGTACTTTCCTTTCTCCCCCCTCCACACCTCCTCCAGAAATTTCTGGGTATGCAACAACTCTAGGTCTAAGGATTGCTCTACACTGGATAACTGAGTAACTGAGGAAGAACAGGGTTGACAAACCAATCTTTACCAGATACTCAACAACTCAACAGTTCTCCTTCGTTTGTTCATCTGATGCACTTCCTACAGAACAATGAGGAACTATTAAAATTCAGCATCATCTGTGGTTCCGAGAAGTATATCCAACAGAAAGCTTTTCCTTCTCCTAATTCATAACTTTCAAGTCGAGATCATACATGTTCACAAGGAGTTTCAGTTTTCTCTCAGGTATTTTCTCCTGTTAGTATCTTGCCAATTGAAATACATTGTTTTTAATATTTCATTTTCCTATAAGCCTCAGGTAAGCCAGTGACTGTTACTTTGACTTCCTGAGACAACACAGTGGAAAGAGACTGGAGTTAGAAACCTGCTTTCCTCTCATGGCTCCATCATTTTTTGCTTTGGAGACCTGAATTCACATCATGGCTCCTTCATTTATTGCTCTGCACATTTACAAGACAGTCTACCTATGCCTCAATTTTCTCATTCATAAAGACTTCTCAGAGTTGTGGGAAGATTGAATGAGATACATCAATGATCATGTGTTAAGTAAACACCTAGTAGGGTGTTCTTTATCTTCTCCACACAATCTTCTCTGTTCTGCCCCGTGATTTTTCCCATTTCCATCTTGTTAGAACTGTGTAATCCTGTTATTTTCTGCGCATTAATTTATATTATCTCAAAAGGACAATAAGACATGACTGTTGCCCACAAGGAATTCACAGTCTTGGTTTTCCTGTAATGCCTAGTACAGTTTAGTTGTTTAAATGACTTACTACCAATGTCTTTTTCTCTACAAAGGACCTTAATTTGGTTGCTTTGTCAGAAATCTGAATGCCTAAAATGATTTATTTCCAGAAATATAATAGAACCATTTTTTTGGTGTTTTTTTTTTTTTTGCTATAAACTTACCAATACCCATGATAGAGGGATCACATCCAGACACAAAATGGCCCACAATTCTGGCCAGTGGTGTGAAGTTATGTTTCTTAACTGCATCTTCACTGGCTATAATAACAGCTCCAGCACCGTCAGATACTCCCTAGAAACAAAAACAGAAGGTTACCTAGATGGCAGAAGCTCTAGGTAATCAAAATTGGAACTAATGGAATAGTATGATGCACATAGAAAGCAGTGCCATAATTTGGAAAATAAAGTAGTACTAGTGTACTCTTAGGGAGTTAGATTATTTTAGGCACAGACCTTCACGAAGCTTGCACAACCTTAACATAGGAAAGACTATCAAGGAAAAGCCTACATCCAGATGTAGTTAGAGGTAAGATGAAATCCGATGAGTTGGATATGTGAGGAAAAAAGAAAACTGAAATAAACCAGGCAGATTTCCTAAAATTCTGGAGAGACTAAAAATTGGAAGATTATTATATAAAGGCCCCTAACTAAAATATTTTGTTTTGGATTATGTAAACCCAATTTAACAGATTATGAACACTATTAGCTTAAGCGAAATAAAGACTGGCATGAAAAGTACCAAAAAGGTAATGTATGACAACTTTGCACTGAACAATCAGGAAGAGTTCAAGATGCCCTGTGGTGCTACCTACCGATGCGTTCCCTGCAGTAACTGTTCCTTCCTTCTTGAATACTGGAGGAAGTTTATTTAACTGTTCCAGGGTGGTTTGGGGTCGCGCATGCTCATCTATTTGCATTGTCTGTTTTCCTTTCCTAGTCTTCACCTCAATTGGTGCCATCTCATTGTTAAAATAGCCAGCATCATTAGCTGAAATAGTAGAAAGACTATCATAAGATTGGGGAAAAAAGAAACAAGAAATGAAATCAAGTATATCCTTTCATTTAACTTCTGGTCTACCTTTCTTTCCTTATAGTCTACTTTAATAGAACTTTTATTTTTATTTATTTATTTATTTATTTTGGTGGGACCCTCGCCGGTGGCCGGGGAATGAACCGGCGCTGCAGAGGCTGCAGACAGCCTCGCAGCCCAGCGCTCAACCGCTGCACCACCAGGGGAGGCCCAGAACTTTTATTATTTATACTACTTATTTTGCTTATTGGAGGATTTAATATACTGTTATATAGCTATGTAGATGGATTCTGCACCTTTTTTAAATTACAATTTGTATTGTTTTTACTATACTTTGTCTTGACAAGGTACTACCAGACTGTTGGCAGTGGTTGCCTGTTACATTATTGATGTAATGGCACTGAATGGATTTAATGCCCTTTTTTAAACTTCTATGGGTGAGGGTATAAGTAATTTTAAGGCTGCCAAGTGGCACCTATAGTCAACAATAATATACTGTAGACTTAAACATTCAAGAGATTAGAAGTGCTCTTCTCACAATAAGAAAAATTATCAAGTTGTCTATGTCACCAAGTAATCTATGGCTGAAATTTAATGACAGGCAACCTTCAAGTATGAGCTATTACTGATAAGTTGTAAGTAAAACAGCTGACCTACTTCTAACTCCAATGATTAGAATGGACTACAGTAATCTACAGCTTCAGAAAAAAGACACATTAGGAATAACACCACCTTCATTTGGTATCACTTTATAGCAGGTTAAACACTTAATTGCTTTTTAGAACAACTCTATTAGGTAAACAGAAAGAGAAAATCCTTTTTTTAAAAAAAAATTTATTTTTTATGCATACGAGAGCTGGGGTACAGGCCAGAGGTGCAGAGTGTGAGAGGATTCACCAGAGACAGAGTGGGGAACAGAACAGGCAGAATGACTGAAACACATTGCTGAGGGGAGCAGCGGGTGAGACAGGAGAGGTCTGCTGCACCATGTGGGCTGCTCCCTGGCCAGCTGGGGATTGAACTCATGCTGCAGAGGCTGCAAATTGCTTCATAGTGTGGTGCTTAACCCCTTGCGCCACCAGGGAGGCCTGCAAATCCTTTTTATTTCTATTGTTAGAAATATTTATTTTACAGGTGCTCAGTGAACAAATGACTTTATTGAAGTCAGATAACTTTATGTGGCAAAGTTAGAAACAGAACAGATACTGATCTCTAATCAACATCCTGCCACTGTAATGAATAACTAAAAACATGAGTTGGATGCCATCAGCTCCATTTCGCTTTTCCCTCTGAAGACGGACTTTATCCCCTGTATATCACGGCTTTTCTTTTCTTTTTTTCCCCACATTTTAAAGGGACAGGTTTATTAGGAAAAAAAGAAAAAGAGAGGGCCCTACATAGTCACAGGTGGGCAGGAGAGCTGCCTCCATGTCTTTATTAATACCTCAAAATGAGGAGTATTAGCTACTATTTTTAATAGTTTAATTTTAATGACTTTTTTCCACTAACCATGCTGATCAAAGGACTACCGCTTCCTTCATTGTTCCTCTGGCACTGGTGGAACAGCAGCATGCATGTCTCACAAGGGCACTGTAACCAAGATCCTGGAATTGTTCTAAGTCTATGAGTTGGGTGCAATGATTCTGTTAGGAATGGGAGGGGAAGACCCTGGGGGTCTTTCCAAACATATGGTCCCCTCCTCATGACTATGGTATGCTTCTCGGGAGGGTGTCCTTGCTGTCCAGTTACCCCAGGACCCATCATCTCCAATGGAGTATACCACAACCCTCAGTGTTCCACCGAGAACAGGGTCATTCTGGGACAAAATTCAAGTGTTCAGATAGGGTTAGTTAACAGTTATACTTTCTAAGTAATGTTAACATATTTCAAAAGAGAAATTTCCAGTTAGTTTTGTAATTAATGGGATATCTGATCATCTGAAAACAAGACATGATTGAAAAAATGATTTTCAAAAGGTATAATTTTAAGGTAATATATACTGAATGATAAAACTCTACTACAGTTTTTTCCCCCTAGAGATAGTTTAAAATTCAATTTCACTGACCAGCTTTCCACCTCTGCTGTGACTGCAGGGCATATTTGTCACAGTCTTCTCTGCTTATTTTATGTTTTGATGCAAGATTTTCTGCGGTAATTCCCATGGGGAGTTGGATGTGTTGATCTGTTAATCCTGCCCACAAAGTATCTTCCAGCTATTAAAAGATATGAAGAAATCTGTTAGAGCATATCTTTTGAAAATAATATGCTATATTTCTTTAAATTTAAATGGTTAACAATTCCAGTAAACAAAAGTAAAACTAGATTTTTTGATAATCATTTACTATTATGACTATTCATACTTTCTACTGGGACTGTTTTTAAAAAACATTCAACATGGTAGTACAAAACATTTTCTCCTCTCTCTCAAATGTGGGGTGCTAAGGAGGGCCAGCAATGTGCCAAACACATGCAGGGTGAGAAAACAGGTAGCATCTTATGCTACCACCAAAGATGAGCCCTTCATGGTTACGTACTGTGAGGAACCTAACCCTGTGTGTTCTTGCACTGTTTCCCCTCAGCCACCACACTGGGAGCTCTGTAGGAAAGAGTACACCTGTGTTCCTTTTTCATCCATCGCCTTTAATGATAGGGGCCTCTATAGATTCCTATGAGGTTGAAAAGAACCAGGGACAGACTCCCTGAGTGAAGGGAAATTATAATTAGTCTCTGGGAAGTGTGCCATCTGCTTCTTCTAGACTGCTCATTTCCCTATGAATCACTGACCTGTCTTTCCAAAGATTTTTCTCAGATATGAATCTTCATAAATCATGGGTATAGATTTAATTACTTGGTTTACCAATTTAGTAGAGAGATTAATTCAACCTTTGCCTACCTTCTTCCCTTCATCTCCCCAGGTTTCCATTACTAGAGGTGTGCTGAGATAAATCATAATTTTATGTGGGTTAAAATGTCAAAACAATCACAATAGGGTTTTGGAATAGTTAACCTATTTCAAGTTTCTCGCCAGTGTTAACCACCTCTTAACAAAATTGGTTTCGAAGTTAATTTTCTTGTCCCCAAAGTGGTATTAAAATTGTTAGTATAAAACCATGAGAAATAATTTACAAAGAATAAGGTTCCGACCTTAAGATCTACTCCAAACTTGGTTCCAAAACGCGCGTTTCTGACACAGTAGGGAGCTTGGCTCATGCTTTCGGTCCCTCCACACAAGACTACTTCAGCATCTTTAACACAGATCTCCTATTTAAAGACAAATGAATGACAAAAATCTCTCGTTGTAAGAGAAGTATTTATTTAAAAGTATACATTAAAAAGTAAATCTAACAAGTTATGTATCCTAGCTTACAGTGTCTAAAAAGGAAATACTATTGAAGTAAAGGTAAAGTAAGTGCTCAAGAATCCATTCCCAAGATTGGGGGGAGCTAACTGACTTCAGTGGTTTGTCGGCAAGTAACCTATCCTATCTACATGTTCACAAGGAATGGTATTTCTTAATTTGATACGAATCTTAATGTCTGGTATAGATGTACATATGCCAGCAGATAATAAAGAACAAATCCTTTAAAAAGTCAAAAGTCAAAAAAAAAGTCAAAAAAAAAAAAGTCAAAAGTAAAATTTATCCTGTTAATGGATGAACGTGAAGGGGATTTATAACAACTTAGGGGACTCATAAAAAAGGAACATACTTCGTTCTTCTTCCCTTTCCACCATTTGCATCCGAAAAGAAGCAAATAATAAGCCCCAAAAGCCTATGTTAAAAATAATTGCTAGGAAAATCAGGGTCATTAAGATACTCGTTATAGAAATGTGAAAACAATGAATTAAAATGAAAAAAAGAGAAATCATTATAATATGTTTGTCTTTTATTTTGTAATAAAATGAAGACTTTTATTTTGTAATAAAATGAAGGGTATTACTATATCCCCTTTCTCTGTGCTCAAGGGAACAGATGTATTTGCCCAACTAGCCCTTAAAGTGGTCAATCAGGCTAGTTTATACTTCGACCAAGACTATCATTCAGTTTCTTTGTAATAAAATATATTAACATCCCCTAAAATCTCAGCCCTTTTTCTCGCATTATAGTCTTTTATTCAGTATTTCAAATTTTGCCTCTATGGCTTAATACGTTAATGTCTTTTAATATCAGTTTCCTTGCTTGAAAACTGGAATAGTCATAGCTCTTTTCTCATAGAATGGTTGTGAAGACCAAGGGAAACCACTGAATCAGTCTGGCACATAGGAAGCAATAAGTAAAACTGATGGTCATGATCAGTTTTCTAAAAAATTGTGAAAAATGCAATCTAAAATTTATTAATCTGATCAATTTTAAGTGTCTATAGTTTATTAGTACATTCACCTTGTGCAATCAGCCACCATCCATCTCCAACTTTTTATCTTCTGAAACTCTACACATATTAAACTCCCATTCTCTTCTCCCACCCCAGCCCCTGACAACCACCATTTTCCTTTCTGTCTCTATAATCTAACTATTCTAGGTATTGAGTCTAAGCGGAATCATATAGCTTCTGTCCTTTACAATTATTGTAAATGGCTTATTCCATTTAGCATAATTTCCTCAAGGGTCTTTATTAGCTTTAAGAAACTATTTTCTTCCTGTGAATATTTTTCCAAGACTAATAAATATTGACTTTTAATAAGCATTATAAAAAAAACTTATATTGGAGAGGGGCATTTCCTATAATAACTATTAACATATTTTCTGAGAATTAAACAAAATGTTTGTTCATACCTGACACCCGCTCACAATGGACTGGAAGCCAGAGCCACAGAGCCTATTAACAGTGAGAGCTGGGGTCTCTTTTGGAACTCCCACACGTAAGCCAACATGCCTGGCCAAGTAAGCAGCATCTGAAGAACTCTGGAACAGAGAGAAAAGGAATCTTCTCTATAAATCTAGGAACTAATGACAAAAATATACGGAAATGTTGGAATGTTATAAAAAAAAACTAAGATGACACAATACATAAAGCTACAGCATAGTTCTATAAGACAGGTGCTTATGATTTGAATAAAAACTGCAATTTGGTCAATTGGTTTTTAAACACACTGAGAAATCCTTATATTAATTCCTGAATATAAGACAGTTATAATTGGAACTCTTTAAAAAATGGAATAGGCTGTGTCATTGTTTCATGTTCTTCAATAGAAGTATTGGAGGCTGTGGATTCTAACCTTCGCCACACACTGGAATAATTAGGGGAAAAGCTGTACTAACATACTTATAATGGCTCAAGCTCGTATCCAGGTCACACTGGAAAGGGTGGACACAGGGATTAGATATCAGTAGTTACTTTTAAAAGCACATGGGTGATTATGTGAAACTGAGGCTGACCTAGGGAGGGGAGAGATGAATTGCTGGTCAGGAGAGAGAGAATTGGGACTAGACCACTGCTTCCCAAACTTTAAATGCTTACTGAGGGCTGGTCTACCATGTGCAGTGGTGTTTACAATTAAATGCATACTGGGGCATTTTGTCTTCTCCCCTCCCCCCAACTTGTCTCATTTGAATTTCTGGGGTCCCTTATAAAGTCTGCACCCTCATGGTTTAATTTATGTTTAATTTAATATATATAAAGTGAAAAGGAGATTTTCATTGTGCCGATATTTTTAAATAAAAATTTGTCTGTACTGAACTGTTAGTTATGGATACTGTTATTCCACATTAAACCAAACGAGATTTTTCATCCTGGTAACTAAGGTTAAGAAGGAGTTGCATAAATTGTGATTTTTCAACAAGAATTTAAGATGGAGCCCATTTAGAACTGACAAACTGAAATTTGTACTTCAGTTTATTAATATATAGTCAATGTTTTCCAAAAGTGAAAAGCTTCAATATTTTCTTTATTTTTCCTCCACCAAGCCATCCATGCCTATACCCTATCTGCATCTCTCCCTCAGCCCCTCCACTCTTTCTCCTGTTCCCTCTGGTAACCATTATTTCTTACTGAGTTCACATTTTTATTTCTTCTTTGTTTGCGTGTAGTTTTTGGATATTTATATTTTGCAGATTAAGTGAAACCATCCCAAATCTTTCACTTTTTGACTGATTTCATTCAACATAATCCATTTTGTCCCCAAAGCCACCATTTCATCTTCCTTTATGGTTGTTTAATATTCCATTGAATATGTGCCCCACAGTTTCTCAATCCACTCATCTGTAGAAAAGCTCTTGAGTTGGGTCCATGACTGGACTGTTGTAAACAATACTGCTATGTACATAGGTGTAAACAGATCTGTTCATACTGTTTTTCGTGTTATTTGGCTAAATGCCTAAGAGTGCTGGATCAAATGGGATTTGCATTTTTATTTTCTTGAGACCTCTCCATACCATTTTCCACAGGGGCTGTACCAGCTTGCATTCCCACCGACAGTGCATGAGAGTTCCTTTCCTGTTTCACTAAAACCTGGCCAACATTTGTTCATTGTGTTCTTTTTTGATAGGGGCCATTTTCACAGACATGACCTAGGTGGTATCTCAGTATAGTTTTCACTTGCATTTCTCTTATAATTAGTAATGCTGAACATTTTTTCATACGTCTATAGGCCATCTCAGTGTCATTTTTAAAGAAGTGTCTATTGAGGTCCTTTTTGTTGCTTTGATGTTGGTTGTGTAAGTACTTAATAAACTTGGGAGATCAACCCCTTATCAGATGGTAAGCAAATATTTTTTCCCATTCTGTAAGTTGCCTCTTTGTTTTTGTAATGGTTTCTTTTGAGGTACAAAAGCTTTTAAGTTTGATATTGTTGTCTTATTTTTGCTTTTGTTTCCTGTGCTGCTGGGTTATATTCCCAAATACATCTTTATGGTAGATATCCTGTAGTGTGTTCCCTGTATTTTCTTTTGAGTACTTGGTTTCAGTTCTTATGTACAAATCTTTAATCCATTTTGAATGAATTTTAATGTATGATGTTAAAATATGGTTTTATATTTTGCATGTAGCTACCTACGTTTCACAGTACCATTTATTAAACAAGCTATTATTTCTCCACTGTATGACTATAATTCCTTTGTCAAAAATTAGTTGTCCATATTTATATGGATTTACCTCTCAGGTTTCAATTCTGTTCCACTGGTCTCAGTTTCTGTTTTTGTTTAGTACCATACTATTTTGATTACTGTTGCTGTGTAGTATTGGTGCATCTTGTTAAAATATGGGTGGGCCTCCCCTGGTGGCGCACGCGGTTGAGCGCCGTGCTGTGAAGCTGTCCACAGTCTCTGCAGCGCTGGTTTGATCCCAGCCAGCTGGCGAGGGTCCCACATGGTGCGGCAGACCTCTTCTGTCGCGCCCGCTGCTCCCCTCAGCAGTTTGTTCCGCCAGTCTGCCTGTTCTGTTCCCTGCTCTGTCTCTGGTGAATCCTCTCACCCTCCCGCACATCTGGCCTGTACCCCGGTTCTTGTGTGAATAAATAAATAAATCTTTAAAAAAATAAAATATGGGTTCTCAATCAACATGTAAGGACTATCTGAGACACTGTAATTCTAGCCATTTCTCAGATGAATCCCAATGTGGTCCCTGGACCACACACTGAGTAAGAAGGGAAGAAATGCCTTTTTAATCAAGTAACACCTTTTATTATGTAGAGTGCTAAAGCAAATTTAATAAAATGTAAAGAACTGGTCCATCATTATACTATTTTAACTTGTGTACAGGTTTGAAACTTTTCAAACTAAAATTTGATGAATTCACATCTTTTGAAGGTGGACATGGGAGGAGTCCATAATGGAGTTGTTCATGCATGGTCCCTACCTCCACCCACCAAATACAATCCTAAACTCTTCAATGTGGAGTTTCTATCAATAGAGCAGCAGTCATTTGCATTAAGACCACCTCCTCCACTCCCCCTCACCCCCGTCCCTGAAGGAAGATGGTTTTATCTGAAATCTTTTGCTAATAATCTTGTCTTGCCTTTTTACTGTCTATAAATATGCTCCATTTTGTATGAACCCTGGTAGCACCTGAGATGGGATGCTACCCAATTTGATTCATGATTCATTAATAAAGCCATTAGATCTCTCAATTCTGAGTTGTTTTTAACAAACTGAATGTTTCACTTGTTGATTAGGATGACATTTTATGAATTAATGCAATCAAAAGGATTGTTGGTATAAGCGGATATTCTTTTGCCAGGGTTTTCTACTTTGGATTTACTTCTTTTATGCTACTCCTTAATGACCAGATTGATAGAATAGATATTTTATAAAATTAAGCAGTAATTTGAGGTAATGGAAAGAATATTAGGCTAGTTAGCAGATCTGGATTGGAATCTAGACTTTGTCATTCACTAACAGTGTGAACGCTGGATTATCTAACTCTCAAGCGTCTCATTTTGGATGTTATCTACAAGTGGGTTTGTCAGTGCCTCATTTATAAACAAAAGGGGTGTTGTGATTTTGATGGAGTTGTTAGATCCTGGCCTGAGTGATTATTAAGATCTCCAGAAACTCCTTATTCAACTATAACACATTCTTTCTTATATTTTGAATGTGCTCCTACCTGATACCCATAAACCAGATGTCTTCTCCTTTGGCTACTGTTTTCTAGGAAGTAATTGGTATTTTTCCTTTTTTTGTTTACGCCTTCTCTAAGTGCTTCAGTTAAATGATTTAAAATCCATTTTAATGCTAGGAGTTGTGTGGAAAGTTTATTTAGTATAAGAGAAAGATTACTGAACTAGAAGTCAGGAAATTGGCATTCTAGTCCAAGTCTATTTACAGATCACCTGGGTGGAATTGGGCAAATCTTGGCAGCTTCTCTAGAGGTTTCCTCGTGTGTTAGGGAAACTCTGGAATTCTAAAAAACTTTGAGGGTTTCTTCTGGCTCTTTAAGATTCCATAAATCTTACTCAGAACGTACCTTTTCAAAAGTTCCTATTTATTCCTTAATATAAAGCTACTTGGATATGTTAGAATTTCCTAGAAAGGAACATGTAAGAACCTTTAACACTAAGAACTCTAACACCTCTCAAAATAGGCAGGATATACATATATAAGGTAAAAATACAGTTGATTCTCAATATTCATGGATTCCATATTTGCAAATTTGCCTACTTGTAAAAAATGTATTTGTAGCCCTCAAATCAGTACTTTCAGTACTTTTGTGATCATTTGCAGAATGAAGACATTTTAGTTGCCCAGTATGTAGTTTGTACTTTCCTTCCAGAGGATAATGAACAAGGGACACTCTACTTGCTTCACTTCTCATACCATAAATAAGGGGACTTCTTGCAGTTTGTTCAGTGCCATGTTTTCTCCATTTTTGTGCTTTACATTGGTGACTGCTATTTAAAATAGTCTCCAAGTGTAAGGCTGAAGTGCTATCTGGGTGCCTAAGTCTAAGAAGGTTGTGATGTGCCTAATGGAGAAAACACGTATGAGAGAACTTCATTCAGGCATGATAGTGCTTTTGGCCATGAGTTTAATGTTCATCAGTCAGTGACACATATTTAATAAGCTGTCTTTCACTAGAAAAATACATATACAAAGTTATTTATTGATAATTTTGACAAAAATACTGTGAGCAGAAGTTCGTAAGAACCTAATTTTGTATTTCCCCTAGGAGCAGTGGTTCAGTATTTATAATTCAGTGTTCATGTGGACTATGTAGAACATGACGCCATGGATAAATAGAATCAACTGTACTATGAACAGCTAAACGCCAGCAAATTAGATAACTTAGATGAAAGGGGCAAATACCCAGAAAGGAACTACTGAAACTGACTCAAGAATATATAAACACTGAATATACCTATAAAAACAAGAGACTGAACTAATTAGTAACAAAAGCTTCCCACAAAAGCCCAGAGCCAGTTAATCACTGAATTCTAAATATTTAAAGACTAATAGTAACGCTTCACAAATTCTTGATAAAAATAGAAAGTGAAGGATCACTTCCCAACTCAGTTTATAAAGCCAGTATGATCCTGATAGCAAATCCAGGCTAAGACATCATAAGAAAATTACAGACTAATCCCTCTCATGAATATGGATGTAAAAATTCTCAACAAAATACTAGCAGAGAGAATCCAACATGCATAAAAATTACTATATGCTGTGAAAAAGTGGGATTCATCCCAGGAACACAAGGCAGTTTTGTCATCAGAAAATTGATCATTATGTCCTATCAATAGAATAAAAGCAAAAATCATGATTGTAATTGACACAAAAAAAGCATTTCATGATAAAAACACTCAACAAACTAGGAATAGAATGGAATTTTCTCAACCTGATAAAGGCAATCTGTATATAAAATATGGCTAATCTATTTAGTGATCAAAGATTGGCTATTTTCCCCATAACATCAGAAATAAGACAAGGATATGCACTTTTTGGCACTTAAATTCAACAGTGGAGGTTCTGACCAGGGAAAGAAAAATATAAGCAAAATCCAGATTAAAAAATATAAGCAAAATCCATGTTATCTTCTCAGATAACATGAGGTATATATAAAAAAAAATCCTAAGGAAGCAATTAAAAAAAAATCACCAGAACTAGTGAGCTCAGCAAGATTTCAGGATACAAGCTCAATACATAAAACTCAATTGCATTTCTATTTATTTGTGATGAACAATTCAAAAATTAAATTAAAAAACCATCTCGGGCCTCCCCTCAGCAGTGTATTTCTGCCTATCTGCCTGTTCTGTTCCCCACTCTGTCTCAAGTGAATCCTCTCACCCCCCACGCCTCTGGTCTTGTATGCATAAATAAATACATCTTTAAAAAAACCCATCTCATTCATAACAGCATCCAAAAGAATAACATACTTGGGATTAAATTTGATGAAGACTAAAACATACATTCTGAAATTCATAAAACTGTTAAAAAACAAAGATTTATACAAATGGAAAAATATTCCCCTTTCATTGATCAGAGACTTAACATTACTGAGATGGCAATAGTCTTGTGAGTGACCTCCAACATGCCTCTGATAGCAGCATTATTCATAATTGCCAAAACGTGAAAACAGCCAACATGTCCAACTACTGAACAATGGAAAAGCAAAATGTGGGCTATCCACAAGATGGAATATTCTATAAAAATGAACAGCCCATTGCAAATAAAATCAGTTTTCGGTAAAAACAAAACTCGAGTCACAGCATTAGAGCTAGAAGTGGGGAGAGTTGAGCACCCTTTTTTTGAGCCTTACCCCTGCTCCCAGAGCTAAGTGCTCGGTGGAATGGATGGCAGAAGCCTCAGATCTTCTCGGTCACCTCTTCTAGTACCGAACCTAGCAACCCAGTGTACAAGGATTAGGGTCCCAGTACTCTCAGTAACACACTCAATCTAGAGCCTTAGTTCCACATATGAGGCCTGGAAGGAAGAGGGGAGCTCTCAATTCTTAGTCACTCTTTGAAGGAATAATCAACTTTCAGTTTCCTGCAAATGAATTCTCTATTTTGTATAGCAAGATAGAGGGTAAAGGAGCTTCTTATTCCCCACAAAAAACACCGACCAAACTCCTTTTGTGTATAAAAAATTATGGGAATGTGTTTTATTGCTACCCTCTTCGGGGGCACACAGAACCAATAAACACCAAATAAATCAATAGGAAATTGATATCTATTCCAAATAACCAGGAAATAACTGCTATTTAAAAGACAATGAATTGTATTCCAAGTCAGATAGCTATGGTTTCTAGAATATATGTTGCATTGACTTAAGTATGCCATTGCTTCCAGAGTCAGAGGATTATACAAATTATAAATACCTTTTAACTATTAACTTATTTAACTATTAACTAATTTAACTAATTTACCATTATACCATGTAAAAGAAATTATTTTTAAAAACTAATGGAAGAAAACAACACGAATGAGTACCTCCCCCTTGCCAGACTAACCTGCATGACATTGCCTACAATGACACTGTCAATAGTTTCAGGTGAAACTTTCCCAGCAGTCAAGGCAGCCTTGGCAGCAAATTCAGTCAAGTCAGTAGCTGTGAAGTCTTTGAGGAGACCTCCATAAGCCCCAAAAGGTGTTCGCTTAGCAGCAACAATGAATATACCTGTTGCAAAGAGGAGAGGTTTGTAAGCAATTACAGGTTAGTTAGTGTTCCTAATATGCTTGAAATAACGTGGAATCTTACTGCAAAGGGCAGTTTTCAATTAGATAACTCAGTCTCTGTCATGTAATACATAGACTGGATCGTACTCATAGAAGCTATCTGAAGATTTCTTAGTTTGACCAATACTAATGTCATTCTTCTGTTTGCTACTAATCTCTTTCCATGGAATAAATTAAACCTATCCTAAAACAAACAAAAAATTCATGTTTACATATGTAAACAAAATATGATTTATTCTGTTTTAAAATATGATTTATTCTTAAGAGACAAGGCAACAGAGACTAACCCCAAGGTGACTTAGATATTAGAATTAGCAGACAAGGATTTAAAAGTAGCTATTTATCATGCCTATGCTCAAGGATGTAAGGAAATAATATGCTTATAATAAAGGACAGTACATCTCAGCAAAGAAATAGAAGCTATAAAAAAAAAAAAAACCAAAGTGGAAATTCTAAAACTAAAAAATATCTGAAATAAAAGATTTAGAACATAAATGAAATGAAAAAGATTCATGACTTTGAAGACAGAGAAAGAAATTATCCAATCTGAAAAACAAAGATGTGGAGGAGGGAAACAACTTGGGAAGGATCCCAAATTCTGCTAAAGGAATGAGGCAATTCAACAAAGAAAGGATAACTTTTCAATAAATGGATAAATATTGGGTTGTTGGAAAAGTTATGTTGCATTTTTGCTTGAAAAACAGGAAAAAATATGTCATGACTTTTCTGACAACCCAAGAGTTTAGGAACAACTGAATATCCACATGTTTAAAAAAATAGAATTTAGACACAGACCTTACACCTTTCACAAAAATTAACTCAAAAAGTATCACAGACTTAAATATAAAATGCAAACTATAAAATTCTTAAAAGATGTAATATAGGATAAAATCTAGGTTATCTTAGACTTTGTGATAACTTATTAGATACCACACCAAACGTATGATCCATATTAAAGAAAAATTTGCTAAATTGGACTTCATTAAAGTTAAAAACTTGCTCTGTGAATGACACTGTTACAAGAATAAAGAGACAAGCCATGGACTGAGAAAATATTTTCAAAACACCTGTCTATTAAAGGATTGGTATCCGAAATACACATAGAACTCTGGAACTCAACAATAAGAAAACCCAGTTAAAAATAGGTTAAACAATCTGAACAGACACCTCACCAGAGATGACAGATAAATAGATGGCAAGTAGACATATACAAAGATGCTCAAAATCTTATCATTAGGGACTTGCAACTTAAAATAACAGTGAGACACCATCACACAACTACTAGAATGGCTAAAATCCAAAAGACTGATAATACCAAATGTTGGTGAAGATGTGGAACAAAAATTCTCGTTCATTCATTCATGAATTACTGGTGGGGTAAAATGGTACAGCCACTTTGAAAGACAGTTTGACAGTTTTTTTTTTCCTTAAAGCTAAAACTGAACATACTCTCTACCTATCTGATCAGCAATCACGTGGTTTTGTATTTACCTAAATGAGTTGAAAACTTATGTCCACACAAAAACTTGCATGTCAGTATTTCAGCATTATTCGTAATTGCTAAAACTTGGAAGCAGTTAAGATGTAATTTTAAAGGTTAATGGATAAATAAATTGGTATATCAACACAATGGAATATAATTGAGCCATAAAAGGAAATATCAAATATGTGAAGAGGCACAGAAAAAATTTAAATGTATATGTCTAAGTGAAAGAAGCCAATCTGAAAAAGCTACATGCTATATAATTCTAACTATGTGACATCCAGAAAAGGCAAAACCATGGGGACAGTAAAAAGATCAGTGGTTGCTAGGGTTGAGGAGAATGAAAGGAGGGGTGAATAGTGGAGCATATGGGAATTTTAGGACAGTAGAACTACTCAAATGATACTGTAATGGTAGCTACATGTCATTACACATCTGTCAAAACCCAAAGAACTTTCCAAAACAGTCTTATTGTAAACTATGGATTTTAGTTAATAATGTATCAGTTTTGGTTCATCACTTGTAACAAATGTACTACACTCATGAAAATATATATATATTTTTAAGATTTATTTATTTATTGATGCAAGCACTGGGTACAGTCAGAAGCGCGGGAGGGTGAGAGAATCCACCAGAGCCAGAGTGGGGAGCAGAGCAGGCAGAAGGACCGAAGTACACTGCTGAGGGGAGCAGCGGGCGGCAGGAGAGGTCTGCGCCATGTGGGACCCTCCTCTGGTGGCCGGGGAGCAGCAGGGGATCGAACCGGTGCTGCAAAGTCTGCGGGCAGCTTCGCAGCCCAGCGCTCAACTGCTGCGCCACCGGGGAGGCCCACTCATGAAAATATTGATAATAGTGGATCCTGGAAGGGAGAGGTGAGGGGGGGCACATGGGAATTCTCTGTGTTGTCTGCTTAACCTTTATAAACATAAAACTGCTCAAAGCAAGTTTAATAAACTGTCAGGTAGAAAAAAACATATGGGCAGAACCCCAAGAACAGAAAACATAACTGGGTGTGTTGGAAAGGGAGGAGAGAGACTATGTAGGAAAAAACATGAAAAAAATGAGTGAAAATTCTCCAAATTGACAAAAGGTATAGACTCAGTAAATTTTCCACAATATTAATGTACACACACACACCCCTCCACCCCCCCCAATGGCACAACATTCTCAAACTTCTGCAAACTAAAGATAAACCAAAAATCTTAAAAGTCAGAAAAAAATGACATTATTTACAGGGCTATGATTTGAAGACTATTGACTTATGAGAAACAATGGAGACTACTTTCATTTGTTTCTCCATAAATTTCCTTTCATGAGTTTCTCTTCTGTACTTTAGAATCTAAGAAAGCATTTTGTGTGTGTGGAGCGGCACTAATGAGATATGGGGTATTGGCAGGCGAGCGGAGGTTGGAATATAAAAACAAAAGTAAGAATGCTCCCATAGCTGATACCACCTCTGCTTACTTGGTGCTGTAAATGTTGGAAAATCTAACACTGAACTAATACAATTATTCTGAATGGGGAAAATACTATTAAATATATTTTAAGGAATAATCTGAGCTAGGCAGGTAAAAAGACTAGACAATGTAAAAGGATTTTTCTTGTAATTTCCTAAACTGGACGCCATGCCAATAATTATTTGATGTCAATTTTATGTTAATACTAAACTGTTTATTTCAAGAGGCTAAAGATTTCCAAACATTGAAAGAGAGAGAAAACACATTAATCCATAGTGTGTTAAAAACATCAAATACTGGTGAGGCAGTGTGCCCATGTGATTTAAGGGGAAACCAAGACTAGAAGACAAAAGTAAAACTGCCTTCCGTTTAATCACATTGTTAGGCAAATATTTACTCATTCCACCACAGCAATGACAAAAGGATCCGAGGCAGATTAAGAAAAACTGTGGTCAGTATCACCCCAGTTTCAGGATTAAGTGACTGGGCAGCCTGACAGGGATGCACAAACTCCCCAAATAAAAATTAATGAGCAGTAAGAAAACTAGTATTTGTTGAGGGCAACACTCCTGAGCACGCTCTGGAATGGGCGCTAATGAAATACTGGGAAATTGGTGGTTCCTGTTCCTTAAAAATTAAAAATTCCATCGACTGCGACCTTTCGTTATGAGAAGTCACTTTACATAATTAAAGGATTAAGAACCCTAGATTTACGTACTCAGTGACTGCACATTTTGGGGTGCAGTAAAAATGCTTAAAACAAGTTTAAGAAACTGTCAGGTAGGAAAAAACATGGGCAGAACCCCAAGAACAAAAAACATAAGTGGGTGTGATGGAAAGGGAGGAGCGAGAACAGTCTTTTTCAGGGGTACGCCAGAAAGCATTTGGAGCAGAAATTCCTCCGTGACCCCAATAACATCAGTTCTCCCCAGCAGCCCTGCGCACCCTGGGACGTAGCCACTACCTTGGGGTGAGCCCAGCAGGTCCCAGGCCGCCTCGCTTGTGGCTCCACCCTACTTTTCCTAACAGCTGAGCGCGAACAAAGTGGGGCGCAGCTGCTGGAGGGTAGGCCCTGCAAGGTCACGGGCCAAGCCTGCTCTCAGCAGGAAGCGCCACCGAATTCACTGTCCCTAGTGCCTTGCAGGTCTGTTTCCCCTAAGCCAAAGCCTCCTTGCCGCTGGGGGTTTTACCGGGTCCTCTTTATTGCTCCTGGACCCCCAGACTCGGACAAGCTCCGCCGTGCAGGCCGGCTCGGGGAGGGCGCGGGGCGAGCTCACCTCGGAGCAGGGCCATGGCTGCGGCAGCACAGCAGCTTCTCGGGTGCAGACGGAGGGGCCCCCTCGCCACACACCCGGGCCTTAAGAGGCTGGGGCGGCCTCCGGCAGGCCACACCCCCAACCTTTCACCTACTCCCGCCCCCCCCCCCCCCCCCCCGGGAGGCCTGCCGAGGAGAGTGACCCTTTCTGGGGGGGCCTCCCGGCGCCACAGGCTCCGGAACCCTCCCCAAGGGGCGGTCGCGGGGAAGGGTGGCCACTCCCCGGCTCTCCTCCCCCAGCCGAGCCTGGAGCGCGCTCTTTGCCCTGACCCCACCCCATCCATCCTCACCGCCCCGCAGCCCCTGCACCCCTCCAGCCCTCCCCACCCCTGAGGTTTGGTTGAACGTTTGACTGGGCGGCGCGGGCGCGCAGGGGCGGAGGCGGCCCGGCGTGGGGCGCGCCCGTTGGCTGCAGCCGGGGGGCGGGGAGGCGCGCGCGGTGGCTGGGGCGCGCGGGGTGGCTGGGGCGCGCGCGGGGTGTGGACTGCAGCTGCGCAGACGCGGAGCCGCCCTGGAGGCCCGTCCCCCTGGTATCAGGCTGGGGTGGGGTGAGGGTGGGGGTAGGGTAGAGGCAGGGGGGAGGTTAGGGCAGGGGTGGGGTAGGGGTAGGTGTTGGGTAGGGTAAGGGTAGGGGTGGGGTTAGGGTAGGGCTGGGGATGGGCCTGGGCCAGTGTTGTAGAGCTGGGTGCCCCAAGATCCCCGACGCTGCCCCCCCAATGAGCCGACAATATTTTCCTTATATGATCGGGCCCCACCGAAGGCGGTGCCGCTTGCTGGAGCCCGAGAGGATTATGAAAACGTGGCGAAGTGGGGTCAGGGGACTTGGGCGGGGAGTGAGGGGGAGCAGGGCAGGCTGGAGAGGAGGGGGCCTAGGGAGAGCTCTGCAGCTGCCGCTGTAAACCCTGGTCGATGATGACTAGACCACTGCGCAATCTGAGGTCACCGTCTGGACCCTGGTGATGGATTGTGTTCTGAGCTTGGACTGAGACCAGGCGAGCAGGAGGCGACTCGGGCCTGTGCTGCCTTCGCGAGGGGGGGAGTGGTGGGTGGCGCTGAGGATTTCTTGTGAGTGGTCGGGGAATGTGGTCAGGGAAGCAGTCGCCGCCTTGCAGTGTTTTTTAAATCCATACTTTGTATTGTGGAAGCTTTGGAACATTAAAAAAAAAAAATGCAGACTGGCACAGTGAACGCCTATATATTCACCACTTATATGTTACAGTTTTTAATATTTTGTGATATTTGCTATATCATGTCCGTCTTTTATCAAAGAAATGCAGCTCTTTATTCTTTATCCCAAGAGCAGTTAGGCTCACATTAGAGGTCTTTATAGTTCTTTTAGGCAAGATTTCCATGAGGTTAAATGTACAAAAGTATATACACTCGTGTAACATTAAAACAAAAGGTTATCAAAATATGATTAGAACTTGCCCGGCATCCCAGAAAATTCCTTCATTCCCCTTTCTAACCTCCACAATCTGTTCTGTTTTTCTCACCAATTGCCCTTGATCCTCTGGTTTATTCCCTTTCTGTTGCTTTGAGTGAATCTGGGAAATTAAGTTGATTCAGTAGGTAAGTTTTGAGGACTATTAATTGAGTAGACCAAACCTTCCCACGTACCTGATGACAGCTTTTTTCACCCGGATCTTCTGGATGATGAGTGTGTAGTAACAATAAAAGCTACCATCTTTTGTGTACTGTGTGCCCTAAGTGCCAGGCATGTCACACATCATTTATCATTTGTATAACCAAGCAATAAAATAATTCTTACATATAACGGAACTACAATTCATGTACGTCAGACAAATCTTTTTTGATCCTATTCCCCCCACTCCCACCCCAGAAAATCTCTGGTTTATAGTTGCCTGTTGATTTTGATATTTACTTTATTACAGTTACTTTTTTTTAAAAGATTTATTTATTTATGCATATACAAGAACGGGGGTACAGGCCAGAGGTGCGGGGGGTGAGAGGATTCACCAGAGACAGGGGAACAGAACAGGCAGATTGACCGAAATACACTGCTGAGGGGAGCAGTGGGCGAGTCAGGAGAGGTCTGCTGCACCATGTGGGTTGCTCCTTGGCTGGGGATCGAACTTGTGGTGCAGTGGCTGCGGTAAGCTTCATAGGTTGTGTCTTTACCCCTTGTGCCACCAGGGAGGCTCAGTTACTTTTTTTTTTCCTTATCCCTTATTTGGATCCTCTACATTCCTCCTAAAAGTGAAACCATCCTGTATGTTTCTTTTTCTTTCTGGCTTTTTTCACTGATCATTATCCCTTCCAGCTCCATCCATGTTGCTGCAAATGGCATGAGTTTATTTTTTTTTTGATTGCTGAGTAATATTCCATTGTGTATATGGACCACATTTTCTTGATCCAATCATCAATTTTTGGGCATTTGGGTTGTTTCCATAGCTTAAATATTGTAAATAGTGCTGCAATAAATATAGGGGTGCAGGTTTCCTTTTGAATTAATGTTTTTGTGTCCTTTGGGTAGAAACCTAGGAGAATTGCTGGAGCATATGGAGGCTCCATTTTTAGCAGTTTGAGGAAACTCCAAACAGGTTTCCATAGTTAGACCACTTTGCATTCCCACCAGCAGTGTAGGAGAGTTCCTTTTTCTCCACAACAATTGCTGTTGCTAGTTTCTTAAATATGTGCCATTTTCACTGGTGTAAGATGGTATCTCATTGTAGTTTTGATCTGCATTTCCCTGATTACAAGTGATGTTGAACATTTTCTCATATGCCTGTTGGCCAATTGCATTTCCTCTTTGAAAAAGTGTCTTTTTAGCTTTTCTGCTCATTTTTTGACTGGGTTGTTTGTTGAGTTTCATCAGCTTTTTGTAGATCTTTGTGATCAGTCCCTTATCAGTATTGTGTGCAAAAATTCTCTCCAAATCAATGGGTGTCTCTTTGTTTTGGTTAATGTCTCTTTTGCTGTACAGAAGCTGTTTAATTTGATGTAATCCCAGCAAACATTAGGCTTTTATTGTTTCACAGAATAAGAAGTCTATAGCAAGTAGTCTAATAAAATTAGTTCACCAGCACTACCTGCCGCGGACCAGCACAGCAGCAGACGATGAGGCCGTCTCAGGGTTGAGAGAAGCGTGCAGGGTGGTCAGGGCGTCGGTGAAAGAAATGACAAACAGACACACTTCAAGAGAGTGAAAATCTGAGTGTAATTTTCTTTGAGTTGGTGACCAGCATATATATGTTTTTCTAAAGGCATAGGAATGGCGAACATCAGTGAAGAAATCAGCTTGCTTATAGGTTTAGCTTATCATTGACAGGGCAGTGATTTACATCTGGACCCAGGCGCATTCCTAAGTAGTTAGGCTATTAATTTTTCTTTTTGTTTTATGTGATTACTTTTTTGTTTAAACTACTCACTACCACTAAATTACTATTAATTAGCATGGGTGAGTTTTACTTTTCACAATGTAATATTTTTATCATTACGATTAATACTAACAAGGCTAAGCATACAACAGAGAAATTATTAAGCTAACAGTTCTATTAATACAGAGTTTAGTAATGTTTCATTTGAATTAGCCTAGTTATTAGATTCCGTATGTTCTTTTTTAATCAGCAACCAATGACCTTTTTAGACAGAGAAAGAGAAAAGATTTTCAGAAAGAGAAAAGATTTTAGAGAGACAGTTGTATTAGAATAAAGTTTGTGGGCCTTGAGAAGGCGAGATAAGGTTCCCTGCGGTCAGCATTCCTGTAGTGGCTCCTTGGGGTCGTTATCTTTCAACAGGCTTCCGTCTTATCTATGTCTTCAGGGGGTTTTGCTGTTCTCCCCCTGCTTCAGGGAGTTTTGCTGTTCTCCCCCTGCACACTGGTTCCTTGCCCAGCCAGACCTAGGGACCTTGGCGAAAGCCATTAGCCCTAAAGGTCACTGCAGGGGGAGGTGCAGCAACTACCATGTCAGTAAGCACCTACAGATGTAGATATCATGTCCTCAGAAAACTATGTTGAAATACAGGAAGGTTAGCATTTCTCACAGGTCTCTCTCTCTCTTTTTTTTTTTTTTTTTTTAAAGATTTATTTATTTATTTATACAAGCACTGGGTACAATCAGAAGCGCGGGAGGGTGAGAGAATTCACCAGAGCCAGAGTGGGGAACAGAACAGGCAGACTGGCGTAGTACACTGCTGAGAGCAGCGGGCAGCAGGAGAGGTCTGTGCGCCATGTGGGACCCTCACCCGGTGACCGGGGATCGAACCGCTGCTGCAGAGGCTGAGGGCAGCTTCGCAACCCAGCACTCAACCGCTGTGCCACTGGGGAGGCCCTCTCACAGGTCTCTTTATCAAGAAGGCAGTCTTGCCCTTTGGTTTCATTGGCCCCAGTTGAGTTGTATGCTCAGGCCCATAGCTGTAACATGGCTGGGGAAATAGGTAACAACTGGCTTTTTTACCTTCTGTTTTAGAAAGTGGGCTCTGCCAATAAGGATGGAAGCTGCAAAGACTGATAGGTGAGCATCAGTCTCAGCAACAAAAGCTTTTTAGTAGCAGTCACATGGCAGACTTCCGTACAACCTGTGCCCTCTTACACTGCATGTTCACATGTCTGAATTGCTGGGATATACTTGGACTTTCATATTTTGGCTCATGACTGGGAATTTGCAGCCCTGGCCTTTTGGCACTACCTGTCTAATCAAGGGTACTAGCCCTGGACCTTTGGTACTATCTTTCTAATCAAGGGCTCTGCAGTGTCCTTTCCCTGGCTCCATAACACTGCAATTACTCAGAAAATGCTGCTGAATTCAGTGTTGATATATATTAAAAATGAGTGGGAAATAGAAAAATTAAAGTGGTGCTAAGTTGGTATAAAGCTTAGCAGAGAGGAGGTGCTTAGAAACTCATTGCACAATAAAATTAAAACCAAAATGGAAGTCAGGTTATTTTATCCCAGTTGATCCTCAGTGAACTTAGCCAGTCAATTGTGTGTTTTTTAATAATGGAAATAAAGATAGAGAACTTGAATGAATTATGCCTATATGTGAGATGGGGAAAATAGAGCTTTCAATGTTATGGGATTTTCCTTTAAAATTTGCTAATAGCCCAAGTGCAGAGAAAATTCTTGGTTTGCAGAAGTGTTTATAAAGGGATATAGCATCCTTTAATAAGAGAAGAAAGCAGGTTCTTTTCAATTTGCCCTCCCTGTATTTATTAACAAAAGTTCAGCCACCATCATTATTACAATTTCCCACTGCAAATCATCGCCAGCAAATTCTTTACTAAAAAGTTTTCTCTATTTAGAAATATCACTGAAGTGGATGGATTGTGAAATAATTGGATAAAAGGTTTACATGCGTAAAAACATGTAAATAATGTAAGGGTGGGTATTACTGTCAAAGTATCGCAAAGATGGAAAAAGTTCCTTTACAGTAGAGAAATTTTGTGGGTATTACCTTAACCAAATGATCAAGATTTACATGCCAATAATCAGGCACACTGGTATCATGCACCCCCTTGATGCATTGCAGAAGAAACGACCTCACTTATGTAGGATTTCTCCCAAAAGATATCTGACTTGACTCTAGTCATATTGGAATAATCAGAAAAATCCAAATTGAAGGACATTCTGCAGCGCAACTGACCTGAACTCTTAAAAAAAAAAAAGTTCAAGTTGCGAAAAGCCAATAAAATACAATGTGGGGTCTTTAATTGGAATCTGGATTAGAAAACATCAGCAACAACTCAACAAAGGGGACAAAATATATTAATATTACTTTTCCTGATTATGTTAATTATATTCTAGTTGTATAGGAGATTTGTCCTTTGTTCTTAGGAAATACACAGCAAATATTTAAGAGTCAAATCTGCAACTAATTCTCAAATGACTCAGGAAAAAAGTGCATGCAAATACACTGGCAGAGAAAGAGTATATATGGCAAATAGTACAAATTGGGGAATCTTGAAGAATACAGGTTATTCATTGTTCTTCTTGGCAGTTTTTCTGTAGATTTTTAAACTGCAAAATAAAAATTGAAAGGAAAAGGATCTTTCAAGTAAGCAGCAATTATTTTATAAAATTTTTAGTCCTTTTCATGTTTAACTGTAACTGAGTATATACTGTACAACACAAGTGTGTGTATTTTAGTTACATTTTGAAGCCTCTCATTAAATGTACAGTTACTGTTTGCTCTTAGATATTTAGCTTTCAAATTTTTGGAAATGCTTTCTCATTTCTTTCTTTTTTTTTTTTTTAAGATTTATTTATTTGTGCATACAAGAACTGGGGTACAGGCCAGAGTTGCAGGGGGTGAGAGGATTCACCAGAGACAGAGTGGGGAACCGAACAGGCAGACTGACCGAAATACACTGCTGAGGGGAGCAGCTGGCGAGACAGGAGAGGTCTGCCTTGCCACGTGGGTTGCTCCCTGGCCGTCCGGGGATAGAACTTGTGCTTCAGAGGCTGCGGATTGCTTTATAGTGTGGTGCTTAACCCCTTGCACCACCAGGAAGGCCCCAACCTTCTCATTTCTTTCTGTACTTATTTTTTGGGGGTGTGTATATGGGGAGCATTAGTACTAGCATTAGCATAAAACTCAAAATCGGTAAGTGAATATTGTAAATCTGCAAATGTCAGCATTAAAATATCTCTAGAATTTCAGAAATAATCAGTCTTAGCCCTATCTCCAACCTTTTCTGGATAATTTTCCTGTACTTAAACTTTAACACGGAAAATTCTGTAGCTTAAACAGCAATGACTTTAGAAGTTTCAGTAATGGACACTGGGGTAAGTTGGTGACGCTGCTAGGGGCTAGGACAATTGCAAAAAATAAGTATATGAATTTGAATGAATGAGACAGATGAGCTTGCTAATCTTGAATAGCTTGAAAAATCTTTTATAATAGTACCCTCTTACCCATGGCTTCACTTTCCACAGCTTTCATTACTCATGGTCCAAAAATGTTATGTACAGTAAGATATTTTGAAAGATTAGTCAAACAATTTTAATTACAGTATATTATAGTTGTTCTATTTTATTTTTGCTAGCCTCTTATTGTGCTTAGTTTATAAATTCAACTTTAAATAGGTATGTATAAGAAAAAAACATGTAGGGTTTAGTGCTGTGGTTTTAGGCATCCACTGGGGGTCTTGGAACATATCCCTTGCAGATAAGTGGGGAGGGACAGCCTTGTGGACTTACTGTTAACCATTTTGGAGGTAATTTTAATTGTTGTTAATTAAAAGACCATTATTAGCTTGGATATGGTTTTCTCCTTACAAGTAGCTACTCCAGAAAATTCAAGTTGCCAGATTGCACATCAGAAATTAAATACAGACCTAAAGTAATTGATTTGTGTAATACAGATCTAAAGTAATTGATTGATAAGTGTTGGTGTGTTCCCAGTAGCCTTAAGGCATTGTCACAAACTTAGGGAAGGGATATGTATATTTTTTTTTCTTCTACCTGTTTGAAAGTTATTTGCAGTGTCTATATCCCTACAAAGCTTCAAATTTCATTTAGTAATATTACCTTATGTAAATTACCATACTTCCTTGGATCTAAGTTTATCTTGTTATAATATTGATATTGGTAGAAGGGAATAACACTGTGTACATGCCCTTCATACACCTCCTGGAACACATCTGCATTTGAACAATTGGGTTCAATGCTCATTGCCCAAAGGAGACGATACACCCCCCCGGGGCATATCTTAGGGAGGCATTTAATGAGAGGGTATTAGGAGCTGGACTTTGGTCAGACAATTTGGAGAAGGTCCAGAAAAGCCAGAGTTCACTCTGCATTGTGTGCTATCTGGAAGTTGGAACAAGTCTTTGGATATCTCTATATAATCCTATCTAGGAGGGCAAATTGGAACTAGGCTAACGTTGCAACTGGTAAAGAGGCTGAAGACACTGAATTAGCCAGGAGAGGGGACGGCTGGTCTCTGATGGTTTGCACAGCGATCTTCTTTGTGCTTAGCCTACTCTGTGATCTTGTGTTGAAGCATTTCATCATAGTCACAGAGTGACTCTGCCTAATGTTGGTATTTTGTAAGACTGTGTATGGAAGGGGAATACCAAAGCCTACCTGGGAGCATCAGGTCACTTTTACCACCCTCAGTTGTAGACCTCCATGTCAGGCCAGGACCCGGATGACTGATTATTTTTTTTCTTTTTCAACTGTTACATGATAAGCGTATTTCATATGACATTTGGCTCTTTGGAGACATAGTTTTCCTGGTGATGCCTTGAAGATAAGTCTAGGCCTCTCTGGTTTTGAGATGAGGTAAAGGCTTTCATGAAGAGTGAAGTGGTTTTTCTATCAGTTACCCAGAGAAAAAGAGGTAATTTTCACTAACAAGTATATTGTAAACATTATTCTGTATCATGAAATATTTCAGTAATGGTTCTAACGATGGACACTTTAAGAACACCATCTCTGAAGAGGCCTTATTCTATAGATTTAGGTGGGGCTGGTCATGTGAATTTTTATTTTTAAAGATTTATTTATTTATGCATACAACAGCTGGGGTACAGGCCAGAGGTGTGAGTGTGAGAGGATTCACCAGAGACAGAGTGGGGAGCAGAACAGGCTGATCTACTGAAATACACTGCTGAGGGGAGCAGCGGGTGAGACAGGAGAGGTCTGCTGCGCCATGTGGGTAGCTTCCTGGCCGGCGATCAAACTCATGCAGCAGAGTCTGTGGTCAGCTTCATAGGTTGCGTCTTAACCCCCTGCACCACTAGGGAGGCCCTTATGTGAATTTTTAAAAAGACTTTTAGCTTCTTTGGCTTGTGCTTTCTAGGCAATAAACACTTTACCCATGTTTCCATATAGCTATTCCAATATCTAAGCTTTCTATTCTGTCCCATTGGCTAATTTTCCTGTCTCTGCAATCCCACATATCTTAACACACACCAAAGTTTTGGAAAGAAGTCTTGATACCTGTTAGAACCCCGCCCAATCCTAACCCTTTTCTTTTTAAGGAGGGTCTTACCTTTGGGCCATATAAATTTTGGAATTAGCTTCACTAAAAAAATGTGTTGAGATTTTAATGTTTAATTTACAGATCAACTTGGGGACAAGTCCAAAAAATGATATATTTCTATTTATTTGTTTTTCTCTATACAGACCTTTTATTTTCTCAATTATTTTTCAATGCTTTCCCTTATGCAAATTATACATGTATTTGAGTATCTCTGGGCGTTCTTTTCTACTGGTCTAGTCTTTTCCTACACTAAAACTGTCTTGTTTAAATTTGATAGCTTTAAAGTAATTGCTCAATGTATCTTGTCTTATGTGGGACGTTTTCCCCTCACCCCCTGGCTTAAATGATCATGATGCATGTTTGAATATAGGCCCCAGAATGAAGTTTCTCAAGAAAGCATTGAAAATAAACCTTCCATTCAATGGTATAAGTGCAGTTTTAAATTTCATTTAGATTTTGGCACACCACTTTATTCAAAAGTATTTATTTCCAGAAATTTTTATCCATAGTTGAGTATTACAGTGACTATTACAAGCATTTTCTATAAACAAAGGTGTAGTTTACAGATTTGTTCAAAATGGAAAAATAATTTTATCAGTAGTATTTCTTCTATGTTAGATTCACCCCTGAATATGATGTGAACCCCCTTTGAGAGGCAGTCCTTGATCTAAACATCAGTTGGTGGCAAAATGTTATATCCAAATCTGGATTGCTCTGATGCAGTATCACCTTAAAAATAGCTTAAATTCATTTCTGATTGATTACATTAGAAATTTTTTTATTATAACAATCTTTAGTATCTTTTGACTTTGATAAGGGGAAAAAATTGGCATTAACCAGTGATTTTTTTCATACTCCCTAAAATTTGAATTATGGCACCAATGAGTACAAAAAGTAATTATGGCTATTTGGCTCATGCAGCAAATTACTTTGAAAAACCAACTACAGGGAATTATTTTATGAGGAAAACTACAGGGCCTTGCCCCATGCTGTCACATTTTAATTAATGTTTGACAATAGGCATTATATAAGTGCTTCAATTTAGGATAATTTGTTGCCTTAAAATTAGGTCAAATGTGTGAAACAAATTCATTATATGCAAAAGAATAGATTCTAATTTATTGGTTGCTATAATCTCAATGCAGTAAGGCTCTAAATATTTGATGAATTGATGATAGCAGTGTTAATTTTTTCCTAAGTTTTCTAAGTTGCTAGCTTTGTCTTTTGTTTTGCATTTATAAATTCTTAAACTTTAGTATAGGAAAGCCAAGAGAAGAAATTCCTATTGACATGCTCAATGGAAAGGGGAAAATTATCTGTTTTCCTTTGGGTCTAAGCTGCTTGCCAGGTGAAGCTATAGGTTCCATAAAGCCAGCCAGTTAGGATGGCCTGGGGAGAATGCATGTAGGAAATGTGCTTGTCAACTTCACAATAATCAGTATGTACATAACACACATAACTACAGGTAAACAGAGGGTTCCCACATAATACTTCAAACACAGGTTGTTTTTATATATAAATATTTCATTATTAAGTAATCTTTAAAAGCTTATGTTTCAGAAGACAAATCAAAACTATCTTGATGTTATGTAAAACTTTGAAATTCTTCCCACAGCAACATTTCAGAGAAATAATTGATAGTCAGTTATTTTCATAACTGCCAAAGGCACATAGTGAGAGAAGTGTTAACTAAACTTTAAATATTAAAAAATAAAGACATCTAGTATTGAGTTCAAACCTTTATGTTGCAATAGGTTATTTAAATTAAGTCACTGATTTTATGAAGTTGGAAAATGTATGATTTGAACTGATTTTAAAAAAGTGCGAAGAATAAAAACACAAATAAAACATTAAAGTTCCCCTAAGATGGTTCTTCTAGTCTCCAAATGTTACGTTAAATAGGACAGATCTAAACATTAAGCAGCCAATGTCCATATTTCTTATTGTTAGTGGTCTATAAAAGTATATGTTTTAAAATAGTTATAAATTACGTACCACTCCCGTGAAATACCTTTATCTTTTTGAAAAGAACTAAAGCTGCCATTTCTTAGGCTATGTAGGAAACTGTTCATGGTCTCTCTCCCACACCTCCAGGAAAAGCAGGCCAAGCTCTTATTTAGTCAGTCCTTGATACCTAGTAATTAACCAGTAAGAGTGGGCAGTAACAAGCCAAAGAGATGGAGAGAATGAGGATACAAGACTTTATGGAACGACAACCTTGCATTTATGGAATCACTACTTGTCAAGCTCTTTAACACTCAAGCAAGGTATTCTTGGTTACCTTGAAGACTGAGGATGATCCTTGCATGAGAGACTAGGTTTTAAAGTAAAGTGCAGTAAAAAAAACACATTATACTAAATGCCTTTAAAAAGAGGTAGCCACAGACCCAAATGGTTTAGACTGGCCTTCCAAACAAAGTCAGTGTGTGGGTTGAAGGATGTGTGTCACGGATGTCAGATGATATAATTGGGAAAGAAAGGAAGAACAGATAGGCCCTTGTAGACCCCCAGAGAAGCCAGGATATGTAATGAGCTAGAGGGGAAAATGCCGTTGACATTGACCTAGACATGAGCGTCAGCAGGCTTCATCCAGGTGTTGTGCCTTGTTCTGCCCGGTGGGCAAGGGAAATGACTGAGAGGGCCGAGCTGTCAGGACGCAGTGCATGAACCTCCTTAGTGTTTGGAGTGTGGTGTTCCCAAGAGCCTTTTAAGTGGAGAGGCCGAGTAACCAACAGGTGGTGGTGGGGTGTGTGTGTTCTACTTGCAATTCAAGGAGAACTCTTCCGGATGTGAATGGCTGCTTTTTTATGATTTACAAACACCATCTGACCCTACCATGAGAAGGGATTACTATTATCTACCAAAAATGGGGAGAAATACTAAAAAGAGAACATCAAGTATATGTAGGGTTTTCTAATTGAATGTCTACTTTTGAAAAGGCTGTTTCTTTTTAATAAAAGCAGCAAATGTAGAGTCTGTTGCAATGTTACTGCGGAATACTTCTTTTAATCCTTATTTCATAGCAGAGCTATTTGATTTTTATGTGGTAAATTTGAGAATAGCCTGAAAAGGAAATGTTGATACAAGCTATTTAATTCTCTAACAACCACAAAACTTTTTCAAATAAGTTTACCTTCAGGATAAAGTTTGTTTTCCTTTCCCATTTTGGTTATCTAAAACTACTAGTACATTATGTGATGCCCTTAGGAGGTTTAATGGCATTATTAGGATTAAAGGCTTTCCTACTCACTTGTTTGGCTTTTATATCTGTAAATAAAACAAGTTATCTTTTCTAATATTTAGCTTATATAGCTTTTTGTGAGTTTGGTTGAATCAGTAAGTGTACTAGCATTGGAAGCAAAGATTATCTTGTTCACATTGTAAGTTAGGGGAAACAGCATTTTTAGCACAACTCATTCATAAACCCAAGACTACTCAAAAGGGTTTGAGCACATGAGGGCTGGGTCTTCTAATTTTGTTTCAGAAACCAGTACTCAAAATGTTGGATCTAGATGTCAAGTATGCCATTTTCTTTGTATCACCAGGCATTAAATATCTTTGGGAAACTGCAGAATTCCTGGGTCTGTATTTATATTCTAAAACATTTCCCCACTAACTCAGCTGTACCTATGGTTTGTCAACCTTAGGGAAATGTCACTACTATATGACAGTATCATGGTTACTAGTACCATTATTTGTTAAAAGGCAATTTACATATTTTTAATATTTTACCATGGATATTATCCAGTTATATACAGAGATCAAAACTAGGAAGTCTCCATTGTAGAGATTGGCACCTTTTATATGGCCATGGGGACTAGTTGGTGGTTATAATTTATGATGTGACTTGTCTAGAACGAAATCATACTTAAAAAAAAAATCCTTCCATACGTCTATATTTCTCTTCCATATTCAAGTGTTTTTTATTCTGAGCAGTAGGTGCAAAAAGTAATGACATGTGTCTTATTCTGTATAGTTCAGCACACTGCACAAGGCGCTCAACCTCTGATTTGATCTACTTTTACAAATTTAGCAGATCCTTAAATTTCTTTACTGTGTAGAACCCCTTGCCACCACTGGAAATAGAGCCAAAGTTGGGAATGTGCAATTTCAGACTTCGTTGAGGAACTCCAGATTGAGACACGCTGGGATGTGGATTGAGTCCATGGTCAGAGAAGAGGGATTAAATGGAAATAAAACAGGAAACATATGCTTGGAGTCTAGCAGCAGTTGCTGGGGGTCATTGCGCTCTTGCAGTTGTGCCTGTGGGGAGATAAAGCCAGTAGATGAATTCTCAAAAGTGAAGGGAATTGGCACCTAACAAGGACTATTTCTGGTAAGGAAAGTAGGGAGGATTTTGAGAGAATGGACCTCTCTATCCCAGAGGTTTTCAGCAGAGAGAAGTACTGGTTTAGGCTTGTTAGAGATCGAGGACTTTAACCTCTCCTAATTCTAACCTTCTTTTAAAACGTTTCCATTTAGGGGAGAACAGAAAAAGCCATTTTGGACTCAGAGTGGTGGAAAGGCTTTGTAGTGATGGGCTTAGGAGGCAGACAGCCTGAGCACTATTCCTGGCACCACCCTGGGGAAATTCCTGCACATTCTGTGCTTTAGTTTCCTCATTTGTTTAAAGAAAAAAAAAAAATGGTGGCATGTGACACCTCACCAAGCAACAAAGAGATCTCCCACTAAAGTAATTATGAGCTGGAAAAAGTAATTGGTATCAGCAGCCTCAGAACTCTGGAATCTGACTAGAGATGACAACAACCCAGAGAGTGTTGATGAAGGGAGAGGCTAGAGAGCAGGTGATGAACCAGCTCTCGTGCCCCACTTCCAGCTCCACCGCAACTGTAGGGATAGTTGCCTTCACGACTGGGGCAGCAGTGAGGCCCTGACCTCCAAAAGGACTGTTAGAGACACAGGCCTCGGGCCTGGCTCTCTTGGGATGCAGTGGTTTCCCCCAGTGAGAGAAGTGGGAAAAATATTTATTTTAATAAATTATATAATTCTTACATCATTTTTCATTTCGGTTATATTCCCCATAAAATTCCCACCCCCTTTTTCTGACCCTAATCCCTCTTCTCCACCCCACCCCCCCACTGTAGTGTGACTCTGGTCTATAGTTGCTTGTTGATTTTGATTTTTACTTTATTGCAATTAGTCTTTTTCCTAGTCCCGTATTTAGGTTTTCTAGATTCCTGCTATGAGTGAGACCATCCGGTATTTTTCTTTTTCTTTCTGGCTTATTTTGCTGAGCACGATCCCTTCCAGCTCCATCCACTGTTGGTGCAAATTTCATGAGTTTATCTTTTTTGATTGCTGAGTAATATTCCATTGTGTATCTATACCATATCTTCTTGATCCAGTCATCTATTTTTGGGCATATGGGTTGTTTCCATAGCTTAGCTATTGTAAACAGTGCTGCTATAAACATAGGGGTGCAGGTGCCCTTTTGAATTAACGTTTTTGTGTCCTTTGGGTAGATCCCTAGGAGTGGAGTTGCTGGATCATATGGAAGCTCTATCTTTAGTAGGTTAAGAAATCTCCACACAGCTTTCCATAGTGGTTGGAAAATTTAAAAGGACACATCCCCTTTCCTCTACTTGGAGCCAGACATTTTTAGCATAATAACTAAAGTGAAAATTTTCAGTTCACTAAAAGGGGTTCAGCAGCAGTCTTGAGCAGGCAGAAGAAATGAGCAGTGAACAGAGCTTGTGGAGCTATGAGACACTATAAAGAATCCACACATACATCACAGGGGTCTCAAGAGGAGAAGAGAGGAAGGGGCAGCAAAATATTTGAAGAACCTGAACTTCCTGAATTGGATGAAGTCTCTCTACACACCCGCGTGTTTGTGGGTGACGACATGACACATCATATATCTCATGTCTAAGAAGCTCATCAAACGCCAAGCAGGATAAACTCAAAAAGATTCACACTGAGACACATTAGTCAGTTAAGAACCCAACAGAGGGAATCTTGAGAGCAGCAAAGTCAAAGTGACTCCTCACATACAAGATATTCTTAATAAGATTAATAGCTATTTCTCATCATAAACCATGCAGACCAGAAACAGCACCATGACATTATTTAAAACCTTGAAAAAAAAAATAGACTTTAAGGATGATGGTGAAATTAAGCCTTTTCCCCTTTTTTGGGACAGTTCCCGATTCGTTGATTCAAATAGTGGCAAGGTTTTGATATGTTGCAACATTCTAGAGGCTTCATCATGTCCCTATTTTAGAGAAGACCAAGGGATATTAATCTGCTAAACTCCCCCACTGGGAACTTGACGGCTGGCACAAACACTCACAGCACCTCTGTTTTTCTTTGGCTTTTAAGCAGGGAATCAGATCAATAAATATGTGGTAGCAATTGAAAAGTGCTGAGGAACAGGTTTTTAGGGTGAAATGAGTGTGTGCGGAGGGTGGTGAGATCGAGAGTTGAAGGTGGACAACAAATGAAAAGCATGGTTTAAGTTTTCAGGTATTACTTTAAAAACACCCACATATTTGGTGTCTTCAAAGGTGGGCCAAAATTTGACTTTAACAGTGTGGAAAGCTAGTTTGAAAAAACAGCAAAAGAAGTTTAAACGGGGCAGGCTATTTAGGGAAGAACGCACAACTGGCTTTACTGATTTACAGAACTGAGTGGTGGCTTTGCTGTGACCCTGGCAGAACGGTGTGTTCAGGGTCTCTGAGGCTCACACTGAGCTTGCTGCATTCACACAGCAAACCTGTCACACAGCATAGTAAGGTGTACGTGTATGTGAAATGGCAGGAGGTTCTTGAAAATAATGTTTATAGTTCTTGAGGTCAGATGTAAGGATTTAGAGAACAGAAAATGAGACCAAAAAGTTGTTAAATATTAGAAATCTTTTGCTGCTGAACTGTAATAATGTAGGAATGATTTAATTTAAAATTCACAAGGTAGTCATTTCACAGGAATCTTTCTGTGAATCCTTTGGTGCATTTAAGAAACCCCTCAAATTTACATTTTTAAAGGTCAGCATATGCTGTCCATACCACCCAAACAAATGGTTTGCTTTAACAAGCAACTTTCATTTATCTAAGATAAGATAGGTTGGCAATGATCCTTTTGCCATTTCCTTTGAGTACTGTCTAGGGAGAAAAAGAACAGAGAAACTGCAGCTGGTGTACAAAGCTGAAAAAAAAAAAAAATCAAAAGCAATAGTTTTTGATAGAATCATCGGCTACTGAAAACAACTGCGAGGAAGGCTCAGAATCTGTGCGTGTCCAGGGACTAACAGGCCAGTCTGCCTTCCCGTCCCGCCACGTGTCCTTACTTGAAGCTGAAGTTTGACTTGGCATGTATTCTGTAACCTTTCGCCTAATTTCTCTCTCCCCAACGGTGCTATTGTTAATTCATAACCAGGTACAGCAGTCCTCGATTGTCTCTCGCTTGTGTTTAAAACCAAGGAAGACTTTCTAAACCTTGGGACATGATCAGTTCTCCATAAAATTCAGAAGTGGGTCAGATAACTCAGTGGCTGTTTCTCTCTTGTTTCCCTGCTCTTCCCATTGCAGCGGCTGGCTGTTCATGACTCCTCACTGGATACTTTCGGCCAGATCCCCTGCCTCTTGAGGTGGCCCTGCTGCTGAGTCTCTGCCTGGAGTCTGTCTCTTCCACAACCCACTGCCTTTTAGAAAATCACCTTCGTCTCACTTGGCATCGCTCCCTTCACCTTCAGCCTCTACTCTCTGTTTTACCATAGCTTCTTCAGACCCAGGGCTCTCTCTCTGGCTCTCTAAATCCCTAGATCTCTACACTGGTTCCCTGTAAGACCCTCTGAACAATATCCCAAGAATTTTCAAGGGAAATAGCTTCTTACATGAAGGCCCTATGTTTTCTCAAGGGTCTTCAGTGTCTTCACTGAAGACACCGAACCTTCAATTTAATTGTCCTTTTCTTGCCTCTCTTCCTCTGATGATTTTCCCCCAGAAAGGTTGTTTAAAAGGTGATACCCACATTAATCCTGGGAGAAATGTTCGTGTATCAGGGCGCTCAGCTTTAGAGAGCTCATCTTTAAGTAAAATAGTCCCATAATCTTTGGGATGGTTTAAGCAATCATTTTCTTAATGTTTTCTTTCAGGCATAATCATAAAGGGCAAATAGTCTTGTCTCTGGGATTTACACTAAGAGATCAAATTGTTTTCTTAAAAGAATATTGCCTCTGTAGATAGGACTGATATCCTGCTTACTGTTAATTCCATGTGGTGCTATATAGCCCTAGTTTACTAGTGGCACATGAAATAATACTTAGACTATGTCTAAAATCTGAGAGATGGAGATTATAACAACTCAGTCTTTTGTGTACTTATAAGAAGTTATCCACTGGTGGTATAGTTCACGGTTATCTAAAGGGGAAGACTAAGAATGTATGTTCCTTTAGCATGCAATGAACCAGCATTGTACTAATAAATAGAAGCAAGGTTAAACTCTAAACCTCGAATTTCCTTTATTAGTTTTAGACTAGAACTTTATAAAATTGATTAATATGTAAAGACTCACCTGGATTGTTCGTATAAAGGCCACTGTTACCCGTTCTTCAAATTCATTCAGGGGAGTATAAAGGTTTAAGATTTTGACAATCTGGTAGAATAAAAATTAAAAGTTTAGGACAGAGCTAAAGAAAGCTTTGAATTTTAAAGAGTCTGACACTGGCACAAATGTACAGTCCTCTCTAGACAGGACTACCTTGGAGGTATTCACACGTCTCCATTTAGTCCGCAAACTTTGACTGGTGGAGCTGAGCCCTCTTGATGCCTTCCTATCTCCTAGATACCCCTTTGCTGTGTGGGTCATAAAATAAGGATTTTAGGAAACTTGCCTGAAATCCTCAGCCTCATCTAATAATAACTTAAAGGTTTCTTCAAATGAGTTCTGGAAGTACTAGTTAACACAGGTCTTATTTAACACCTCTCTACCTCCCATCATCTGCCCAAAATCATTTACAAAAGAAACACTTTTTCCTCCTTGAAAGGAGAATAACTTATCTGCCTACTATTGATTTGGTAGAATTAGCCTGCCCAAATGCAAAACAGTGTTAGTTGCCTTCTAAAAGTGGATTTATGAGAGCAAAAGATATTTAAAAGGGGAGAATGTCTGTAAACTTATATTTCTAGAAGGTGATTTTCTTTTTTTTCTGTCCTTTATTTTTTATTTTAACATCATTTTTTACACTTTTTTTGGAAAATATTAATAGAAATATTTAATTACTTAGGGAATAAAAGTAATGTGAATATGAGGTTGTAATTTTTTATTTTTAATTTAAATTTTTATTTTTATATTCCCATACAATTACAACCCCCTTATTTTTACCCCAAGCCCTCCTTTCCCCGCCCCCCCACCCCATTTTTTTACACTTTTTTAGACAATAGTTGCTTCCCCCCACCCACTCAGATTGAGTCCCCATAGAATTTCCTTCCCCAAGGCACCTGTGCACCATCACCACAGTCCCCTGTGCTCCTCCCTCTCACTCCTCTCCCTCCTCCTCCCCTGCAGGATGTCTCTGGTTTATAATTGTCTGTTTTTGCCTTTTGTATTTTGTACTGTTATTTTGTTTTTACACTGATGTCTTATTGGGTTCCCCTATATTCCTGTTATAAGTGAAACCATCCGGTATTTTTCTTTTTCCTTCTGGCTTATTTCACTGAGCATAATTCAGAAGGTGATTTTCTTTTTAATTTTTTTTAAAAGAACTTGTTGCTCTATTATCAGAGACTTTAACTTTCTAAAGTGACTTTTTAAAAAAGATTTATTTTTATTTATTCATACAAGAATTGGGGTGTAGGCCGGAGGTGTGGGTTGGTGAGAGGATTCACCTGAGATAGTGGGGAGCAGAACAGGTAGAGCTACTGAAATACACTGCTGAGGGGAACAGCAGGCGAGACAAGAGAGGTCTGCTGTGCCATGTGGGTTGGCTGCCTGGCTGGAGATAGAACTCATGCCACAGTGGTTGGCAATAGCTTGATAGTGCTGTGACTTTACCCAGGGAGGCCCTGAAGGTGATTTTGATTTTCTTGAAAGTTTATTTCATCTTTTAGTAATTAGTGGAGGAAGTAAGGAAAGGTATGCTTAACTTTGCAGTACTGAGTTTGGATTTTGTGATTCTTTAAGGTGCTGGACAGGAGAAGGTGCCAGATGTCATCTGGAAGCTCTGATTTTCTTGTGCGGGTCTCATTTTGTAAAACCACTTTTTGACAGCCCATTTATAAATAGCACACTCAGGATGGAAGGTAAGGTCGCCCAGCATGTGGGCAGGATTGGTCTTTATATATACACTGGGTAATCTCTGCAAGAGTCCTAGTATGCAAACAATTTGGGAGGAAAAGGAAGGCATATTTAAATGCCTCCGGGCTCTTTATTTAAAATAATGTAAATGGATTGAGTGAAAACATGGCTGTAAAGAAGTTAGTTATAAAGAAAGCAATCTTTTTAATGCCTGATGTTGCCAGTTTCTGAAAATATTACAATTTCTAGGTGAGAAATATTTAAGAATTTGTTGCGCTTGAAAAGTTTTTACCCAAGTTTGATGTTTTGTGGGTTTAAGATCTTATCTTTTTAAGTGAACAAAGGGGAGCCAAAAGTTACTGGACAATAGTAACTGTAGCTTCTCTTTTCACAGACCAAAGTGGTCTCTGGTTCAGCCAGGGATATTTCACACCAGCAGAAACTTCAGAATTGTATCATTAGGGCCATATAGAGACTGGAAGTACAACAACCACTGGCAATAATAGACCAGGATTAGCAGTGTTTGGGGTGTGGTAACATATACCTGAAGTGGTATGAACCCAAACCTCTAAATCAAACACAGTGTTGTAAAACAACATTACCTCAATAGAATATAAATGCTAAAAGAAATAACAGGCCTTATGTGGAACCTGGGCTGGGTGAGTGAGGCCTTTGGGTGGCAGGGAATAGCCATACCTGCTGGGTGCTGAGGGAGGTGCACAGTGAGCAGATGGCCTCGGCATCCTCGGGGGTTTTCTTCTTTAACTGCAGGAGTTGGGCTGCTTGTATCAGAGGTTCCATGGTCTGGACTGCTCCACTCTGGTGAAGGTTTCTTCCCCGAAGCCATTCCTCAAGTTGACTTATATTGTACCTTAGATATGGACAAAAGTGAGCTGTGTTAAGGCCAACTGTCATGTTTATTTTGTAGTTTAATTGCAACTAGGGCTGCCCTTCTCACCCTAGTGATCTTACAAAAGCTTGAAAAGTGCCTGGTACTCAGTCACTTTGTGTTGAATGAACAGGTGCTTAAACTCAAGCAAGAGGAAGTATGTGGAGTATCTGTATAATAAGTTAATGGGAAAAGAGGCATTAAATATACCAAGCTCAACAATTTAGACATTCACAAATATTTTACTTCTGTGTAAGACCATGCCTCTTTGCACATTGATTTTTCTCTCCAACCTGTATATAGTGTATGTAATTGATTTGTTTGTAATTGATTTGTAATTGATTTGTTTCCCAAGTTACCACCTCAGTGTTTGAGTTTCAGCAACAAATAAAAGGGTGATGGATTTGAGCCACATACTGACTGTGACAAAGACTATCAATTAGATTTGAATTTAATTTTCACAGACAGATGTCTCATGCTTGACTCTGCTATTGTGCATGGCACCTCTCCATCCTTGTGGCCAGAGCGGGGTACTTCTGACCTACCTGAGTTGCATGCCTGTGCTCCAGGAGCAGACGTCCTTCCTCAGGAGCAGGTTGTTGAGAGTCACCGCGTTGATCATGTAGAACAGCTGTTTGAAAACCTGCAAGATGATCTCAGGGTCCAGGCCCTGGTCGCACATGACTGTGTGAAAGGAATTCATCTGGCGGATGATGGCTTCCAGGCAGTATGCATTATCTCCATCCACCATGCTGGAGGAGCGATTCCGGTAGCCCGTTGGCTTCACACCAGAGAGGCCCTGAATGCTCTCATTTTCCAACATGGCAGAAACTGAAAGACAAGCATGATTAGGGAAGTTTGCATAATCCCCTCAAAGATGTTTTTGGACCACTCAGATCTGCAAGTGTTCAAACAGCGCTTCCACATGAGCCACTCTTCCAGACTTGTTGCACAGTCAGGTAATTATAGTTAGTATTTCTTTTTCAACGACCCATTTATTAGTGAGGAAATTGAAGCATGAAGAGGTTAAATAATTTGAGAAGCTCCACAGAGAGGAAGGAGGATTTGGAAAACACATCCCAAGGGATATACTCCCGGATGGCATGAGGGCCTCTGAACTACTTGGAATTCACTTGTATCTGACCTGTACTCTAAATACCTGGGACAGCATTGCACAACAGACCAGGGGCCATTCCCTCTCCAGCTTTTGTGGAGCACAGTGAGTGATGCATATATGAAACCACTTTTCTTTTAAATAACTGCTTTATATTTGCTATTTTTTCGATACTGATTTCATGTTAACTGTCCCACTGTACTACTTTGAACAAAGTGTTCAATGAGTCCTGGTTGCATGAACACTTACTCGCTACTGTGTTCTTCCACATGAATGCACTTGGTGCTTTCCTGTTTTCATGAATAAGGGGTGTAGGGGTGTGTGTGTGAGAGAGAGATAAAAGGGTTATTATATCTTTTCAGTAATATGCATTTACACCTCTTGAATTTATTATCTATGGGAATTAGTTGGTTTGGGGTAAAAAATTGTGTACTACAGAAAAAGAGATAAAGGTCACGTGACCTGCGTTCTCACTACCCCAAGCATCATGTATCTCCATGGGAAGCTTTCTGGTTGGGACAGGCAGTGCTTACCACATTTCCCCTGCTTCAGAACCCATGATGAGTGCTGGAGAGCCTGTTGCCAGCTTACCGATCATTGGCTGCAAAAGCCCCTCGGCGATTTTAATGAGCTGCTGGTAGATCTGAATGGAAAGGTCACTCAGCACCTGGCGGTATTCAGTGAGGTCAAAGTTCTTAAGACAGTGCTCATTCTGCTTGGAGGTATTCTGAGTCATGAAGCCCTGCAGAGGGAAAGCAGAGAGCTCTACTGAGGTTCTGTGGTCTGCTAGCCTTAGCAGGACTTCTGGGCATCTGGTTACTCTCAGAATAGCCTATAGTGAGGCCTTAGTAGCCTCTCTATATGATGTCCTATAAAACCCTGTCATTGAATTGAAGACAGTGAAAACTTAGCATGATAGAGAAGTTGGAACTGCTTAATTAAAAAGGCCTAAATCATTTAGTCCTATCCCTGAGGTGAGATGATGTGATTTTCCTAAGATAGCAAACACCAGGTTGGTAGCTGGTCTAGGGAAGGAAGAATCTACACTTTCTGATTCTGTGTCCAATTCTCTTTCCAATATACCTAAAATATTAGATGTTGCACAGCCCATACAGGAGTATGGCCCTGGGTCAGTTTGTATGGGTATCAAAATTAATAGATGAACTGACTCCCCAGCTCAGAACTGTGTCCTCTAACAAGATAAAATAATATGTACATTTGAAAAACTGCTAATATCCAAAGGACTCAATGTGACCATTGTTCTCCCTTCTATATTCAGGTGAAAAGAAACCAGCAATAGGCAAAAATATCAGTGTTTCCTTCCAAAATGGTGACCAGCCCCAGAAGATTGTCTTGCGACATGTCACATCCCAAAACTTTTAATAAAAACAAAAACAGGCAGAAGAGGAGACAAATGTGATAGCTAAGTATATATGCGTGTGTGTATGTATGTGTATATGGACATATATTTTTTCTCTCCCTTGTTAGACTCTATAAGATGTGTTTACACTGTGGTTAAGTCTTGTCCCTGAGAAAATAAGCATGTACAACAGCAGCCTGAGGTGATGGGATTCAGGGGCCTCCCCAGCCGTATATAGAGAACACACACCACATTGGGAAAAGTGATGAACTTGAGTGAAATAACATTAAAGGTGTTCTTGGCTTCAAGTGAAAGTCTGTATGTGATATTCGGGTTAGGTACTAGGATGTCTGGTTTGAAATGAAGGCCATTTCTTCTAGTAATACAGTGAATCCACTTCAACATTTAACCTATCACTTTTATAATAAGCAAGTGGTCAAATGAAGCTCTGACTTAAGGAGAGCTCTGGAATCAAGGCACATTCCACAAAGGGTGAGGCCAAGCCGATGGCACACTCTTTAAACATTCTATCAAAACTTGATCAGGCACAGAAAGTGCCTGATAAGATAAGCTTTAAAGATAAGCTTTAAAAATTGTTGCACTGTCTATGGGTTTATATTACATGTTGACCTGGAGAAGGGTGGAGAGTAGACCAAGTAATCAGATTTAGTCAGAAACATGAAATTGGGCCTCAGGGTCAGTTTGTATGAATGCACTTTATGTTGAGTCTCTTGTGGCCATAGTGTGCCTTGACATGGACACCCTGGGTACCTGGCTTAGGAGATGGGCCCACTAGACACACAGGCTTTCTTCAGCAGTCGCTGAAAGGGCCTTGTCTAGGGCTACCTCAGAAAGTCAGGGTCACAGAGGTCTCCCTGGAGCGTCCTAGGGGCTCTTAGGAAATGATGGATCATATGAACTCATTTCCCTACTACTTCGACTTAATTTGAGTCTGGGGCTTTTGGGGGTCCTGGCTGCCTTCCTGCTTCCTGACATATAGCAGATGTATAATGAAGCATGCCCATGGCCTGAAGTCCCAGAGGTGCTCCGAAGACCTTACACCCTCTCCTTAGGGGAGATCCATTTTCAGACAAAGCAGGGGTGCCTTCCATGACTGATGCCACCCCCTATTCTGAGATCTGAGGTGCTCTGATGTGGAAGCCCTATGGTTGTGCCTGAGGAATAAGGACCTGACTGGTGAAGGACCTGGGGCACTTCAGGGATGGCTTGTGTCAGCACTCACCTCATCCCCACTGTACTGTTTCAGGCAATGGAGGAGGCGGCAGGTGTTGGATAACCAGAAGGATGTCATCTCAAAGTCATCATTGTGCTTCTGTGGAGAGAAAAAGACATCCCAGCTCTGAGCAGTGATTGCCACCTGGTGAGATGCTTACCTGATACCGCTCCCTCCGTGTTTCCCTTTCTCACCCAGCAAGACCTGTGATGGGGAGGTACTCGCCTGTCACAGAGAGGACTCCAGGGCTAAGAAGTTGCATTACTGTCCCTCCACTACCTGGGATGGGAAGCAAACCCCTCTCCTGGTCCACACACTGAGGACAGGTGACCTTCAGGCTGAACATACAAAGCCAGTGACACAGACAAAGCTTCATGTCAGCAGCCCTGGGCTCTACCACAGGGCTAGTGGTCCAGGCAGGTTGCGAACTAGCAGCGATCCAACCTAAGGGATATTGGGGAACATGCCCACGAGATGGTCTGGAATCTAGCTGTCTAGTCATTTCAACCCTAGAAATGGTTCTAAATCACAACTAAAGGCAAAAATCTACTCAAAAATGCAAATAGCTATCACATGGTTTTGGGACTGAGATGAAGGACTCTGAGGAGCTCATGATCTCAGGTAAGCATTATCCTTTAAATGCTGGAGACGTGTCTTCTGATGACAGTAAGACAAGGAAGTAGAGAGTGACTGGTGTGGCTGGACATGCCTGTGGGGCTGGTGATCTGGGCAGGCTTCCCTGAGGAATTGACATTAGAAGCCAACCCCTAGCTGGAGCTCACAAGAGGTCAAGGCAGGAGACAAGTGTGAAAGCCACTTTCACATGCAGAACAGAGAGATGTGTCCAGGGCTGGTTGTGGCTAAGTGATTATGGAGCCTGTGGAAGGGGAGACGGTGCAGCTACTAAGGTCAAACTGGCAGAAGATGGAAGTGAAATGTTGGCACCGGCATGCCCACAGAAGGGAAATGAGGGGCAGCAGCAGTGGCTCAGTGGTTCCCACAACTGGCCTGGATGTCTGGTGTCCTGAGGTGGGGATGCTCTTGTGAACTGAAGTCAGTCTCTAAGACTGGCACCATTGGGGGAGGAAGCCCCTCCCACTGAGGGAAAAGCCCCTTGTAGTTGGCATCGCCTCCCTGCAGGCTGACCTGTTACTGCAATGGCCGCCACTACATTGGAGAAGCACCTCATGCCTTTGAGGCGGCATTCTGGACCCACACCAGTGTCCTCTCAGCAGCCCCATCTTGCTAGGCTGCCTCGTTTGGGAGCTGACAAATGTCAGCAGCCTCCCTGGGTGGTGGGCCCCAGCCCCTTGGAATGGTCCAGTAAACAGCTTATGTTCAGAGTGGGGCCAGTCCCGCTCAGCTGAAGCAGGACGTCTTCCTACCATCCCTGGGCAAGGCTCTGAAAGCACTGGGGCTCCCTGGAGGCTTAGCAGGGAGCGGCTGGAGGACTACCCCGGAGTTCTGGGCTTCCTGCCATTTCTGAGCCCCCTCACCCCTTTCTGGAAGTGCCTGGTGGGTATTCCGGTTACACAGGTGAGCTGCTTCTGTGCTTACAGCATTTACCCGCACAGATGGAGACTTTGTAGAACTTAATACTACAAAACCTGGGTAGAGAAGCAATGGTGAGGTGGGGCTTGTGACTCTCCCTGTGATTTGCAGATTCATATACAGCCTCTTGTTTCTTTCCTGCCAGCTAGCAGTGATCAGATTTCCATTTCAGAGTAAGCCACAGGGCAACCAGTGGTGGCAGGAACCCAGAGGAGGAGACAGACGAGGTGAGAAGGACTTACTGGATCCACCGCCACCTGGGGCGTGGGCACGTACCTTGAGGACTTTCTTGATGCCGTTGATGGTGGAGGTGAGCAGGGAGTGCACCTTGACATCGTCGTTGATGTAGTCGGCGTGCCTGATGCACATGTAGAGGATGTAAGCCGGAAGGCAGGGGACCGTGCCTGCCAGTGTCTGGGGCTTCAGATCTAACAGTATCAAAGAGCAAGGGCATTTGCAGCTGAGACCCGTGCAGTTGAGAATGAATGTATGAATAGATTTTGGGGCAGGGAGAAGCTTCCCTGGGCACATAAACACCTCTGACCCTGCCTACCAGCAGTTTCAGAAACTGGTTAAAACCCCAAACACCACAGTCCTGATTGTAACAAAATTGGTTCCCATATAGAACTCAGAGGTAAGTTTACTCCCTGAGACAAGGCGTTGGTGGCAAGAGACCTATGAACACAGAGGGGCTCCCTGCCCTGGTGAAACTACATTCCTCTGCACTCCTGACCATGGCCACAGGTGGCTTTGGCAGCAAGAATGCCAGGCTGATCCCATGAGAACTTGGCAAATTGTACATCTGTGAAGACAGCCAACTTGCCAGGGCCAGGCAGACTGCAGCAACCTCTAGCACATTTGGCCCTCAGCTGGGAAACTATTTACCTGGCAGAGTCTGCTGGCCATTCTCATAGCCAGATCAAGCTGGCAGATGAGTGTTTTCACCGTTGCCCACCTTCCTCCTGTTCCTGTCAGTTTGCTCTGGCAGAACTTAAAGGGGCTTGTGACTCTCCCTGTGATTTGCAGATTCATACACAGCCTCGTTTCTTTCCTGCCAGCTAGCAGTGATCAGATTTCCGTTTCAGAGTAAGCCACAGGGCAACCAGTGGTGGCAGGAGCCCAGAGGAGGAGGAGACGGATGAGGGGTGAAGGGCACCTGCGCTGTCTCCTCCTCCACTCTCATCTCTTCCACCTGTAACCACCACCCACCCCAGACCTCAGGCACCTTCTCCAGCTTGGAATGGCCAGTGGGAGAGGCCACGTACCCTTCACCTACAGGCGGACCAGGGGCTGGGGAAGGGACAGCATCCTTAGATCTGCCAGGGCTGTGCTGCCAGCCTCTCTAGTTGATCCTGGGGTCACATTGCCTCCCGAGCACATCCCGTCCTTCTAGTCAGCTTCATACTCTGGTACGTGGTTAACATTCGGGCACTTCATAGGCGCGACAGATGTCTGTGAATCCACCCTGGCTCTAATTAGAACGTCAGGAATATCCAGAAAAGCATATTTTAGGGCCCAGACATCTGAACGATAGCCTCTTGCTTCAAGTCTGACCCATGTGCAGATTGCAGACAGCCTGTCCTACCCTGGGATGTGAGCCTGGTCTCCCGTCGGCTGGCTTGGTCTGCCCAGACAGATGGTAAAATCATGGGGGCCAGGACCGCGGCTCTACAGTTCTCTCAGCTAGCCAGTGCTGGTGCCTAAGAGGTGGGCACAAAAGCCCTGGCAGCCGTTGGGATGGCGTGTTCTGCAGGGAGGTGACGGCACTGTGCAGCTAGCTTAGCCAGCAGGACCTTGCCTCAGGCCCCCTGAGCAAGACGCTGGGAGGAGCCGCTCATCTGCAGACAAGGGCAGGCTCATTTTTTCACTCTGATGCTCTGAGCTTTGAGTGTCGCTCACCAGAGATTAAAGGTTCATTCCCAGCAGCATTTGAACAAGAGGCAGCCTCTTTAAGGAAGTTTGAGATGACCCATGTCACATTAATTATTGGGCAAGTGTAGGGGAATTAACCTCTATAAAAAGAGCAAAATACGCAGCTACTAAAAATACCCAAAGCAAAGCGCAAATGGAAAATGGGTGCCAGGCCAACGTCACGCTTCGCCATTCCTGTGGTCCTCAGCACAGGGCTAAGCTGGCAGGTTGGACCTTCTACAAACTTCAGTCTCTAAAACAATGTTGGTTTCTTATCTGAACTTCTGCCAAAGCTACCACTTCTTCGAATTCCTCGACTTCGAGAAGGGTGTGTAGCTTTAGCACTGTCCCCCCTTTGTCAGTTTGCCGGGACCCTGATGCCCTGTTTACAGAGGTGAGAACTGAGGCCCAGAGAATGGGGCTGGGCGGGCCATGGGAGCAGCAAGATTCCTCTCTCCTCTAGGATGCTGCCTCCATAGCATAGGGGCGGCTGCTGCCCTGAACTAGACACAGAGCAGGAGGCTGGGCACCTTGAAGCCAGAGGGGCCTCAGCCTGTACCACTGGCAGAGCAGGTTTGGGGCCGCTGAGAAAAGCAGCTCGCAAGAGCCCTGCTGTCCACCTGGGCTGCACAGACCTCAGCGTTCAACCACTTGTGAACCGGACAGGAATGCTGCCTGAGGTGGGTGAGCGAGTGGGGTTTGTGTGGGGGGATGTGATGTGGGAGGGGAGTAAGGGTCCTGACCTGTCACCAGGTTCCGGATGAGGAGAGCCTCGTCCTCCTTGTGGTACTCCAGCATGCCCTGGAAGTCCTTCTCTTTCCGCTGGACAGTGACCTGCCTGTTGAGCTCATGGCGCTTCCTGTCACTTTGGGCCAAGGCCTGTGCAGCTGCGAAGGAAAGAGATGGTGGAGTATGAACGGAGCCCTTCAGATTCAGGCCCGTGGGGCAGGGAGGTCCAGGACCACTGTTCTGGGTTCTCTGAGTTCTCGCACTCCAAGTGTGATCTCAGGAGCTGAGCACCAGGAGGATAAAAAATAGAGGATAAAAAATAGAGAAAAGAAGTCCATGGAGGAGCACAGGGTGAGTATGGGGAGAGAGGGCCTGAGGCCCATTTGAGAGCAGCAGGTGAGCATAAACGTGAGATTAAGCTAATACAGGAAACCTGTGGTGGAAACGACCCCACGGGCACAGGGTGTGACAAGAGCGAGGGGCAGGACTTGAGCCCTGGGGACTAGGCCCGGGATGCAGCTCTTGAGCCAAGGGTGGAAGGATGTGGTGGTGGTGGCGGGGAGAGGTATCCAGGTGGTGCCAAGGCCAAGAGAGGGTCCCAAGAAGGTGGCAGGTGTACCAGTGGGTGGGGCGTGGTGGTTAGAGTTGTAGCAGGGAGTCAGAGGAGAGTGACTTAGATCTCAGCCTGAGCTCTCTGAGCCAGATTCCAGTGCAGAACTGACCTCTCTCCTGCCTGACTAGCCACAGCCCGGGGCGAGGCCCCTGCGGCTGTCTCTGTGTAATGCCTTGCCTCCCTCCCAGTGTGCACTCGCAGAACACAGCAGAACACACGCTCACACACTCACCTTCCAGGTCCTGGACTTTCTTCATGTAAATCTTCAGTTGTTTTTTGAGCTTCTTTTCATTCTTTTCCAACTTTTCTACCAGTTCTTTCAGGTCCTGAAAGCAAAAGGAAATGGTAAGAATGGCCTCAACTCTGCCCTAGAGGGCAGGGGTAAAATGCCAGGGCTCAGTGTGAAGGTCACTGAGGAGGGCTGGGCTCTGTGGCGACCAGGTGACCTGCCCCACTTGCTGCTCTCCGGGCCAGACACAGGAAGCAGGACATGGGTCAGAGCTCCTACTCTCAGGAGGGTGCCAGCTCCTCCTGGCTCTGGCTGCCTGTGTCTCAAACCCCAGGGTTCTCTAGGCCAATATTCTCCTCCCTTCTCCCAGGCCAGCCTGGGGTTCCTCAGGTGGGCAGAGACTAACCCGGGAAGGAATGAGCAGGGGGAGGGGAAGGCAGTGCCAGCAGACCAGCGAGATGACCTGGGGCCCAGAAGCAAATAGCCCTTCACCAAGGCCCCCCAGCCCATGGCCAGTGGGCCTCTGGGGCCAGAAAGGCAGGCAGGGAGCTCCACCTCCATCACGGTCTCTGAGACTAGGAGTGATGTGGTATCTCAGAAAACATCTGTGTGACAATTTTTTAAAGTTGGCCTGCAGATGGAAGTCAGCCAAAAAAGCTCAACCCCAGGGCTGCTGCCATGACAAATGACACACCTAGTTAGTTACACACTCAAGGACTTCAGCTATTTATCTTAATCAAAAAGTCAAAAAGTAAAAAAAAAAAAAAGTTGTCAAATTGAGAGGTGCCTAAAAACTCAGCCCAAAGGACAGGCGAGGCAGCATAGACTAAAAGACACACTTGTGTCTCTCCCACCACTGTGCAAAGTGCTTCACTCTCACCTGGGAGGCCCAGCAATAAAAGCCCCAACACCTATTTGCAGCTAGAAAAACATCAGGTGCTCCACCAAGGAGAGACGAATCTGGCAGGCAGGCCTTGGCCCCGATCAAGACCCTGAAATCTCAGCCAGTTTCTGGGATAAGAGTTTAGGAGGCCCAAGGCTCCACCTGCCCACCCCTGTGAGGTGCCTGCCCGCCCCTTAAATCCTAGACCACGAATCCTTTACAAGGCAGTGGTTCTCAGTGCTGCCAACTGCAACCGCCTGGGGCTCTTTCTAGCCGGCAACCAGCAAATTCAGGGCAAACAAAAGGGAACACAGGGCCTCCCCTGGTGGCGCAGCGGTTGAGCGCTGGGTTGCGAAGCTGCCCACGGCCTCTGCAGCGCCGGTTCGATCCCCGGCTGCTCCCCGGCCACTGGAGGAGGGTCCCACATGGCGCGCAGACCTCTCCTGCCAGCCCGCTGCTCCCCTCAGCAGTGTACTTCGGTCCTTCTGCCTGCTCTGCTCCCCGCTCTGGCTATGGTGGATTCTCTCACCCTCCCGCGCTTCTGACTGTACCCAGTGCTTGTATGAATAAATAAATCTTAAAAAAAAAAAAAGTGAATACTTAAAAAAAAAATTAGTCAAAAGGGAACACAGTGCTGCGCGTGAGGGGGTGAGGGGCTTCGAGCGCTACCAAGGCCAAAGTCACAAAGCTAAAGCTGTGGATTGTACAAAAGAGTGAGATCTGCCCAAGAGGACTCTTGGAAACATGGCCGGGGATATCTAAATTTTTAAGGCAGAATAATCCTCGCTTTCCTGCCGCACAGGCCTGGGAGAGCTGCAAAGTCCGTCCCTGTCACTCCAGCTAGAAGTCAGTCCCCTGGATCCTGTAATCTCGGGTCCTGACGCACCGCAGCCGTATTGTGGCCCGTGTGCACAGACCTCATCTCTGCCAGTGTCAGGACCCCCCCCACTGACCCACTTTTTCCCCCCAACCCCAATTCTGCTACTGGGGAAACAGGGCAGACCATGCTCTCGGAATCATCCATCAGGCTGCAAGCTGAAGCCTCATCAGCCGCCTCCTTGTCCTCCAGACACTCTGGCTCCTGTTCAGACCCAGGGCACGCTGACTCCTAAGCTGTCTCAGCTGGGGGGGTTCCTCCGTGGAATACAGCCTTCCTGGCAAGGGGCCTCCTGGCCAGTGACCCTTCCAGCATCTCCCACATGGCCTCCTTTATGTGGCAGAAGCCAGCCTTTCCATAAAGCCACCTGCTCACACGTGCGAGTGGCGGGGAGAAACGGAAGGAGGGCAGGCCCTTTGCATATGTATCCCCAGTCTAGGACCCACTTCCCCCCTTGGGAGGAGGGACTGGCCACCCACTGAGGGGTCCCCTGGTAATAAAGGGGACTGGAAGCCCTGCAGGTATATGAGGCTGTGGGTTGGGTTTGGGGGGATTCCCACTGTTCCCCGCAAGCTCACTCCTGCCTGTGTCCCATGTGCCTCCGCTCTGCCTGTATGGTCCACGTCCCCTTCCTGCCTCAGCTCCACCTCCTCTTAAAAGCCTCCCCTACAATTCTCATTGTAATACCACAGTCCCCCAGTAACTTGGGATTTCACTTTCTATGGTTTGTTACTGATGGTCACATGTGATTTGAAAATACGCTGTATTTTGAGAGAAACCCCATTAGCGTAACACTCAGTACATTATAATGATTAAACACTGAAGTATAACTACCCTGCTGTTAATCTCTTACTGTTTCTAATTTACAAATTAAGCTTTATAACAGGTGTGCATGCCTAGGAAAGAGGATACAGCAAGAGTACCGTCTGCAGTTTTAGGCACCCTCTGGGTGTCTTGGAATGCACCCCCTCAGATAAGGGGGCTGCCATGTTTATTAGTCGCATGCAGAAGCATGTTTTCAGAAGTACCCGCCTCTCTCTTTTCACGTGTCTGCTTCCCCTCTAACCTGTATGCTCTCTGAGGACACAGCAGGCTTCCACTTCTCCGGCCCTTTGGCAAGCATCTGTGAGGATGGCCACCGACAATTCCTCCTCTTCCTCCTCCCAGAAACAGGGGGCAGAAGTGACCCTGTGCCACTTCTAGACTGAGGTCTTCAGAGACCTCCCAGCTCTACCTTCCCCCTCTTGGAGCAGCACCATGTGAGGCAGCTTGGGGTCACCAGTGAATGGTGGGGGTGGGCAGCCACAGAACACAGGGGAAGGAGCCACGCCCCAGCCAGCACCAAGGACCCAGAACTCATGACCCTCTTCGTGGTGGTGGCTGTTACGCAGCTAGGTTTGGGGAGGTTGGTTATACAGCAACACGTAACAGAGATGGTGTCCTAGACCCTTGCTAACTAGAGGTTTCTATATTTAGCCCTGTCACAGGGCCAGCAACCTAAACCGTGTCCATTTGGCAAAGGGTACTCCCTGGCCTCATTTTCTTCTGGAGCATGTCTGCTGAGCCGGGGCCCAGCGGGCAGCCCTACTCACCAGGTTCTCGTTGGTCAGCCGGGAGAGCTCCTGCTGCACGCCGAACTCCACCTGGGCCTCTGGAGACAGCAGCAGCGTCTGGCAGAAGGTCTGCTGCTGCTTGTCCAGCTCTTCCCTCAGCGCCTCCACCTGGGCCTTGAGCTGCTCCACCTCTTCCTCATGCTCACGGCTCTGAGCCTGCAGCTGTGCTTCCAGCAACCTGCAGCAGGGGAGGAGGGCAGGTGACTGTGGGGTTTGGGTCAGGGCCCCAAGGCAAGGGGCCACATGTGGACACGTGACAGGTGAGCAGCCAAGCACGCGACAGCAGCAGCCATTGCACAGACCCAGCTGGATGGGCACCGAGGGGCACATCAGGCAAGCAGGCCAGCGTGTCCTCTCGGAGGATGCCAACCCAGGCCCCTCACTCCCTCGTCTGCGGCAGTCTGTTGGTTTGGGATTGAGAGATTCTCTCCAGGTCAAAATGTCATCTGCTGAAATGTCTTACAGCATCTTTTAAGTAACAGCAGGCATGGAAACCCCAAAACTCACAGGAAGGTCCTCGAGAAGACAAACTCGGGTGGATTGAACACATTCTATTACACATTTTCTTTACTAGACTCTCCACAAATTTTAGAAAGGTAAAATATTTGCCCCCTTCTTTATCTTGATCATGCCCACCCCCACTTAATGCCTGATCTGAGCTCTAATTTTCCCCTCCAGTCGAACTGTGGCTAAATGACATGGGGGAAGGTTTAAGGTCACCTGGTGTCACCACAAGGAGCAGAGCACCCTAGCAAAGATCTGGAGGCGGTCGGGGAGAAGTCTCACAAGATGTTTTGAGTGCTGGGAGAGCACCCGTCCAGCTGACACAAGGCCAGGGATGACAGCTGCTAAGGTTAAATACCAACGTGACTAGGGAGCTGTCTTTTTGGACTCAGTTACGTGAATCAGAAACTTGGTGATCCGGTACTACGAACCTCACACGAGAGAAGGTAGCGGTGCTGGGTCAAAGGCACCACTACAGGCTTCCTCGCATGGTCTGCACGGTGGAAGATTCACCCCAGTCTGTCTCTGGGGTGCAGGTAAAGACTGACCGGGGTAGGAGGAGCTGGGAGTGCCTGTGCGCAACTGCTCAAGCCCCGGCTGCCCCAGAGGCAGTGAGAAGAGGAGCAGCTCTGCTCATTCTGCAGGTGAGACAGGAGCATTTGCACCACACACTCCCAGAGGGAAGCATTTCCCCATAAAGCATGGGGTGCAGTGCTTCCTCCCAGGGGCGATGCAACAAAGAGGCCTGATCCGCCAACCAGGCAGGCAGGATCTCTAAAGGCAGGCGCAACAACATGACTGTGGGGAAGAATTTGGTGATGACATCAGCATTTTTGCAGCCACACAATATCCAGGATGGCGTCCAGTCCTGGCTATGGTATACCCAACGTCGTCCTAAGTTATAGATTTAGCGAGAACAGGAACACCTGGGTGATGGGGACTGTGCTGAGGGTCAGTTCCCCGTCCCTGCAGCGAGCTCACGGCTCACATCTTTATTTCCACACAGACCGTGGTCACTTAGACCCAAGTTCTGTGCCCGCTCCAAGAATGCCACCCAAGCATCTGCCAGGGGCAGGGGGCACTTCATCCTGCAGGCAAGAAAACTAGGGCTGGGTGGCGGGGGGTCGGTCCAAGCCCACAGCCAGCAGCAGAGCTGGTTCTAGAAGCCAAATCTCCTGATGCATCAGCCTGTGCTTTGTGTTACTCATTATCTGTTATGCCTTAACTCCATCCAGTCTGCTGAGAGGGAACCATGAGGAACCTACAGGTTTCACATGTGGGCTCCCCAGTCCAATATAGTAAACTTCTGGGTGGGGCAGGACTCTGCTCTCCCTGAACACTAGCCTTTATAATAAGAGAAGCCGCTGCTACCCTCTGTCCTGTGCCTACTGCATGCCAGGCCTGCACCACGCGCTTTTTCTGTATTAACTCTGATCCATTCCATGACCCCCTGAGGCAGGTCCTGTTCTGATCTACAACCTGCCAGCAAAGGAAGGGGTATGGGCGTCCCCTTGCCTACAGATCATGGGGCCACATTTGAACTTGGAGCCAGGAGACATGTTACCTGGCACACTAGGTGACTCTGACTTGCAGAGAAGAGATGCTCTTGTTGCTGTAACGGCAGAACTCCGGAGATGGTGTGTGAGACCAGACTCTGCCCCACCTGGCTGAGTGAGCTGGGAGTGGCCCTCACTGCACCTTGCTGAGCCTTCTTTTAGGAAACAAGCCTGACGAGCACTGCCCCATCTTTTGCGGGGGCTCACATGAGCAAAGCTATATATCACAGACCTGAAAACACACACACAGCAATGTACACGCAACGTGGCCAGGGCTGTGCTATTTCTATGCGTGTCTGACCTCCTTGCTCAACTGCCCTCCAAGAGCTGAAGGTCAGCGGCTTATGGATTCAGACTCTGGTATCGATGGAGCCAGGTTCCAATTCTGGATCCTCAGGTTCCTCAACCCCTCCAAGCTTCAGTGTCCTCGCCCACAGTGGTTCCAGGGGGCCATCGAGTGTTAGCACCTTGACCCAACAGGCAGCCGCCCCGACATCACCCACACAACCCGGACACCAAGTGGCAGATGGGTGACCCAAGGGGCTGGCTGCCAGCACCCCACTGTGAGCCCTCCCTGGGCCCTCGCCTCCACTCCAGCTGAAAAACAAGCAAGACATGAGCAGGCGGAACAGACAAAGCAGACACAGGAAGAAAGGCGTATGTTTGACCTGGCAACTTGCTTTAGGCCTTGGTAGGCCAAGCCGAGTTCTCCATCTTCATTCAAATATCCCCAGTCCTCAGTCTTGCTAGAAATAAAGGACAGAAAAACAGGGAGTCCAGCGTCGAGGAAGGAGGGAGGCAGAGGGTCCAGGAAAGGAAGGCGACACCAGTCAGTTGAAAACTAGAGGAGAAAGCCTGAGAAGTGGCTTCCTAGCCTGGCGCCTGCAAACCACCACCCACCCCGCCCCGCCGGGGCTCTCGCTACTGTCCTAGAAGCGGGTCCTGCGAGGACAGCACCTGTCCTGGTGAGCCTGGGGGCTGGGTGCACTGGCCGCTGTCATTCGCAAGCTCCTCCTGTCCCTCCCCCACGGCCCTCCCCTCTGCCTGAACCACTTGGAAGAGGGACACTCAGGAGAGATGCGAACGGGCAGGAGGAGAGGACCAAGCCCAGTGAGAGCTGCTGGGGTGAGGGGCACTGGCTGTGCCGGGTGGTCTCCTGGACACTGCCTTCCTGGGAACTGGCACTGGTGGGCAGCTGGCAGCGAGGATGAGGAAGGGGCCGTCTATTGAGCCAGCTCTTCAATGCTTAGCTCCTTTGACCACTCAGGAACACTCACGTAAGTGTTCCCCGGGCTTGATTCCACCCTTGCTTCATTCAGTCTTGCATGAAGAAAACTTGACCCAATAGGCAGCCTCCTGGCATCACCCACAAAACCTGGACACCAAATGGCAAATGGGTGACCTGAGGGGCTGCCTGCCGGCACCCGACTGTGAGCCCTACCTGTGCCCTTGCCGCCACTCCAGCTGAAAAATGAGCATATCTATGTTAACAAAAACTATGATGTGTGGTCTGAGAACTCAATTTCCTCCCTGGACCTTGGCACTGGCACCTTACCCTGTCTACTCAATCTGGAAGGTGGGAGGCCAGAAGCCTTCTATTGGAAAGTTCTTTTGCTCTCTCCACTTGTCTGGTGTCTGTCTGATGCCTGCAGGGCTACTCTTGGAGATGAGGGGTGTGCCACAGGCTCCTTGCACACACTAACACACCTGGTACAAGCCTGGGCACACAGGAGACCCTCAAAGGCCAGCAGGATTGGGTGGCCTTCTGTTGGTTGGAGCCAAGCTTTCCTGAGAGGAATTAGGCTGTAGGAGCAGCAGCCATTCTACCTGCTCTCAGGGGGGAAATAATCACCCCCAGGAGTGTCTGTGGCCGTGGCCAGCCACTGCAATCTCCTGTCAGCTTTTGTGTGAGGTCCAGGGAGCGGTGCTCCTATTTCCTGTCCTCAGCTCAGTCTCATGAACAGGAGCCCCAGCTCCTGGGGCTCACATGGGCCTCTGCTGGGGCAAAGCCTGTCCCATCAACACCAGGTCCACTCTGAAAAGCCTCAAGGAGTGGAGAGAGGGAGCTAGCAGGGGTGCATCTCTGGGGCTACCGCTTCGCAGCTTGTTCTCCCTCCAGCTAAACGATGGGGGTGGGGACGGGGCAACTGCCAACCAGTTTATCCCAGTGATGGCTCCTGTCAGAACTCCTGCCCCCCACAGCATCCAGAGCTCTCACCCAGATACTGCCTGCCTCCCCAGATCCTGCCTTTGGTTGCAGACTTTGTGCTGCCCCCTCCCGTGCTTAGCACTTCCCTGTCCTGTGTGTGTCATTTATTCAGAATCCAAGAGTGACCGGGCGGTGTCGAAGGAGAGTTGGTGGTTTAGCCCCTTTCTCTTCTCAGGCTCTAACCTACATTTCACACGGGAGCAGCTGCAGGCACTGCTGTGGCCCTTCCTGGTGGGGGTGGGGGGGATCACGGGGCAAGGGCCCCAGGGATCCAGTGCTCCAGCCCGTGGAGGGCCAGCAAGATGGAGAGCACTTGCCCGACGCTGATCCCTGTGCTGGAAGCAGGTGGTTTCCTGGCCTTGGCCGAACACGCTTCCCCGCCTCACACTGGCTCCCCCTCCAGACTCTAAATGGGTTGCTGGGCCTCTCAGATGGTCACCCCACTCCTGTAGTTCTCATGATGGCAGATCCCTAAAACCTTACCAAGGCCCCCAGTGGGGGTGGACCCTTGTATTAATCCCCCTACTCAGAGGGAAACACTCAGATTCCTATTTCTGTGACATGCCAGACCTTATGGACAAAAAGAACCGCACAGGCCGGTCAGCCAAATTAAAAAATTAAAAATCCGTCAACTGACACCAGGCCCCTCCTCCACGCCCAGCCAAAGAACCAAACCCACACGGCCTTTCCCTCGCAGGCTCAGCGCTAAGGGGCAAAGGCAGGGAGGGGCGCCCCCTGGTGGTGTGAGCTGGAAAACCCGAACGAAGCCGCTCACAGGAATGAATTATTTAAAATACAAGTGCTTGATGTCAACAAATCAACAAATATCCGTGGGGAAGCTCCCGTGTGCGCGCGACTGTCCCGAACCCAACGAGGCCACAGATGCACACAAATCAGCAGCAGGTGGGCTGTCTGACTGTAGGGGGCAGCAGAACACAGCACTGAGCACACCTGCTGGCGAACCACCCTCCGGAAGGATCTCGGCCCTGGATAACCTCCTACGTGCTCTGAGCCTGCCTCTTCACGGGTAAGTGAAAGTGCTTGGCTGAACTATCTGAGTGGTTCCTTCTAGATCTTTAATTACAGAACCTTCTAACTGTAAAGGCTGTGCGCCAGAAAAGGCCTGAGGTAACACAGCTTTCCCCCACCACCTCTGAAATCTTAGCTAAGCTGAAATGGCCTAAAATGAAGAAACCACCACCATATAACCTGCCCAATCATACCAAATAACACATAAAACCTAAAATAACACTACACATGGTAATGGCCGGAATAAGATGCACAGAAAACAGAAAGGCATTCCCAGGGAAAGAGCTCCGTGGGGCCACTCTCGCTGCTTGGGGTGAGCGCCCTCGTCACAGCTGCTGCAGAGCCAGCACTGAACACTAGTTCTGGTTTTCGCCCTTGGCTGTAAAAGCAAACTTCCTCTCTGGATTTCTTTTGGGTAGCGCGAGCAGGTACTAATAATGTAGGTCTTTTGTAAAAGCAAGAGACATGATGTGAAGTTGTGGAAAGCGGGATATGTGTATTGCCCTTCTCCTCTGAGGAGAGGGGGGAGTTACGGCTCGACAATCTTCCCCCTGCTGTGACTCATGGTCCCGCCAGCTCCAAGACCCACAGTTTGTCCAACCAGCAACAAGATCAGCAGTTTCCTGTCTCTCAAAAGCCCACGTTGTGCTCAGTGGTTGTTCTCACCTCCTTACCTCACGTGTGGACTTACTACCCACCTGCCCAGGACCTCACCTGGAGCTTCTGAGGAGTGTGGGGCAGCTACCCCAACATAAAAATGAGAGAATCACTTGAAGCCACAGACCTGGACACATGGGGTGACTTGCTTGTGGGTCAAAGTGATGATTACACTGATGGCCTTGAGAGCCGAGCATTTCTAGGCAGGAAGAGTTCAAGGGGGGCCTCTTCCCCCACCTCTGCCATATCAAACAGGGCATCCTGCTGCAGCTGAGGTTGAGCTTTCCTCTCCAAGGGCACCCCAAGGGGGCTGCACACACTGCTTTGTGCTTACAAGGCCTCCACTGGCCTAGAAGCTGGCATGTGAATAACTCCAGGCTTACCGGCCCAGCCCAGGTGGCAAAAAAACTGCTCCTGCTTTCTTTGACCTGCTGCGTGACCAGGTGCTACAAGGAGGGTGCCCAGGACTGAGGAAAGATCCAGTCATGCCCCGAAGCCTCACCCTGGCATTCTACAGACGTGGGAGGCTTGGGCGGAAATGGTGGTGGCCAAAGGAGCAGTTTCTTGGAGCCAGACTTGAGTCCAGCCACACTCCCACTCCGCTGAGAACTGTGGCCTCGAGTGCAAGCCTAGCCGGGAGGCCTGCCTGGGAGCATCTCTCCCAGACACCCCGACAGACACCCCAGGCAGCCCGAGAAGGCAGACTCTGCAATGCCCAGCTCTGTCCGCAGCAGCCTGGCCCTGGTCATCTGCACACGGTAAGAGTGATGCAGTTTCCCCTCGTTCTCCCAGTGCAGCAGGGAGGGCTTTTTGAGGGCCAAGGCCATGCACACTCCTGGGGCTGCTCGCAGAGCACATCTGGACAGGGCTCCTCTCCCCACACTGGAGAACAAAGACAGAGGCAGATGAGGACACAGCCCCGCAGAGCTCTGAACCTGGGGAGCGCAGGCACTCGGAGGGACCGTGGGAGGCCGGCAGGGATGGTCTAGGCGCCCTCCAGAAATCCCAGAAAAATCCTGTGTCAGCTTTTCTAGAGAAAGGACAGATTTCCCAAGCTCCTACACATACTAAACGATATGTTTTAAGAAGAACACCCTCGATGAAAGGAAAGCAGGGGAGGAGGAGAGGCGGCCCTTGTAAGGAGAGCCCCTCGCTGGCTGGCGGGGCTCCAGGGACTCACAACCCGGGTCCTGGGTCCTCCGCCCACCACCAGGCTGGGATTTACCAGATCAGGAGAGGACACTCCCAGGTTGTGGCAGGGCCGGGGAACCTGTTCTTCCAGCTTCCCCTCCCCAGGCAGCAGCTCCTTCCTGTACTTAACTCGGTTTCACGGGCTATTAGCTCCGCAGTGTACCCAGGGCTTGCTGGGAACGGAATTATTTTAAGATATAAGAAAAGCTATTTTTATTTTATCACTAGTGTTACTACTCCTGTGAAGGAAGACAAGTCCAGGGTATTAAGCAGCCCCTGGGAGAGCTGACACCTGGGACCTGAACCCTGCCAACCGTTTGGATGAACAAATAGAGCTGGTCACAGTGATGGTTCTGAGGCCCAGAAGGTTTGCTCACTGGCTTGCCATGACCAACACGCCTGCTTCCTGCCTTTTATTTGCTTTAATTTAAATCTCATCAGTGCCCTTTTTTCTTTTCTTTTCTTTTTTTAATTTATAGAGGCATGTTTTTATTTATTTATTTGTTTGTTTGTTTGTTTTGTTTATACAAGCACTGGGTACAGTCAGAAGCGCGGGAGGGTGAGAGAATTCACCAGAGCCAGAGCAGGGAGCAGAGCAGGCAGAAGGACCCAAGTACACTGCTGAGGGGAGCAGCGGGCGGCAGGAGAGGTCTGCGCGCCACGTGGGACCCTCCTCCGGTGGCCGGGGAGCAGCTGGGGATCGAACCACTGCGCCGCAGAGGTCGCAGGCAGCTTCGCAACCCAGCGCTCAACCGCTGCGCCACGGGGGAGGCCCAGTGCCCTTTTTTCTTATTGTTTCATTCCTTATCTCCACTCAAGATAATCTGAAATGACTAAATCTTGATTCCAGCATTAGCACTGAGAGATTCACCTTCAACATCCCTCCCTCCTGCTGGGAAAAAAATCCTGTCTCTCTTGTCTCCTCCTGGGGGCTACTCAACACCCTTCCCTTTCTGATCACCCAGGCAGAGGACCAGAAGGGCCCAGTGGACAGTCAGGCCTTCTGGACTCTGCCACTTACAGGCCAGCCATGTGCCTCACAGTGCCCTCAGAAAGGGCCTGGCTCAGATATGGAAACCACAGCACTCAGCCTTCAGGTTCAACACTTGTCACACTCCAGTGCCACCCACTGACGTCTTCTGGAAGTGCTCGCTGTTGAGAAAATGCTTGGTGATCAACATTCAATTAGTTGAGGTCAGAGAAAGGAAACCAGGGAACAGACGGCCACATCTTTTATGCCCAGAGGCACAAGAAGGCGGTATATGTCATCACAACACCGATACCAACACTCACGCATGTTTTACACTGACTGATTCACCTCAGCTTCTCAATCACCCCGTGAGGGAGGCAGCATGACTTGTCCCCAACACACAGGTGAGCAAACGGAGGCACTGAGTGCCTGTGAAAGTTACTGACAATAGCAAATGGACTCCAGAGTCCACATTCTCTACCACTTGGCTCTTAGATTTTGGGGTCTCTATTTTCTCCTACATCCCGGGGGCCCAGTGCCTCTGTCAGTCACTTTCTAGGACCTGCTGCATGGACAGAGGCTGCAAGAGGGTTCCCATTGCCTTAATCCCGGGCAGCTCATCCTGAGGACTGACTAAGGTCCAACAAATTAAACTGCAGGCAAATCTCACTTTGGCCGATATGGCAAGGGTAAGACTTCCCTAGCCAGCCTCAAGAGTGTCTACTTTGGATTCTATTCCTTTGAGTAGGGGTTGGGCCTGGGTTGAATAAGGACAGTGTGTGAGAGCAGACAGCAGAAGTAGCGCCCCTCCTAGGACTGAGCTGGGCCCTTTGTGCTGGCCATCTCTCAAGACAAGTCACTCACAGTTCTTTCTATCCTGTCTCCTACTAACCCTCCAGAGAAGCTTCCTTCCTGAATGTTTGTCAGAGGATCTGGGTTCTAGATGCTCCAGGGATGTTCTTGGAGTTTTGCTGGAGCTAACAGGGGTTTCCTAAGGGTGTGGGACTAACTGAATCTGTTCCTTCTCTTGCCTTCTAGAGAAGGCCCTGGTGCAGAGCAATGGTCAGCATGAGGCCTTCACAGCCCAGGGCCCCTTGGCCAGTGCCCCCCCAGGTACAGTTACAGGAGGTGGGACTTACCTGTTTGCCTGGCAGACCCCGTGATAGGCCTCGATAGCATCTTCTTGATCTACATGCTTTTCACTGTTTGGCCAACTTGTTCTGGAGTTAATGCTTGGCTCCTAGAAGACCCAGATATAAAAAAAAAAAAGTAAGGCTGGTTATACAAACAATTGCCACAAAATGACTTTAAGTATATAGAGAGGTATAAACACAAAGACAAAGGACCAGGAAGACCTCAGAGAGCAGCAATCCCCAGGCAGCCATGATTTGAGAAAAGTCACAGTGGAATAGACATTACTGACGAGAACTAGGAACTGGCTGTGGCAGGCACTGAGTGTGGAATGGTGGAAGGCAGGTGGAAAGCACTCAAATCCAGCAGATATGACTAAAATCTATGTCAATGTTGAACCCTCCACACTCATGACTGTACCCTATCCTCACACACCATTCCAGTGCCCATGCACAGAGGGACCAGGCTCTTAGAGCTCACAGTGACCTACCTGCTCTTGCTAACCTGGGAGGGCAGAGACTCTCCCTCTCAGAAACAAAGTAAATAGCAAGGGGCAAGGCATGAGGTGAAAAATGAAATCAAAGGACTGTTTAGGCTGTGCAGTGTCTCTAACACTGCACCTTATTCCTTTTGAATGTGTCCATATTGAGAAACTTCAGAAGATTCTAGAAACCTCCAACAAAGTCTTCTATCAAAGGTGATGCTGGAAAAGCAGCAAGTACCCTGCTTTGCCTTTAGAGGAGAGAGAAGGGCAAAAGACTCCTCTTTCAGGTTTAAGCCCCTCACGGGTAAAGATGTGTAAGAAACACACCAACTCTATTATTGAGAGTCATGCCCGAACTAGCCCAGCCACAGCCGCCATCTTGTTACCGTGCTCTTGCCAGCAAGCCGGCGCTGGTCAGCGCTGACAATCTGGGTCCTCAGGATGAGCACCTCCTCTTTGCGAACCTCAAGTTCCTCACTGGCCAGCTTGAGCTGGTTCAGTAGCAGACTGTAGCTGTCTGGGGAGCTGTGGGTGGAGTTGTTCTGTGTGGCTTGGTCGGCCACGGCTTTCCTCAGCTCATTCAGGTCATTCTTGAGCTTCTTGTTCTCCGACTCCAGCTCTTGCCTCTGGAAGACAGCCCGAGTGACACATCCCATTACTCCCTGGGTTTCAGGCCCTCTCCCATGTGGGCCTACTCCTCTGCCTTCCTTAACCAGCCTGCCTTGTCTTCTTAGGAAGGTAGGTGCAACCTTCCCTTTTTAATGATGAAGCACACAGCCAAAGTTCTGACTGGACTCGGCCAGCCATCAAAACCAGGGTCTGGATTTGAACTCCCAATCCCAGGTGACTGGTGTGATTCACTGGTGTTCATGTTTCTAAGTGCATGTGGCTGTGAAACCTTCCTTGTGGAAATGCCAGGCTGAGGAGGGCACATAGTACGTTCAAAGCCTGGCCCCCTGACCTCAGGCCATTCTTCCCCACACATGGGGCCATTTCTGGGAGAATCAGGACCATGCATGGAGATGGTGAGTCTGCAGAAATGCGGGTGGCCCCGGCATAAGGCAGTCTCTACTTAAGGATCACTGCAGAGCAAGCCTATGGGGAGTCTACTGACCAAGGTCAGGAGTTGGGGATCTACTTGGTGCCCAGGTAGTTCTCCTGCTCTAAGAAAGGTGCCACCCCCAGAGAGCCAGGACCTCCCGGCAAAGAAGCACTGGCTGTGGGGACAGGGACACCAGTCCTCATCATAGCTGGAGGATTAACTGGGCCCTGGGACCTCAGTTTTCTCGGGTGTGGGTGGAGGGAGGAGACATGATGGTGGCTAAAGTGGTAGCTCACTCAGTAAAGGCTGTAGATCGGTAACTGCACTGACAACAAGGTCAAGTCAGATTTCATCGGGGGCAATGAGAGGAAATCTAGGGCCAGCTGCCTGAGAAACCTGGCCAGCAGCAGAGGCTCCAAGGAGCAGTTACTGAGCTGTGCGAGTTTTGAGATGATTGAGCCCTCACTGAACATGTCCCGGGCTGGGCAGTGAGGTGCGGCCTGTAGGAACGTATCCCCGGGAGGCTGAGTGGAGCAAAGGAGTCTTTGAACCGTGCCTGCTGACACGCTGGAACAGTGGCTCTCACAAATGAGCAGGCAGCGGAATCCCTGGGAAGGAGGTATGAGGAAGCAGAGCTGGGCTCCACCACAAAGCTTCTCAGTCAGCAGGTCTGGGCTGAGGTCTAAGATTTGCATTTACATGTTCCTATGAAGCTCCCGGCCCCGGGGACGAGGCTCGGAGAACCCCTGGTCTGGACTGTCCCCAGGGCTGGGACAGGGGCGGGGCTGAGGCCCGGCAGCCTACAAGCTCACAGCTCCTTTCCTCCCTTGGAGAGACGGGCATGAGGGAGGCACAGGCACCCACATGGCAGAGATGTTCCTGCCCTTTGGAGGGTTTTACATCTTCCAAATATCTCACGAGGAAAATAAGGCTAATGAATAATTAAGGAAGAAACCCCCACAAAACCTCCTGTTTTTAAATCACTGGTGTGACCCGGTTGTTCAAGGCCAGAGGAATGATTCCAGGATGTTCTCCTGGGTGAGGCAAGAGTCACCAGAGTTCCCATAAGTGGGACCAGAGTAACTGACTCTGGCAGTTTGGATCAATTCCTAGTTCCCGAGTCCCTGAGACTGGGAGCAGGGAGTGGGCACATTCTGTCCCTTTCTGCATGCTCCTCCAGGTCACCGGCAGGCTCCCCATCGCACGGGAGACCAGCTCTGGGACCCTCAAGCCCCATCCTCCCCCTTATGGCCTCCTGCCAGGCCAGCATGGCGGTGGGGGGGTGGATGGCGCTCCAGGCCAGTCTTGATTATTTTTCAAGGTGGTTTTGTTCCACTGGCCACATTTTACTTGAGCTGACCCTGCACCAGGGAGGTAACATACATGTGCCCTAACAGTATAGATTTTGTCTCTGGCCCAGAGCATCTAAAACCTTTAGAGATTCCAGAGAGCGGTGTCTTTTGTTATCCGTAATAAGCCCCTTTCAGTCATACCTGATGAGGTAACTCTTGGAAAATGTCGACCATCAGCCCTGGAAACACCGGATTTGTACCCCAGCTGGACAGAGGGTGTAAACCTGAGACCCCTGTGATTGGCGTCTGAAGTGGGGGCAGTCGTGCGGGCCTGAGCCCCTAACCAGTGAATTCCGGGTAATTCGTGCCCAAGCTGAAGTAAGTGACAGAACACCCAGTTGGTGTCCTCAGAGAACTGCGGGATTGCTTACGTGGAAAACCCGCATATTTTCTGTCAGAAGTATGGTCACTAGAGGGAACAGTTTCCTATCAGCATATCTTATGGTTTCTTGTAGTAAACACACATTTCCTTCATTTCAAAGAAACTGAAGTGTGGGCAGGAGGAACCACGCTTACTAGCAGCCCTCAGCTCAGGGCCTGCCTCCTGGACCCAGCTTTGTCCGTCATCTGTCTGCGGAGGGTGAGAACGCAAGGCAGCTTGTTCCCCAGGAGTCTTACCTTCAGGCTGTTGTAGGCAAGATCCGCGTCCTGGTCTAAGTCTGCCTCATTCTTCAGTTGCTCCTCCTGCGGACAGAGAGATGGGAAGTGAGGCTATTGGACTTGAACTGTCCGCTGAGGCTGTTACTCCGCCGTTGCCTTTCTAGCCATGATCAGACCTGCTTGTTTTCCCTTGTACCAGCGAACCTCCCTCCACCAGTCCACTTCCTTTCCACCTTCAAAACGCAGCTCCAGGGCCCCATCAGGTTCTTCAGAACAAACTCCCTCTTGCCTGCCCTCACCCAGTGCGTAACTTCATTGCCAGGGCCCCTCAGACACTCGCATATATGTGGAAGTTTGAATATGTAGAACACTGTGCTAGCGGTTAAATTTCTCCCACCCCCCCCCAAAGAGACACTGTGGTCCTAACCCCCAGAACTTGTGACTATGACCTGTTTGCAGACGGAATCACGTGGAAAGGTAATCAAGGGTGGGCCTAGTCAAGATACGTAACGTCCCTCTAAGGAGAGAAGAGAGCACACATGGACGTAGGCCACATGAAGACAAGGCGGCGGTGGGGTGACCCACTGCAAGTCAGGGTCGCCAGCAACACGAGAAACTCAGAGGCAGGGAGCACATTCTCCCTGAGCCTTTAGAGCCCATGGCCCTGTCAACACCTTAATTTTTGGCACCTGGTCTCTAGAGAGAATAAATGTTGTTTTAAGACATCCAGCGATGGCACTTTGTTGTGGCAGCCCTTGGAAATACTGAGATTTAAGGATTAATGAATTTATAATGATTATGTACTTATTAAGGAGGTTAGTTAATATGTAATAATTATGCAATTATTTTTTTAAATTATGCAATTATTAACCAGGCTAATGACCTGCTCTAGTTTACTTGGGTGCATATATGTGTACATGTATAGTCTGTTTTCCCAACCAAATCACTAAGCACCTGATGGAGAAGCTGCTTCTTCCATGCCACTTGGTAACAGGCAGCAAGACCGCTGGTTCCCCATGATGCCAGAACTCCAAATTGAGTGGGTGTGGATGGCAACACCTGGAATGCCAGTCCATTCAGACCCAACTGAGGAGTCTGGTAAGATGAAGACTAAGACGCCAGGCCAGCCTCCTCTACTTAGAGTCAACAACCCTGAGTGATACCAGACTCCACAGACACACTGCTTACTGTCAGTGTTTGGCAGCTATTGGACTTGAATCGTCGACTGAGAAGGGATAGAAACACGCATGTAAATAGTCAATGAAAGGGGTGATTTCAAGTCATAGGTGACCATCTCTGAATGAGATGGCTATTGGGAGCCTCAACCTGACAGTGCGCATCACATCATCTGCAGTGCGGTGACTGCTACGATGACTGCATAATTTCCAGCCCTGCACCCTGGGGGAAAAGAAACAACTCTTCAAGGTGCCAGTCTCTGCTTTGCTCCCACCAGCACCCATGGTAGGGGATGTAACTGTTCAGGGTCACTTCTTAACCTGCTGTCACTGTGAGAGGCTGGGACTTGCAGCCCATGTAGTGTGGATTTGCTGCACAAACATGGATAATTGTTGAGTGCATCTGTTGTTGAAAAATGTAGATTGAGCCTCCCCTGGTGGCACAAGCAGTTGAGCGCCACACTGTGAAGCTGTCCGCAGCCTCTGCAGCGCCGGTTGGATCCCAGCTGGCCAGCGAGTGTCCCACATGGTGCAGCAGACTTCTCCTGTCTCACCCGCTGCTCCCCTCAGCAGTGTATTTGTTTGTCTGCCTGTTCTGTTCCCTGCTCTGTCTCTGGTGAATCCTCTCGCCCTCCTGCACATCTGGTCTGTACCCCGGTTCTTATATAAACAAATCTTAAAAATAAACAAATAAAAAAAGAAAGAAAAATGTTGATCCTCTAATCAGATCCAAAGAGAGGTGAATATTAAGATGCACTGGCAAGTTAGGCTTCCTAGTGGTCAGCCCGCTGGTGTCACCCTTGGTGGCATTGCGGGGCCTTGGGAAAGGGAGCAGATAGACAGGAAGTCAAATACACAGACAGCCTGGCTGGCCATCACAGAGGCCCCATCCTCAGGTGGACCCATCATCCCACACAAGGATACACCCCACAGACCCCTGTCATTCCTCATATAGAGCAAGTGTGAATAAAGGCCCAGATGGCTCAGGACCAGGGCAGATCCAAGCTCTGAAGCTGGGTTCAGGATGCTGTCGAGGGTATCCATGTTCTCCCCTGCTCCCCTCACTAAACTCCATCAGAAAAGGGTCACTGTCCCTTAACAGAGAATCCGCAGGCACATCACTGGGCGCTGGGCCAAGTCTAACTCTGGCTCTGTGATTTCTTTTTTTCAATCTGGTATCAAGACACACAGAAGTCCTAAAGCCAGGACTCAAGAAGGCTCTGGCATTTCCGGAGTGGGGACCTGGAGAGTCAGGCTCTGGGAGGGGCCGGGAGGGCAGAGCGGCCCGCACAGCTTTTCCTCAGGCTTGATTTGTGCTCGCCTGTCAGGGCAGCTTCCCTTCTAATTGAACGAGTCATTTTATAAACCTACCTCTTTCACTCTCCATTCTGCATCTAATCCACCTGAGAGAGTTAAATCCATCAGCAAGATTTACCTTCCCCCTTTCTGCTCAGGAAGAAATCCAACAATTTGCCAGCAATACAGATCAAGTCTATCTCGCATGTGATGTAAAGGGAAGCCAGTGTGGTGTGTAGAGGTGGGAGCAGGGCTAGGACTGGGGGTGCGGGAAGGGTGTCAAGCCCCAACATCGACGATTCAGGCCTGAGAACAGACCAGAGGGCTTCGACAGTCCTGCGACGAGGTTGTTAATGATACAGCCCACGTCAGAATCGGCCTTTATCCCGTTAGAAGCAGCCCTTTACTTGCCAGGAAATAGCAAGAGGATCTGCTCTCCTATTACTGCTTTCTTCCATGCCCCAGCACCAAGCTGCTTGTGCCCAGACTGGCATATATTTGAGCACTGTCCATATTACTTACTTATCATTTGTGTTCTGTGTGGTCCTCCTGAACTAGAACAGAAATTCCTTAATGGCTGGGGATTTCTCTTGCATTTCATTGCCTCTTTGAATAAGCACTTTGCACACGTATTTGGATCCTGACACCAACACAGGGCTGAGCATAGTTCAGGCGCCCAGCAGGTCCTTGAGATGCAGTATTATGTCTGGGGACACAATTTCCTCTAAAGACTCCAGATGCTGATGATGATCTGGACTGAGGCCTGGGTGCAGTCATGGAAAGGAGGGGTGAGTGATGGCACCTTGGTCTGCCCTTGACCCCATGGGGTTAAACGCCAGCCCATGGTCATTTCTGGCTCTGAAAGGGCAACCAGTTTTCTCTACTCTAATTTGACTTCTGCTGCACTTACACTTTAATCACACACCCTGTTTCTCTCTGCAAGTGGTGATGATGCCATAGGTACCCCCCCAACCCCGCTTCACCAGAGGGAATCCTTTGCTGTGGGGGATACTGCAGCTTACTTCTGTCCAACTGGGCAGAAGTAGAGAAGAATCAGTATGATACCAACTCAAGAGAAGCATGTGTTTCTCCTCTGGAGCCCTGCGGAACCCCTGGGGTCCTGCCCTGCACAGGAGCCCTGGCAGGAGGGAGCCAGACCATTCTCTGTCCCCAGCACTTCGAGGGTGCTGCTCATAGGCCTGCCGCCCCTCCACGCACCTGGGCTTTCTTGCTGTCCTGCTGCTCTCTCTTCTCCAGCTGCACCTGCAGCTTCTTCCTTTCCTGTTCAAGCTCCCGCACTCTCTTCTGCAGCTTCAGGAAGACTGTCATGTCCATGGCCGCCTTCTCCAGACCAATTTCCTTCACGGGAGGACAGAGCAGGGAAGAGGAGGCTTCAGGATCATAAATGCTATCGGGAACATACTGTCTGCCTTGATATCAATCAGCCACCTGTCTTCTCTCTGCTTTGAAATGGCATCCCCGCCTCTGATACAAAGCCAGTAGCAGCCAACCACCATTCCTCATATTCAAGTTGGTGCTCTGGCCTCATTTTCCTTCTAGATCACATCTGCGTCTCACCCATTTATAGTTCTCCCATGTGGGTCACTTAAGGTGACCGATCATATATTCCAGGAACAAATGGATAAAGACACAGCTATTTTGTTTGGAAGGTAAAACACTCCACTTTTAGAAAATGATCTCACACCAGAGAAATTGTAAAGCACAGGACATAACATTTCCTGATAGAGAATCATCTTGGTAACTGATCACTGGAAATGTGCACCTTGAAGCAGAACCAACACCTGCCTGCCCTGACTGATTTCTCCAGCAGTTCTTACAGCATCAATTCCCAGTCAATTCCTTCTCTTAAATTCATGGCTGGGATGGCCCTCCAGGGTTGTCATGTGTGGATGGACATGGACAAATGTGAATCTGCGTGAGCATTATCCATGCGGATTTTTAAAATGCTTGCAGAACACACATGGCAACACAATTGGTTCAAGCAGCATTTGATGGCAGCTCCGTGTTTAGTCAGCACTCTGCTGGCTATCCTGACCAACACCAAGAACCAGTCTCAGCTTCCTTGAAAGCATAAATTCAGCGATGGACGTGCTTCTGTTTGCATGAAATGGTCACATATAAGCACCTGGGAGGCGTGTCTAGATTTCCGGCTGACAGAGCCCCCAGGACCCAGCTCTAGGAGACCGCAACAGCAAAACTGAGGACCTTGGGTTGCATTACTAAATGCTTACCAAGTGCATACAGCAAGCGACAAACCACATCAAACTGCACGAGAGAGCCAGACCTTGTTTCTATCCTGAGGGCCTCCTCTTCTATCCGTCAGCTATTACTCCACCACTGGCTGGCATCCTTTATTTTTCTTGATGGCACTAAACTGTAGTGCCTGCAGTTACATTACAGACTTCTTCCTGCAACCGGTCTGTTTCAGACTTCATCGCAGCCCCTTGAGGGCAGGGACCATCTCTGGCCCTGCCACAGCAGTTTCTTAAGGGCCCACCAGCAAGCTGGCTCCCAGATGTGCTCAAAGCACATTCCCCCTCTAACATCTCTCCTCCATGTCACTCTTCAGACACGTTATAAGCTTTCATGTGCTTGTGATTTTCTTTCCAAATGCCAGAGGAAAAATTGTGTGCCTAAAACCACACACAGGATAAAGCCCACAGTAAGGTGCATTATTTATTGACTTTATGAGGTTACGAAGGATAAAGATACAGTCACTCAGCAAATATTTGTTGTTCCAAATAGTCCAAATTTTTGCTGTTGTTCTTTGATTTGTATCTAGCTAAGTCAAGGTGGAAGTTTTCTTGAGGATTTGTGGCTATTACTATATGCAATAGGATACTAAATGAGGATAAACTTTAATGAATATTTTAGTGATTTGGCGTTCCTTCATAAGTCAGCCATTTCACCTCTCTGGAAGGGTCCTGTGTGCCAGGAGGAATCAGGCATCTACCTTCCTCCTTCTTTCCTGGACAGTGGGTGGGTGAACAAGTGTGTACTGCTTTGCACAGTAAAGGCCCATTTGAGAGTATTGTCTGGAGTCCACTGGAATGTCCATGGTGCAGCTGTCAAGAATGTACCCTGGGCATTTTTGCCACCACCCCTGGGGCACACCATGCATAGTCACCCCCTCCCCGCCCCATAGTGCAGACAGTAGCCAGGAGCGGCCTCACTCACCTCCACCTGCTGGAGGGCATCCTCTGTGTCTCCGACCTCAGACGTGGAGATGGAGGGGTAATTGGAGTCAGATTCTAAGCTACTCTGGTTTGACGGGTTCCGCCTGTGGCCTGGGGTTTGCTGTTCACAGAGAAAAATGTGAAAACTCGTAGCGAATTCATGTTAATAAGAATTATTACTTCTCAAAGAGTAGCAAGCCCTGGAGTTGGTCTTTTGTCTCATTTATCCACAATAGGTGGTGTTGTTTCCTACAGCAGCGCCTAAATAGAGCTATTCTCAGAAAAGTTCATGTATGGTCTAAGAGTCCTCCATCTAGCTAGCCCACAAAACCACAGTGAGGAGAGAAGGCTGCTGCACCAGAGGATTGAGGTCCTGTCTCAGTGACGTGCAAATCCCTAACACTTAGGCCAACTTCTCGAGCAAAGTCCTGGGGAAATAACTCCTTGCCCCGGTCTCCCCTGAAATTACACAAAGGCATCCAGTCATGGGCTTGCTTGAGAAAGCATGCTGCGAAGCTGCCCCTCAGGGTCCTCCACTCCAACTTGCACGCTGCTGGTTCTGATTCTGAACGACAGCAAGCACATGAGAGCCATCATTCAGACTGTTCATTTAAAATGCCTTTTCCCTCCTTGTATCGGATCTGTCTTGGTGTGAAACTGATCTCGGTAGGAAGATTTCAGGTTTCTGTGTATGTTCCTAGTCAGCTTCTCTCCGGTTTCTATGCAATTAACTTACTCAGTATTGTTTGACTATGCGTGTCTGGAGGGACTGTTTATATGGAGTAAAGAAAATAAAGACAAATCCTGAAATACAAAAATGCTTCTATGAGTACTGCATTTCATCGACGATCAGGAGAAGCCATCAGACCCTCGTGGGCCTCTTGGCAGCTTGTGCTAATGAAGCTGAGAAGTCTCAGAACACCTCCGCACCAATATTGTCGAAACGCAGGGATTTTCCCAGAACAGGAAACAAGGAGGATGACACATGCACTTGGGTGGAATTTTCCTCAAACTCCTAATAGGTCTTTATAAGACCCCAAAGTAGGGAAACGAGCTTTTCCTGAGAATGAATCACCAGGTCCCACTACTTCCTTATGGGGTAGCTATCACCAAGGATGCAAAGCATCTTGGACAGGAGGAGGGTGGGGGGCCGAGGCGGAGAAGAAGGGGTGTAGGTGCTGCACAGGATGGACAGCAGTAAGCCAGCCAAGGGGAGGTGCAGGGGGTGGCGTGGGGTGGGGTGTGCTGGGCGTGAGGGGACAGAAGCTCCTCCTTGCCTTCATGACAGTCAGCTCATCCCGCAGGTTGTCATATCTCTGCTCCAGCCGCGAATACTCCTTCACTAGGGTCTGGTACCGGGAACGCTCCTCCTCCAGTTCCTTCTTCATCAGGAGATTCTCCCTGACAGAGCTCTGGGCAAGTTCACCTAGAACGCAAGCAAGCGGGATGCAGCTGTGCTCGCACACGGATCTCCTGCCAGTATCGAATCCAGGCTTCTGAGGACTCTTGCTAAAAGGCTGCTCACAGCTCAGAGTTTATTCAGCTGCTGCAGGAGGAAGCTTGTCACTGCAGCCTCCATGCTTGGAGGGTAGGGGGAAGCCCCCATGCTCTTTAGGACAATGGGGGGAGGTGGGAGGCAGATGGCAGGCGTGACAACTCCCTCCCTCAAGTAACGCGCCAGCCCCTCTGACACCTGCCCCAGCAACTGCTGACAGAGTTCCTGGAAGAACTCAGGGTCCGGTCCAGTTCCTTCCCTCCTCCTGGTCTTTCAGGTTTTGGGAGTGCAGGGAGAGTAAAGGAGAGTTGAGGAGATAAAGCCAAAGGTCTAGAGTGGGGGACAGAGGGAAGACATACACATAACATGGGTGGGCTCCCTCCCCCCCCAAACTTATTATTCATATCAATGGAAAGAAAAAGAGGGATTACAAACAGTAATTTTCAACAAGATTTCAAGCTGGGTGCCTCTGTGGTCTCAGGCGGTTCATTCTCTCTTGATAGAAGAGGAACTTGAGGAGATGAGAAGGTGAGGGGTTTGCTGAGGCCACACCGAGCCCGGTAAGAATGGGGTCTGGACCCCCGACGGTTCTTCCTTAGTCAAGCACAACATGGGGACTGACAGCTCAGAGGCTGGTGGGTGCTTGAGGGAGGTGACCTTAGACCTGACCCGTGACCCCATCTTCAGCCAACATGAATAGATGACCCATGGGGTAGAAACAATCGTCACAAGTCTCACTGTGGATGCTGAAGATAGGACAGCAGCGCTGACGGCTCCTCAGTGCTCACTGTGGGCCCAGCCCAGTCTCTCACTCACGCCCAGTGTCCTACTCCTCACAGGAGCCCCCACGTCTGGACTGTGTGTCCACCGTGCAGGTGAAGACACTGAGGGCTGCCCTCGCTAAGGGGCTTGCTCTGGGGCATGCGCAGGCATGTGTCCCCATTTTTCCACGTGACTAGCAGCTCACCTGGGGCCACTAGGGACAACCGCCGTGGAAAAGAAATTGAAACCCAACATCAAAGCCCAAGCGCTGTGGAACTTACCTTGAGACTGGCTGAGGATTTGGTTGTTAAGCTGCTCTTTCTCATCTTTCAAGAGAGCATTTTCTTGCTCCAGGTCTGCAACTCGCTGAAAGAGAGCGTCAGGGAGGGATGTGTCCCCGGAGAACAGGCAGCCGAGAGGCTCCCCCTGTGGGCTTGAATTTCAACTGGTGTGTCTAAAGGCTCTTTTCATGTAAGAAGATCGAATTGGCTTTCATTTCGAGGGAGAAACTGTACACCGCAAGAAAAATCCCAGGAAAACCACACAGATGTGCTGACTGCTGACGGGCAGCCAAGGCCTGTGACAGCCTCTGAACAGCCCACAGCAGCCCCACGAGCCTGCGGGCCTGCGGATCCTAGCACCAGGCTCTAGTTTGCCTGCATTTGTTGCTCTGTCTTGGTCAAGTCTGAGCTCTCAAATCTGAATCTTGGGAGGGCCTGGAGTTCATGATGAAAACAGCCCGACCTGCCTGGGCCCATCTCACTGGACCTCCCGGTCCAGGTGTTGCAGAGGGAAGGAGACCTCCCGGCATGCGCTGTCCAGTCTAGGGGTCCACCTCTGACCATGCTGCTAAGTCAATACCAATGTCAAGATCGCTGGAGAGAAAGTGGCAAAAAAGAGAGCAAAAAAGGAAAGACTAACTGAAGAAAAGGCCTGGTCTGTTCAGAGAAAGAAGAATTAAAACAGTAAGAGGCAAGTTTATTTTAAAGCGGTTACACTGCTATTTACTACTGGAACACCTAATTGTATGGATTTAAAAATGTAATACTTCAGCCGTGTCCTAGGAACTAGAAATTATTAGTGGTGAGCGAGGAGGAGGGGAGAGGGGCCTGTTTCTTTTGTAACATGGGGGCTAAATCACCACGGATCCTCCTCTGCACCTTCCCGCTGGAGTCCCTGGAGACTCATTTTGCAGGAAGGCGTCACGTCATTTTCCCCACACGTGTCGCATCTCTGCCTTGGTGACACAGGCGGAGAAAGTCTGCGCGAGGTAGAGACTCAGCAGGGAGAGGATGTGGAAATGTGCCCACGGCCCCTGAATTTAGGCCTCCAGAGGCTGTGTGAACTACAAAAGGACGCCCGGGTCACCACGTAAGTGTGGTCTAAAGCAAGGACGATGAGTCTCAGGGCCACAGGTCCTGCCTCTATGAACCCCAGGTCCCTGCTGTAAAATTGCTGCCCACCTCACGGGGTGTTTTCAGCCTTGGATGAGGTGATGCATGTGGAGCTATAGCATATGCAGATGGGCCACATTCCAGGGCCAACTCTGGATCGTGAGCTATTGCCTCTGGAGCCACCAGCCCCATCGGGGACACAAAACAGCTCAGCCACACATGTTACTTAGCACAGTTATCACTGATAACTTGAAAAAGGAATGAAATACACGGATACACACACAACACACAGCAGAGGCTACACAGGAAGGCAGCTAAAAGGTGTGGATAGATGCTCTGGGTGGGGGGCGGGGAGAGGCCACCACAGGGGGGCCCTTAGTGGAGAGGTGTGAGCTGTACGTGGCTGGGGTCAGGGTGGGGGATGCCCAGGCTCTGTGGACACGGAGGTGAGTCCCTGCCCCCAGGAAGACCTGGCATGCCAACGACAATCGTTAGGGGTGGGGAGCCCGAAGTTTTCCAGGATGCCAGTTCCAATACATTTGCTTCCTTTGCTGACAGAAATATCAAATCCATTAATTAAACATCTACTGGCAGGCAGCTCCTTCAGTCTGCTTCACTAGTCCCATCAATCTTGCTCAGCGCAGAGAAGCTACAGGACAAGCCTGGGAGGAAACCAATTGTCTGATTACTCAGCATGTGTTCAGACTGGACATAGCGCCTTTGAGAAGCAGGACCCCCCCGACGAGGCACAGAAGACAAAGCGCAGATGGAGCACGCGCCCCCCTTCAGGATTAAAAGGTTCTGAAGACCCTGCAGAGGAGGCTATTTTGCTTCCACATTCTTTTTTTCCTGGACAGAGCTGGGCGTTGCCCACCGTGGGTCATCTTGTGCTGGTTTCTTCTGGGGCATCACTAACTTGGGACTTGCTTATGTTTGGAGCCAGGGAAGCTGCTTTGCGTGCTCTGACCCTGTGCCTACTGCACTGTCCTTGAAAATATTTTTTCTGCCAGCGTAAGCTCTCATTTTATCTAAGACCTCATTCAACACATTCTTAGGAAACAGTAACAATTTTTTTTTAAGGCAGGAGAGAGCAGGCTTTTCTATTTTGCTCAGCTGACGAAGGTTTTCATATTATAAACCCTTAGGCTCCCTTGCATGGAGGCTTGGATATTTTAAAAGCGCTGAGTCCCCAAATCACAGGCCCAGTGGGAAGCAGGGAGTCGACTAGTCAAGCGTTCTGTCTGTGGCGGAGCCAGAAGGGGCCCCATTTTATGTGACTCCTGGCTGGCACAGGCGGCAAACATGCTTTTCCGCGCCTCCTCCTAGGCTCACCGATCTCAAGAGTTCTCAGTTCTGATTGTGGCCTTTGGATTCTACCTTCTGGGTTTTTGTTCACATAGAAAGGTGGCTGTCCATCTGTTTCCAAGGGCCACATACCACTAGTAAGGGATTCCATGGCTTGTACAGGCCTGTAGTTCCATCTTATGGGAGCTTCCCAGCACCCCAGCGCTACTCCCAAACATGAAGTCCACTTGATGCCTCTGGTGCGTGAACCAGCAGGTGACTCTGGGCAACATGCTGGGAGGGCGGCTTTTTCCGTGCCAGCCTGCCTGCACTGGGAGGCCCCAAGTCTTTCTTCCTTCATTACCTAATCCCATGTGGATCCACTCCAGAACCCTGGGAAGTCCCCAGAATCTGGGAAAGTAGCGATGGACAGAGCAGAAGTTCTGCCTGGGACAGGATTTCAACGCGTGCAAGCCCGCCATGCACTGGCCCGAGGCTTTCACCTCTCCTGCTCTCAGTGTGGCTGCAGCCTGGCTGAGGCCCAGCCAGGCAAAGGGAATGGGGCGGTGGAGGAGAGAGGACGACAGGAGAGCTGAGGTCCTCTTTCTAGAAGCCATAAAATGTCTTCAGAAGGGAATTTAGAAAATATTTAGACCGACCTTGTTTTTGTTTTTAAACAGATGAGGGAAGTAAAGCCAGGGAGGTTTCCTGTGTACCCTTGGTAAGAGCAATGCTGGGATGAGAATCTGGAAATTTCAGTGTCTACCCCAGGGCCCTTTCTGTGGCGGCATCCAGCTGGCCCCAATCTCGAACACTGAAAGCTTCTATTGAGTTCAGATCACTCAAGCCCTCCCTCCTCAGCTTCTCAGCCCACTGCAGCGATGGACAGAAACCAACAGGAAGGCCCTGTGACTCTCCCTGTGGCTGTGGGCCCCTGCAGGGCGTTGGGCGAGCAATGTATCAGGGCTCTGTGGTGGCTCTCGGTGGCGCGGGGGACCAAGCTGGTTTAAGCGGCTCTCTTAGGAGTGAAGAAGGGAATCTCTGTCCTGACTTTGGAGAAGGGAGTGGGGCCAACCCCAGAAGTTCTATTTCAAGGGGTGAAGAGCAAACCTATGGCACACCCTACCCAGAGAAGGGGAGTCAGGCAAAAGCTACCAAATCTTGCACTTGAGGAAAATCCCCCAAAGCACAATGGCTATTACGGGAGAGCTAAAGGCTGGCCCTAACCACTGAGTGCAATGTCAAGAAAAAAAGCCGCTGCCCCCCCCCACCCCCGGCACAGTCTGTCACACCAGCCTCAGGTCCCAGAGCTATGCAGTGGCTAATTCTACAGTGTCAGGAAGGTGCCCAAAGGCAGGTATGTGTCTCCCTCTCAGGGGAGAGTGTTCAGCTGATGGCAGCAGCTCAACACTGGGTAGGTGGACAAACACTTGTAGGGGTCCTCCTAAATGCATGTTAGCCTGCCTGGGCACAGCCCCAGGAAAGCCCATGGCAATTTCAGAGCTGGAGGAAGCAGCCTCCGAGGAGGTGCTCTGTGGGCCAGTCTACCACCACCCCCTGCCCTCTGGCTTCCACATACCTTTCTCAGCTCATTATTCTCCCTGGCATGGGCGTCCTCCAGGACCTTGCGCTCCGAGTGGGCCCTCTGCAGCTCCGTGCGCAGGCTCTCCACCTCCTCCTGCAGCCTCAGGCTGCTGTCCTCAACTTGGGTCTGCTGGTAACGGGCCAGCTCCTTCTTCAGCTTCTCCACCTCCATGGTGTGCGTGGACGTGACGGCCGACAACTGTTCGGACAGCGTCTTGAACTCTTTGTTCTGGGGAGCAATGGGGACGGGTAGGAAGGTGGGGAATAAGGTCATGTGGCCAGGAAGAGACATGAAGGCAATAAAATAAATGAACTTCCAAGGTGGGATTAAATCTCACCAACACTGCACGCCTGAGTGCTTTCCTGGCATCTCCTCACAAAACTCTATTGTGAGCCTAGGACAGAGGTAGGAAAACAAAACGCCAGTACTGATGTCCAGGGAGTGCTGAGGAGCAGGGGCAGAGCTGGGGACAGCTGTTCCCTCCTCTGTCCAGCTGGACAGACCTCACATCTGGTTTGGAAGCTGTGGGAATGACACAGCTGGCTTTCTGCATCTGCAGCCTGGGCTTTTCAGGCTCCCCTGCACTTTCACACTGGGTCTCCTGCCCCTGGACTTGCCGGCACAAAGAGCTGCAACCTAATCGCTGGCTCCGAGACAAAGGACCTCCTTCAGCATCCCCTCTCTAAGGAGGCCCTTGAGGGGCCAGGGGATCCCATCACCACCTGTCAGCTTGCCCTCCAGAAATTGATGCCCTGGCAGAATCCATCCATGGGGGTGCCCAGTCATGTACTCACTGAAGTGAGAGGTAAGTGAGAAGCAATCCCCCACGTCCCTGATGTGGGTGCGGAGGGACTGGGACTGTGGCTGTGATGAGCGCACATGGATGAGGCTCCAAGGACCCAGGCAGACTGAGATAGTGTCAAGTGCTACCATACACATGGACAGAAACCACAGCTGAAAGTGGTCTTCACTTTTCCCCACTGGCTTATCCAGGTCTCCAAATAAGCAAGTGACAAATAGTCCCTGATTATTTTTTACTTCCATTCTCTGCAGGATCACAAAGTAGAACAGCTATTGGCTAAAATACCAATAAACTGGGGCATCCCAGGAATCCATGATTAAATCACGCCAGAAATTAAGCTTCATGGAAAGCAGTGGGGAGCGAGAGATCTACTGTTGGGCCTGGCACAACACCAGGCAGGATGGGACCTGAAAGCTGAGACCTGCTGTCAATTCCACACAGCACATTTCCCGCATGGATGTCACAGGAAGAGACTCTCCACAGGGTCTCAGGAACCGCCCAGTTACAGCCCAATATGCCCTTGAGCCTGGTCTGGAGGACAACCTTGCTCTAAGTAATCACAAAGAAGAAATCCACTTAGGCAGCATCTGCTCTAGAAAGTCCAATGTCATCTATGCCTCTCACCCTGGACTTGCGCACCCTGGAGTTTGCACATGGGTGCGGGGTTCAGGAGGGACATGTGCTGGATAAGCCTCCTTGAATTTTCTTTCTTCTTAGCTGGAAGTGAAGTTCAGTCCAACTGTCACCTCCAGGTGGCACGGTCTGGGTCAGGTCACCAGGGGAGGACCGGGCTGTGGGGTAGCCTGGGCACATGCTCCTCGTGGACCCCAGAAACTCCCTGAGATGGCAGACTAAGATCCCCATTGGTCACTGTGGCCAGGAGAGCTGACCAGCTCTGTTCTGAATAATGAGGGCCTTTATGTGACACCGGTACTGAATCTAATTGTTTTTAAATGGCTAGGGATTAAATCAATGTTTGTGCTATATTTTTTCAGATAAAATATATATGGAAATAACCTCAAAGATTTAAGAAATTTTACTCTCATGATAAAAAAAACAAAACAAAACTAGAGGCTCAACTAATCTAAGTCACTTTACATGTTGTACATGAATACAGCTGGACTGGTAGACAGCAGGCTCACAGGGTTTTTTGGCTGAAAAATATGACCTGACCCCTCAGGACTACACTAGGGACACTATAAGAAATGGTTCCAGGAACTGTCACTGTACTTACTCCTGAAGGATAGTGTGAGGGATGTGGCTAATTACAGCACAGCTAATAAAAACCCACAGGAAAAAGTCTCAGCACCACGGACAGCTCCAAACCCCAAGAACTTGTTCTTTCAACAACTTTCAAGCGACCCTATTTGCCTTGGAAGTTGGTGCCCATTTTCTTCTTGTCTCTCCAGTTGAGTGCACAGAATCAGAGAACATTGTTGGTAACTAACCTTACCCTGGTTTTACCTTTCAGTTTTCTCCTTCACTGAGTCCCTGGTAGCGGGCGTACTGTTTGAAAAACCTTTCCCAGGTGATTCAACAGTGAGGCATGGAGTTGGGAACCACCATGTAGACTGATCATTGTTATCAATACATTCTGAGCTCCAGCTTACCTTAGAGAACTTAGATGCTAATCCCCTCTGCAGAAGTCAAGGCCCACGTAGACATTTGGCCATAATCTCAAGCTGTCAGCTCTGGCAGCAAGTAAAATTGAAACAGAAGCCAGGTCTCTGTCCAGCTACCCCATGCTGCTCTGACCAATACTCAGGGTGCCTTTACCTCTCTGTTGTCCCTGGCACACATGTACCCTCTCTTTCTGGCCTAAGAAGCTTGTGTGTCCAAGGAGGAACCCCCTTAGTTGTCTCTAGGCCTGACATGAAGAACAAAAGCCACTCATTTCCAAACAGCAGGCCCTATCTGCTAAGAGACTACAACAAGACAAGGACCTCTGAAGTCCTGGGGACTTAGACCCTCTCTAAGCCATGCCCCCTCTCAGGAAGCAGTGCCAAGTGTCTTCTCTGACATTGGGCCACATGTCCATCATAAAAGGCCATCCGAGCTAAGGATGATCTGCCTATGGGAAGATGGACCCAAAACCAGGCTAAGCTGTCCCCTAAGATGGGTGAATTCTCACTCACCTGAAGGGTCTCAAGGGGCAGAGATCTTAAAATTTGTCTAGAGGTGCAGAACATACTCCAGAACCAGATGGTCAAGTTTCAATTCTAGCTACGCTGTGTGACCCTGGGCAGGCTATTTCTCCTCAATGCCTCAGTTTAAAGTGGGAAAACTACTAATATATTTCATAGGGTTGAGGTGAGGATTCAGTGAGTTAATATATGAGAAGAGTGTCTGGCACATAGTGGGGCAATATGTGGAGGGGTGCAAGAAAGTAAGATCTGCTCCAACCCTCCTGCCCCTTCTGATGACCCTCTGCATGTCCAGGGTGGGAAACACCTGCCACCACTCACAGATGTTCACCAAGCAGGAAGCTTATGGCAAAAAGATCTTTTTAAAAATAGGTCTTTAAATCTGCTTCTCTTTGGATGTTCAAGCACGTGGTTGTAAAATACCAGATTTATTTTTAACCTCTCCAGTCAGCTTCAGAAATCAGCAATGTCAATGCAGGGTCTATGGCTGGAAACCCAGGGCTGGGGTGGCTGGGCAGCGCACAGGGCTCCTGGCAGGCAGCAGCGGTGCCAACAGCCTACATGTCCCTCTACTGGTACTTTCCTCAGAAGGTCAATTGGCAAAATTTGACCATGCAAGTATCTTTTCTGGTCAGTCACCAACAGCCACAATCATCATAATCTTTGTGCTTGCATTTTGCATTCAAATGGCAAGTTCTAGAGACCAGACCTTTTCCTTTCCACTGCTGCCCTCAGACCAATGTGTCTTCTCGCCCAACCTGGTGTGTCACTGCTGCTGAGCAGGGGCAGGTGCCGGGGCTCTCCACCCTGCCCCAAACCTGTCAGGCACAGCACCCTGTTGGAATCATACAGGGAACACCACACCGAGGGCAATGGACCCTTCTCAGGAAGCCTGAGAAAGAGCAGAGGAGCAGGAACATCTTACTGATCCGTGTGCTGCTTCTGAGCTCCTGCTCAGGACAGCTGGTTTAGCTATAAAATGGCTCATTTATTTTATTGCCCTATTAGGGTCATGAGAAGTTTGAAAAATGCTTAGCATAGCATAACACTAAGGGACCTCCAAAGCGATGGCTCGTGGCCCAAGGCCAGTTCTTTCTCCACACCCTATACCATGCACACCTGTTATTTTCCTTCCTTGCCCCTCTTCTTTCCTTACGCAGGAGGCAGCTGAAACCCAGCCCTGTGTCACCTCACTTCCCTGTGTGAGCAAAGCTCACACTTCCAGCTCTGGGACGCTACTTAGCAATGCTGGTACACAGGGAGGACTAGTATTTTGGTGATAGTTGGGCAATCCTGGCTCCTGGCCTCTCATCACTCCAATACCTGATTCTCCTCAGAATCTGACCCTTCTGCTTCTCTCTTACAAGGATCCTTATGAATAATACTGGATGCACACAAGTACTCCAGGAATACCCCCTTCTCGAGATCCCCAACAATCTAATCTACAAGTCCCCTTTGCCATGTTAAGTCACATATTCACAGGCTCTGGGGGTTAGAGCATGCACATCTTTGGGGACTATTATTCTGTCTGCCACAATCAGTGACTGTTCCTGCAGAGTGGGGTGATGCCCCAAGGACTGCCCTGCTCCCTCAGGTTCTGGAGGAAGCCAGGGGTGTCTTTTAAACACACCCTAGTGACACACCCGCCCCCAGGGGAGCCACCGCCACTGACCTGGTCATCGATCTTCCGCTGCAGCTGGACCACTTTGTTCTCCATGCCCACGTTGAGGCGTTTCAGGTGCTCTGCAGAGCGGGCCTCAATCTTGAGGGCCTTTAGCTCCTGCCTGGCCTTGAGCCTCCGGAAAGCACACTGGATGACAATGGCCGCGCCCCGCAGACGCTGGAAATGCCTGCGAGCCATGCAGCCCCGCATGTGCTTCTGTATGATGGTGGCCTTGTGCTCCACGAGGACCTGGCAGGGGACAAGTGTGCTCTTGGGGGTTGCACACAGCATGGGAGCAAGGGGAGCTCATGGGCCAGCAGAGGAGGGGAGAAGCAGGAATAGCCTCAGTGCTAGGAGGTACAAAGAGGTCACGCTTCTCAGACCTAAGACTTTAGTAGCATTTGTTTTAAGAGTAAATTTTAACTGGGCTCTGCCGCTGTATGCACCTGCAAGGAATCAGCTGTCCAAGTTCCTTTTTGTGTATTTTACTGGTTAGAAAATCAAGGTGTGAAAAGCTCAAAGTTAGAGAGGACTAAAGATTATCCAACTGATACCACCAGCTGGATAATCAGGTGATTTGGATCCTGTCCCGGAGCTGGAGAGATGAAGCAAAATTCTCCAGTGAGAGTTCACAATGGGCTAATGGCTTCTAATTATAAACTTGGTTTGGAACTCACTGGTATTTTTTCATACCAAGTTGAAAACCACTCAGAATTTAAAGCACCATTAATATTCGTGCCCCAGTGCCCTGCAAAATAAATGTTTGTGGAGTAAATGAGTAAATAAGCAAACATGTGGGAGACCAACATGGCCTACATCACAGCTCTGAGACAGCTGGGCGCACACACGTCACCAGCCTCCCCAGGGTTTCATAGCCTTCCCCTGGGGCCTGGTTTCCCCTTGGATGGCATCAGAGAGTGTTCCATCCCGGAGGCTGACCATGCGGTCACGTTTGCTTGTCACTTTAGTGTTTTCATTTGTTATTTGGAAAATCATAACTTCTCTGATCATAGAAGACACAGATGTTTGTTTCAGGGAGAAAAAAGAACATTTAGATATTTCCTGCAAAGTCATCTCTCATCTTAGCATGCACTTTGCTTGCGTGGGGGTTTTGGGGGGATGGAGGCATCCTGACTTGGGCCAGCTAGCCAGGGCCTGGCAGGGGGGCAGGGCCCCTTTCCTGACCTCATTGCAATGGGCACCAGGCTCCTAACCACTTTGTGAAGGGGTGGAACTGATGATCCCTAACAATACCCCCTCTCTTGAATCTGAGACCCAGAGAGTCACCAAGTTCCGCCACTGAGTGCCCGTGCGCCCTGGGCAGGTTCTCCGAGGGCTCAGCTGTCAGGGGAGCGACATTCCCGTGATGGTCAATCTGTGTCCATCTGACTGGCCACAGGGCGCCCAGATTAAACCTTGCTTCTGGGTTTCTGTGTAGGGTTTCTAAGGTGTACATATGAATGGGTGCGAGCCTCCCCCATGTGAGTGGGTGTCCTCCAATCCACCGGGGGCCTGAATAGCACAAAAGGTAGAGGAGGGAGGAATGAGTCCCCTTTTCACTGCTGGAGCTGGGACACCCCATCTCATCGCCTGCCCTTGCACTGGGACTCATACCATCAGCTCCCCTGTTTTTTAGGCCTTGGATTTGGAACAAGTTACACCACTGGGTTCACTGGGCCTCCAGCTTGCAGATGGCAGACTGGGGACCTCTGGAGTATTTCTTCGTAGTACGTCTTAATACATAAACTTAAATACACACACACACACACCTTATCTTGGTCCTGTTTCTCTGGAAAACCCCGACTAATACACCATATCATGGGACTTTGGAAATGACTCAGTGGGAGCAGAGGTGTGAAATCACTTAAAAAACAGGAGCACCCACAAAAGGTCATGTGAGTGAGAACCTGTTGGCTGCCACTGTAGTTCTGAGCTTGTAGCCTGGGATTCCTTCTGGGTGGTTACGTACCTGGTGGTAGGCTCTGCGCACGAACATGCCTCTGGCAAAGGCCTGGATGATGACAGCAGCCCCACGCACCCGCTGGTAGGCCAGGCGGGCCCTCCGCATGCGGTACTGCTTCTGGAACACCACGGCCGCCCGGGTTCTCCGCAGGTGCTCGGCCAGCCTAGGGATGGAGCGCCAGTGGGCCTGCGGCCGAGGCCTCTGAGCCAGTCACCAATGTCAGCCTCCTCCCTTGGGCCTGCCTGGGCACCCCAGACCAAGCCGATTCTCATTTCCCTTAGGACTGCAGCAACCCCTTGAGCACTTGAAGCACAGGCTCAGGATGGCAGAATCAGCATTCTCCTTGTGTTGTCAAAAAGCCTTCCCACAGGTTTAAAACTCAGTCTAAGTCTGACCAACTCTGGACCCTCACCTGTGCACTCCCCCACTACAACCCCTCTCTGCCCCCAGGAAAGTTCCAGTGTTTATACTCCTGTCTGTCTCTGGCTCCTCACTAGGCTTTGAGATGTGTCTCAATCATCTTACAGGGCCTGGCTTCATAGGTGCTTGAAGGAATAAACCTCAGACCTTTACACTCCTCTCCAGTTTTATCATCTCCCCAGTCCTGGCTGCCCACATGCACTGCACGGGGACACCTGCTTTTCTGTTTCACCTCTGCACTACCCACCTCACCCGCCACATGAGAAGTCAGCCTGAGACCCCTTGGGCGTCTTAAAAGCTTTTTCTGATGCCAGGCTCATAGTAAGTGCGCCAGTAGAAACTCGGGATATTAAACACTTAGAAAGGACCTTTGAAACAACTGCCGCCCAGAGGTGGCGGCAACACACCCTGCCCTGCCCGCTGCTGATCTGAGTGATTTCCCAGCTCCTTCTCCCTAAGTTATGCGCTCCTCATGTGGACCCTGCAGAGCCCCAAGAACACAGGCTCCATGCAGGCCGTCCCTGCTTTATATCCTCACCATCTGGTGTCTGAGAGCACAAGGGTACTCAGCGATGCCTTGACTAGTTGGCACAGGCCGTCGATAATAATTTACTGTTGCTACTCCTGACAGTGTTCTCATTTCTATAGCATTTCTTCCAGATCATCACTTGACACTCTGGAGGTAATTAAAGGCATTCATCATCTCTAGTCATGCTCAGATAAAGAGCGAGCAACTGAGTCTGAGCAGGCTGCATCAGGATACAAAGGATCTCCCCCACCATGAGGTCTCAGGGGCGCTCTCTCTTACATTTAAGCAGAGATGACGAAGCAGCCACTTGTGAAACTTTGGCCTGCAAGTGCAGGACTTCATAGCAATTATTGACTTCTCCAAGCAATTCTCTACTTGGAGAGGTCGCAGATTTTGAACTGGGTCTCTAATGTCCCGACTGTGCAAAGAACGGGGAGAGTCTCAGGTCACAGTGGAGACACAGCCTGCCCTGAAGCTTCATCAACTGATCAGGTGAGCCAGGAGGGAATGCGCATGGCAGAGGCGTTTCTCCTGCATGGTGTTTGGACAGGCAGGGGAGTCTGACTGGCATCAGTTCTGCGCTCCCATTGCTAGAGCTGCTTGTGGGCAGACAAGTCACACCCCACGCTAGCTCAGTGCGACCACTCATAAAAGGGGCTTGCCAGGCATTTTGAAATTGGTGAGACAAATCGGAAGTTCAGTCTAAGTGAACTGCGACTAAAGTTGAATTTGCCTCTTTTTCTAAAGGCAGATTATTTTACTTTGGCGTTGAAGTAAAGGTAAAATGGTGGTTTTTCTGGCAAAGCCCACTGGTCCTAGGTAGTGCCGGTGGGATGGGAATAGGGGAAACCAGGAGACCTGGAACTAGACCCAGTTCCTGACCTGGGAAGGACACAGGGGAGAAGGTTCCAGGAGCTGGGAGGGCCCAGGAAAAGCCACGATTACAGAGGCCGAGAGAGGGGCCAAGCTGCTGAGAGCCACCCCCACCCGCCCTGTCATGCTCGGCTCACCTCCGGGCCAGATGTCCTCGGCAGTAGCGCTGCAGGGTCAAGGTCGCCCCCTTCAGTCTGCGGTACTTCACCTTCTGCAGCCAACCCCGGACGGTTTTCTGGATCATGATGGTGGCTGCCCGGAATTTGTCAGCCCGAAGCTTCTCCAGGTAGGCCACCTGGCCTGCCCGGAAGAAGATCTTGGTGCGGCCAAACTGGAACTTGTCAGGATCCTTTGCAAAGCAGGGAGGGCAGGTGGTGGGTCATCAGTGAGCAGAGAGGTAACAAGTCCTGCCACCCCAGTTCCTCCACTGCAGAATTTCTCGCCAGATATCACCTCCTTCTTAGATACACATGAACACTCAGCATCATCAACAGATACCAAGTCCCCCCATCCCTCCTTCCTAGGCTGGGGGTCCAGGGAGTAGCAGTGAGCAAGACGCCTGCCCTTCAGCAACCAACAAAGACACAGGTCTGCTGGGCATTGGGGAGGATTAGGAAGACAATAAAACTGGGGGTGGGAGGGTGGGGTGGAGATATTTGCTTTTTAAGGTTTTTTAAAAATTTTATTTTATTTTATATATATTTTACGTCATTCTTCCTTTTTGTACAATGCATGCTTTCTCCTCTCAGGTGCAGTCCCACAAAAATTCCCACCGCCAAACTCACCCGCGCACCATCACCAGGGCCCCTTGCATAAGAACATTCCCTCCCTGTTCTCATCCCTCTCCCTCCTCTTCCCTTGCAGAGTGTCTCTAATAGTTGCCTGTTAGTTCTTTTAATTTATTTTTTTTCCTGGTCCCTTATTTGGTTCCCCTACATTCCTCCTGTAAGTGAAACCATCCAAGATTTTTCTTTTTCCTTCTTATTTCACTGAGCATAATTGGGGTGAAGATATTTAAATAGGATAACCAAGGAAGCCTTTTCTAGGAAGGTGACAGCTGAGCAAGACCTGGGTGAACTGAAGGAGGCAACGACAGCAAAGCGCAGGAGAAGAGCAGAGTGAATGTCCTGTGGTAGCGGCAAGCTCTGTATGTTTGAGTAGTAGGAAAACCAGGATGGCTGAGGGGGACCTGAGGGTCACTGGAGGGAGAAGCCATCACCATCACCAAAGGCCTTGTAGGTCGGTGCAGCAGTGGGAAGGGAAGTGTGGAGGGCAGTGCTCTGAGCAAGGGGGTGACCTGATCTGGCTGACATTTTAAAAAGGTTATCCTCAAGAGACCACACAGTTGTATGGGGCATTCCAGATTGTAAATAATGCCGCAAATAATTTTGTCCAGTTTCAGACTGTTATTTCTTTTTTTTCTTTTCCTTTCTTTTTGGATATAAAATTGCTGTCCTAATGACATCTGTTTACATAAAAATACATTGCCCTTCCCTGCGCTCCTCCGGTGGGTAAGAAAAGAACACTCGGCAGCCTGGGCGAGAACAGTGACTGTTAACTCACAGTCGCTGAATTGGCTCCTAACTAATTTGCTCACTGACATGGAGGTCCTAGAAAGAAGCCATGAGCCAAGGGCTGAGGAAAAACACACACCCGACTATGTTTCGGGTGATAAATGACTCTGAAATAAAGCAACTCACCACTTCTCGTGGCCTACCCCGTACAGGGCTAACAGGAGCCCAGGGTCCACATTAAGGGAGATGGTGCTCCCTGGGCGGGGGCACAGTATCCAGAGGACGGTCACTGACATCCCTTCCACGGCCAGGCTCTCTGTGAAGCTGCGAGGGACAGGTGCCAGCCTGGATCCAGCCCTGGTCTGCTCAGGCCATGCACACAGTGGGTCCTCAGCACAGCCAGAAACACCCAGTGTGCACTCAGGACAGCCAGAGGCATATGCTCCTCCAGAGGCTGAGTTGGGTGGGAAGGTTGAGGCCCTGCTTTGTCTCTGCTTTGCTGATGAACAGGCTGCAGCTCAGTGAGGGGGTGCCCAGAAGCATAAGGTATGCAGCTTAGCGTCACAGTCAATGGGAGACAAGACTGGATGCTTGGGCTTTAGCAGAGCTAGAGCTGGGAGGGGCCAGCTGCACCCCAGGAGCCAGAGTCCACATGTTCTGCTTCCTATTCTGGAAAAAGCACCAGGAAGGAGCAAGCTGGTAGACAAAGTCCCTGATTCTATTATGATGACTTTGAAGTTCCCACCTGCTGGAACCAGTCACCACTGGCCTGGTCTCACTGTATAATCCTCTCTCAGATCTGCTTTCTCTAACTCTAGAACTTTCTCTAACCTACTGGAATCTGCTGACTACTATTCATGTATCCATCAACCAGGGTCATCTTTGGAGACCCTTTCAGAGATCCTTCCTCCAAGAATCAGGAATTGAGGGAACAGAAAGGACTCTTAGCTATCCATCCCAAGCCACAACTCTATTTCACAGATAGAGGACCCTGGCCATTTTAGCGTTGACAGTATAGTGAAATGACAAACCCTTGGTGCCACTACATGAGTATAAACACAATCCTGGAAGACAGAAGCCGAGACCTGCTGACCAGCAGAAGATGGAGCCCTGACCCCACCTGGAAGCCAGGGCAGACTCCACAGACCAGAAGCATTGGAAAGCCCAGTCTGGAAGGACAGCAGAAGCTGCCCAGACAGGAAAGAGAAGGAAAAAACCTTCCACACAGTGCAAACAGCACATATTCACATAATGATTCATTAAGTAATTCACTTGTCCGCTTATAACTCCACAAATGGTTGGTGGGCTCTGCTGTGCTAGGCCAGTGCTCACAACCGGGGCAGGGAGTTGTCAACAAAGACTGTGCTCTGCATGCATTGGAGGTGGGGAGCACGCTGGGCTGGTGGGGAACATGCAGGACACATGGCGCTGGCAAGCTGGTATGCTTGGTGCAGAGCAGAGGCCACTCTGCCAGGCGAGGTCTGCACCTGAGCCCATCAGGGAGGCGGCCCTGGGCAGGGACACAAGGTCCAGGGAGCCGGAGGGAGCAGAGCAGGAGGAAGCTGCTTCAGCCCGCTGGACCTGGGGCAGCTCCAGAGGACCCTCTGGTGGGAAGCAGACTCTGCTGATAAGCCTGGAGAAATCCAGGGAAGGGCGAGGAAGAGGGGCGCTGTGACCTGGGCCAGAGAAGTCAGCCAGGTGGGAGAGTGAACGATGAGCCCTGGCCACACATGCATGGGCCAGCTCCCGGGACAAGCAAGAAAATCTGAGGGCTCTTGAATATATATTTTTATCACTCATGAAAAATTTTTTGAATTTCAAATTTTCTGAAATGTGGATACGACAGATGCAGCACAGCAAAAACCCCAGACTCCAAATAACCAACTGCAACCTCCAGCTAATGAGACTGTCCACATCCGGCTCCCGAGTGTTCAGCACCCTCTTCTGCACTGTCTGGAGCTACGGACTCAAGCAGCCAAGGCAGGCTCAGAAGGAGACCGCGTCACTTTTATAACACAACACATGACCGAAAGACCGGATCAATCTGGCAAAGAGCTACTCCAGGTGAATAGCTTTTCCTAGCAAAACAATAATGGAAAATTAAATAAAGATTAATGTAATTTTTTCTATTGCTTTCTTAAAGGGATGATTTTTTGATGTGATTTAACCCTTTATTTCGAGGATGATCATTCTCTGCTGAAATCCCTGAACACTCTGGAACTATAAATTGTTTCAGGCTCTGCCCCTCACAAGAGTCCAGTGGTTCCATGGTTATGGTTCTCCAGTCTCAAGGGTTAGTGTTGAGTTCAGGTTGTTTTAATTAAAAGAAAATCTGTTGCTTATTCCAAACCAGCACCTGGAGGTGGGCTGGAGGCTGGCGATGCCATAAAGACAGAGGAGCACAGCAACCCCTTTCCCCTCTGCTGCCTTCCAGGCTGGGCCCTGGCTCCAGGTCAGACCCTCCCACACTCCCTGCTGGGGGCGGGGAGGGGGGAGGGCGAGGCAGGTGGCTCACTAAGGAGCTTCAAGCTGCAGAGCATCTGGACACTCCCGAGCCAGCAGCTTGTGGCCAGGAGCTGCCCCAGCATGGACCTAGTGGGCTGCACCAATAATTTCATTTTCTGTGAGTGCCAACATATGAAAAAGTCTAGGGAATGCGCTAGACACACAAAGGGGCTTTCCTTCAAAGTCACTGGTGTAGGAAAATGGAGTAGCATCTCACAGTTCCAGCAAGAAGCAGGTAGACCACAGAGGATCTTCTCCACACCCCACCCCCCAGTTCTCAGGGCGCCCCATGGGCTCACCCTGATGAGGCTCTCCAGGACAGACTTGCAGATGGCCTTCTTGTCCGTGTTGACCAGCTCCCTCTTCTTGACCAGCACCCGGTACCGGTTGAAGAAGTCATGGTAGGTCCACCTGGCGGGAGACAGGGCGGTGGGTGACGTTTTGTCTCCCTTAGGGCCCTCTGGGAATGTCAGCGTGTGGCTGAATTACAGAACCATGGCTGGGAGGCTGAGGGAAAAGGGGGGTTCTGGAGGCACTTCTGGGAGGGCTGACCAGAGGAAAAGTGCTCACAGGGCTTCTGCCTGAGCACATGAAACCACCGCACTGTTGCTGCTGCCAAAGTGGGCTCCCCCCCGGAAGCCCGCCTTTTTTTTTTTTTTTTTTTTTTTTTAATGTTTTTCCATTTTGTTATTTTTAACTTTTAGGGGTTTTTTTTTTGAGGCAATATTTTAAATCACTATATGATTTAGGGGCACAGGTTCCCAGCTCTTGAAATGTATGTTACCACACAACACCTACCACCAAGGCACCTGCAGGCCCTTACTATAGTCCACTGAGTTCCCTCTCCAACCTGCTGCCCACTTCCCAGCCTCCCCCTCTGGCAGCCTCAGTTCTGCAGTCAGGTCTCTAGGGTTCACTTTGGTTTACTTCTGGATGCATCTTTGTTTTCTTTCTTTATATTCCACGTATAAATAAAATCATCCCATATTTGTCTTTCTCCTTCTGACTGACTCAGCTTAGCATGATTCCCTCCAGTTCCGTTCATGTTGTTAAATGGCAAGAGTTAATTTTTTTTTAAAGATATATTTATTTATTTATATAAGCACTGGGTACAGTCAAAAGCGCAGGAGGGTGAGAGGATTCACCAGAGACAGAGTGGGGAACAGAACAGGCAGAGTGATGAAATACACTGCTGAGGGGAGCAGCGGGCATGGCAGGAGAGGTCTGCGCACCATGTGGGACCCTCGCCAGTGGCTGGGGATCGAACCGGCGCTGTAGAGGCTGTAGGCAGCTTCGCAGCCCAGCGCTCAACCGCTGCGCCACCAGGGGAGGCCCAAGTGTTAATTTTTTTAAATAGCTGAGTAGCAGCCCATTGTACCACAGCTTTTTCCTCTACTCATCTGTTCTTGGGCAATTAGATTGCCATAACTTGGTTTTCTTCTTATTAAAACTAATGCTGCTCATTGTAAACGTTTTTCTCTAGTGCAGAAATTGAACAGAGGCCACCAAGCCTTAACCCTGGAGATAACACTGTTCAGGCACATTCTGGTGTACAGCTTTTTTCCACCAAAGTAGCTCTTGGCTATGACTTTCCACCCAATCATAGACCATTCTCTCCACCAAGACTTCCACAGAGGGTGAGATGGATTGGGGCAAAAATCAAATGGAATATTGCAATACAAAAAAGGCCTCATAAAGCTAAGTCTCCCTATTCCCCACACCCAGCCAGCTACAGGTGCCTCTGCCGGGGTGGGGGGGTAGGTTCTCCCTTGAAAGCAGCTCAGCACTCCAGCCTGACTCTGGGCACTTCCCACATTCTGCATCACAGTTATTTATGCACTCACTTGCCTTATTTCTCCCTGTGAGTTTGCAATTTCTGTGGAGAAATAATTAGAGCAGCATTTAGCTGGTGAAAAACCTTAAATGCTTCCAACTTCAAAATCTTTTTGCTGACAGTTCTGTAACTCAGGGATGTGATAGGCTCAAGGAAATTACGAGGGGGTGGAGTAGGAATTGCCAAGACACCCAGACCAGTACAGAATAAATTTGGAGTACAGAACATAGAAGTCTGCACTGACAGTGAGCAGCTAAGTGACCTTAGCCAGGTCACTGCTCAGACACCTCACCTCCCCATCTGCAAAGTGGAGAAAATGACATCCACTTCACAGGTACCTCTCAAGTACCTCCCACAGTGCTTCCTAAAGATCTAAATTACTCTTCCTTCCTGCCCAAGCCTCTCAGCTTGCTTCGCAAAGGTTTCCTCAGACAATGAGGTGAACTGGATTGGGGAGGCCACCTCAGAAGCAGACCAGCAGAGGACAGAGCTGGCAGGTAACAAAAAAGCAGGGAAGGGCTGGCAGTAACAAAAGGGGTTGGTGGGCGCCCTGGGGTCTGGGAAGTTACAAGTGTCCCTCACCATGGACACAAGCGGCCTCTGTGCACCCAGAGAGGAAATCTCACAGGAAAGGCTCCGTCACCTGTAACAGGAAGACCTTCCAAGTGAAGCTAAAGAGAACACATGGTTCTCTGTCCAGAAGCAGAGCTTCTTAAACGAGGGATGCGTATGAGGCTTATACAAGCAGAGCTTCCAACCCTTTGGAAGTTTTTCAAAAGGATAAATATCCTATCACCGAGCAATTCCCTGCCTCAGTATATTCCCAATAGAAATAAAAAATATGTTCACCCGGAACCAGGTTCACAAGAGTTCACAGTGACATTATTAATACTTGTCAAAACGTGGAAATAAGTCAAATGTGCGTTGTGATGAATGGATAACATAAAACGTGCTCACGATAAAATAGTGTTCAGCAATAAAAAGGAATAGAAATTTCTGACATAGACTACAATACGGATGAAGCTTGGAAACATAATCCTACGTGAAAGAACACAAAAGGACATATTTTATATGGTTCCATTTATATAAAAGAGCCTGAGCAGGCAAATCTATAGAAGTAGAAAGTAGGTTAGTGCTGACCAGGTTTGGGAGGAGGGGAGAGGGACCAACTGCTAAGAGCACAGGGATCCTTTCTGGGGTGACAGAAATATTCCACAATTAGATCATGGTGAGTTGGACAACTCTGTGAACATAATGGAAATCACTGAATTGCACAACAAACTGGGAGAATTTTATAGTACATGAATTATATGCCAACTAAAAAAAAATAGTCCACATGATACAACACGATGAACAAAGGGGATGAGGTGGGTGGGTGGCCCTCATGAAACCCAGAAACAGGACTTGTCATTACTTAGCACTGATGCCAGAGAGGCGCTCCTCGTGCAGAGGGAGCAGCTGCTCACCCCCACTCTTGCCCCCAGACACCCTCTCTCTGCTTCTCCTCTGTCCCCGACTTATATCCTGGCCCTCCAAGGGAACACAGGCTCAGGCCTGCGGGGAACCCAAGGCTGAAGGTGGCTCAGCTTCGCTGCAGGGGGAGGGCGGGGGGATTCTTCCCCACAGGCTCTGAGCTGGAACGAGACCCCAAGTGAGGACAGAGGAAACTCGAGTGGTCCTGGACGTGACCGGGCGCAGCACTGGCCTCCAGCATGCACTTAAAAACCTCCTGGGAAACCCTGTCAAGGGGCAGATTCGGATGTAACGGGTCTGAGGAGGGGTCCCAGCTGTGTCAAGGCTAACTTTGCTGCACAACCCAGCATCTGACTCCAGAGCCAGAGGGAAGGCCGTGAGATTCTGAGATAAAGAATCATTTCACTCCTAAGTAAGTGCCACATTATTCTTTTTCTGCAGAATTTTTAATAGCAAGGCAAGTAATTACATTTCTAAGGTTAATCAGGTTTAAAAAGGACCGTGAATCACACCAGTTCTCAAGCCTCCCGCTAGCCCTGAAATCCTAATGTGATTTTGTCCATATGGGGCTGGGGGTATGGAGGTTGGGGAAAGAGTGTAAATCTTTTCAGAAAGCACCACCGAGTTATTCTGAAGTGAAGGAGATGGAGGAAGAACTGAAGCTTTATAGTCGCTTCTTTTGAAAAAATATAAATGTTGCATATTCAAGTAGTCTTGCATACTATTATGGGGTTTCGGTGGTATTTGCTGTCCAAATTCCCCAGACGTAGTGGGCGATGCCAGTCCCTGGAGGGAGCAGGGAGGTTGTCCCCCTGTCGCCATGGCAGCTGCAGAACATGAGGCAATGCGTGGGGCTGGAAGATGGCAGTGTGGGGGCTTGGTCCACTGCCCGCCCCACTCACCGCTCACCTTCCTGTGCCGCCGAGGTGTGCGGCTTGCAGGAGAGAAGGTGCAAGGGGGTGAGGACCTCAGTGAAATGACACAGATGACGACACAGATGACTCGACGCTATCACAACACTAACAAAAACAGGCCACGGAACTATGGTGCCTCATTTCCAAAGTCACCCTTTCACATGGCAGCTTAGGGAGGGAATCCGCTCATTAATGCTCTCACAACAGCAGCTGAGACAGCACATATAAGGAGGGTATGGAAGGCAGAGCTCTGGATCTGAGCCCAAACATTCAAATCACAGCACTGAGTAACATTTTCTGTGACATCAGGAATACAGCCTTTCCCTCCTTTCCTACACTTTCCGCAATACCTGCAATTATAAAAACAAAAGGTACAGCTGTCCTTGTAATTACCTGCTAGAAAGAAATCTGCAATGGAACTCTGCCCCCCACATCCCATCAGCTGACCTGTAAGAGGCTAGAAAGTTTGGGGTGTCCAGGTCTGCTGGTCAGGCTGCCGCAGCCAGGTGGGGTAAACATTGGGGGAATGTTTCCATAAGTCTCCAACTGCACAGAGGGGGTGTACTCTCCTGACTGCCAAGGCAGGGGTGTCTGGGCAAGGTGAGCAGCTCACCTGGCCTCCTAGCATGCCGTGACCAGAAGGCCGAATGGTAGGATGGAGATGCACCTGGTAGGGAAAGCAAACTACGGACCCTCCATGCCTGGACCACAGGTGACTTCCTAGCTGGGGGCTTCTCACAGTCCCCCCTCTGATCAGAATCCTCCACATGCTTCATGGCCCAGCACAGACCTCACTTCCTTCAAGGAGCCAGTTCTAGGCACATCTGCACCTGATTCTATGTTGCTCTGGTTTTGATGTATCAGTTTTCCCAGGCTGTGGGCTCCTGGTGGGCAGAGGCCACGACCGACATCATTAATTCCCTCCTAGCAACTTGCATAGAGGTAATGCTGGATATTGAATGAGACATGGAGGACAGATTGACAGGAGAGAAGACCACGAGGGCAAGAACACCTCATTCTATGCAAAGCTCATATGTGAGCACAGGAGTAAAACTCTTCCTTCTTCCTCAAGCAGATTTTGTATTGAGACAGCAAATCCAGGAGTGTGGGTGGTGTGTAATCACCCCAATTTCATGGCAAGGATGAGAGTAAGCTCCATCTGTGACTCAGATTGTGGGGCTGTGCAGGGACCTGCTCTGCCTGAAGCCTGGTCTTTAGTCGATTGTGTGGGACTCATGAACGCCAACCCTTCCTTGACACCATCCATGAAAAGAGATTCACTCCCTCAGCAAATCACTGGCCTAACTAGTAAACCAACCTGCTAGAAAGATCCCAGTGAAACAGAAGACTCCTTAGATACTGACTCGGGACCGCAAGCCTCCCCCTGCCTTAAAGTGTCCTGTCTTCAGGTGCCTCCCTTGATTCTTCTCCCCTAGCTGGGAGAGCCCCGATGTCATCTCCCACTTGACAACCCACAACTGGCACCAGCGGCCAGGAACAATTACGAGCAGCTGCGGCCTGTTTAGATGGTAACACTTTGCTATATGGGTGTTAAGATGCTTGGCAAAACCACCTAGCAGGGCAGAGGAAAGGTAGAGCTAATCCTAACTCAACCATACACCAGCTGGTGACCATTAGCAGCTCACGTCCCATGGGTCTCATTTGTGAAAGTGTATTTCAAATCATGCTCACCCACACCCACACAGGAAACTGATGGAGGGTCGCGCCACAATGCCCTGTGACCCAAATGTCACAGTGTATTTTCCATCCCAAGATGTGGGTCACAACCCACTCAGCTGACTTCCAGACCCCCGAATGGTGGTGATAATGCAGTTTTGAGAAACACTGGACTCACGATGTGGACTTCCTGCAGATGAAAGTGCTGGGAGCAGCACTGGAGCATCCCCCTGGTCCGTGTCCAGTCCTCAGGTCGAATGACCCACGTCTGGTCTGAACCCTGTGCTTGGAGCTGCCACTGAGGCTGTCAGACACTGCAGCACAGACAGGGAGCAGGCAGGCAAAGCCCACTTCACTAATGGAGTTAACAGCAATACATGTTTAATCCCTAGGGTCAAAAAATGAGATGGTGCCCCAGGACGCTCTCTGTCTTGTTTTCTAAGCAGAGAGAAATGTGGCTGAAAAGAAAATAATAATAATAGCCTTGAGCCCGGCTTGGGCTGATCATTCTGAACAATGCCTCAACCTGCTGGGTTTTGAAAAGCTGCCTGCATGTTGCAGATTAGTGACAAATCTTATACTTTCCAGGCCAAATGCAAATTCCTAATCCCATCAGCAACTACCTTTCCAGTCCTAACATTTGGGAACTTGCTGCTAGTTAAGTGGTTTCTGGGAAGTAACTGCTGCACTGAAATGGTCCGTCAACTGTAGAGGGGAGAGGCCAAATGGAGAAGTGGGGGGTGCTGTCCTGCATCTCCCCCCTCCCCACCTGCTGACACACACGGCTACTACGGGCAGAGGATCCCTGTGGAAACATCACCGACTCTGGGCTGCTACAGCACAGTGCTCACCTCCAAATCATGTGACCGTCTCTGTAAGATCTCAGGAGCACTGGCCTGTCACTGCAGGTAGTGCAGGTAAGTGTCCAAAGGGTGCCCCACAGCCTTGGCATAGCTCCTACAGATGCTAGGGAGGCTGGTGGCTGCCCACAATGCATGTTAGATCACAACCGTTGTTTGTTAACTCAAAGACATTCTGTTTTCCATTGTAGATGTGATTCTCTTTTACATTAAAAGGTAAAGGAGTCCACCATCAGGTGAATGAACAAACAGAAGGGGAGCTATGCATACAGTGGAATAGTACACAGCCTTGAAAAATCCTGGCTTGTGCACCAGGTGGAGGAAGCTGAGGACACAGTTCCAGGCCTGCCACAGAAGACAAGCACTGTAGGACTTCACTTATACAGGGTGCTCAGAGTTGCCTAAGTCAGAGATGGTGTGTAGGATGGTGGCTGCTGGGGGCTTGAGGGAGGGTGAGTGGGGAGCTAATATTTATGGGAATGCTTTGGTTTTGCAAGATGAAGAAAGCTGGGGAGATGGATGGTGGTGACGGCTGCATGAGAAGCATGAACTTAACTGAATGGTGCACTGAAGAATAGCTGAGTCGATAAATATGACAGTATATTTTACCACAACACAGGAAAAGAGGTAAGTAAAAGTGCAGAGGACCAGGTGGAAGCTGAGTAAAGGGGAAATCCCTCTGACACTGGATCTGGCTCATCAGCTAGACCAAGGCTGATTTGAGATTTGAAAAGCTGCCTGAAAGGTTGTCACTACTGACGCCCACATTTCTCAGGTCAAACTGAAAATCCTATTCCATTGCCCCCAGCTTGGGCTCTCATGTTGGGTACTTTTTTTGGAGGTTCTGTTTCTGGTTAACAGCAAGTGATTGGCTGCCCAGGGGCAGGGGTAGCTGGGGGGCACCTTACCTGGATGGGTAGCCGGCTGCACTGATTCGAATCGTCTCCAATACCCCGCACGCTCTGAGCTGCTGCACTGCTCTCTTTGGGTCAAAGCTGTAAAAACACAGAAACAAGCAGTGAGAGCAAATCAGAAATGGAACAGAAGAGCAGGACAATGGCCCCTTCCTGCCCTGGGCTACATGCTATCAAGCCTTGTGCTCCAGGTCAGGGGCAAGCATGGACTAAAGACACTGATCAGCAGGCACTGGAGCTGTCACCATCTTTAAATCTGTACTTGAGGCTCTGTGCACACACCTATTCTCACCAGGGTACCCCTCTTTTTTTTCCCCCTATAAATTCTGTCCTCCTTCCAAGTCTCATTCCCGCCTCCTCTTCAGAGCCTTCCCTTGTTACTTCCATCCACGTGATCATCTATCTCAATTTAGTGGCCCAAATGCACACACTTGGCACCAAAAACAGTACCTGGCTCAGGGACTAACAGGTGAGTTTCAGGCCAGGGTGACCTGAGTTTGGATCATGACAAGACCATTTACCAGGTGTGCTTGTGACTTGGGCAAATAACATGACCTCCTTGAGCCTCTCTCCTCATCCATAAAATGGGGATACTATGATCCATTTTACAGTGTAAGAGGATGAAACATGAGGGCTGTGGAAATAAATAGGACAAAGCCTGGCACAACATAAAGGCACATGTATGACTAGCTTTTATCATGACAGCTGCTTCATTAAGAATCATATAGATGAAGAACTTTATCTTCTCGTCTGCAGAGAAATGAGCCATGTCGTCAATGACTTACATGTCCTGCAATGCTAAGTCTAAAACAGAACACCCAGTATTGATGCAAAGCACATATATTGAGTAGAATATTGCTGTAGAATAAGAAGTGAAATGAATCCTGCGCTTTCCAAGAATATTCCTACTTGCAGAGGAGAGAAGTGGACAGATGTGGAATACAAGATAAATGTGGTAAAAGGATGACAGGGTCCAGGGGAAAGAAGTCAGTGTTGTGCAGTCATTAGAGTCTTCACGGAGAAGGAGTCAAACTGAAAAAGAATTAGCCACTATTTAACACTTGTGAGATGTGGCCCCACTCAGAGGTTTTCTGAATAAAGGAAGAAGCAGAGGGAAGAAGAATTACACAAGAGATGCCATTGAAGCATTTAGTATTGGACAGCAGCTCTCCACTGGGGGCAAGTCTGTTCTCCAAGGAACATTTAGAAATATCTTAAAATATTGTTATTTGTCACAGTAGTATAGGGATGTGACTGTCATCCAGTGGGTCAAGGCCAGGGATGCTGCTAAGCTTCCTACAGCACTCAGGGCAGCCCCACAAACCCCTGGCCCAACATGTCGAGACTGCTGAGGTTGAGAAAGCAGGTTGTAGGGGATGGGGAGGGATACAGCCCTTCCCTTCTAGAATAATGTCAGTAACTATATATTTTAATCGTGTAAATTTTTATACTTCCCACAAATAATCCTCAACAATTACCTCCTGAAATTCTTTCATTAGGGTAATTATTTTTAACCACAACTGATAAATGGAGAAATGAGACAAAGCAGGAGAAGGACAGGCTTGTAATCAGTCATGCAATCAGCAGCAGAGTCTGGTCTAGAAACTAGATTTTCTGAATAAGTTCTGTGCTCTCCCTACTTTCTTTCTGGAAGGATGATTTTTGGTCCTAAAGGCAAAGGACGGTCTTAGAAAAATGGGTTATTGGAATTAGAAAGTCCTCAAAGTCCCCAGAGTCTTCTTTCACTTGAGGAAGGCCAGCAAGAGGAGACAGAACAAGCCAGGCACCCAGACCTGATGGAGGAACCACCCAAGGTCTCAGCAGCAGGGGCAGAGCTGGTACCCAACCTCAGCTCTTCTCTCGTGGACCTGGCTGGCTGCTTTGCCCTTCACACATAATCTAAGTCTTTCACACATGCCTCTTCTAATAATCTCTTCTTTTCTGGAGGCAGCTGGTAAACAGATGTCACACGGAGGTGCCACACGGAGGAATTCCTATGCACATCTCAGAAATTTGAAGGAAGGGAGAGAGTGAACAACCAGCAAATGTCCAAGAATACTGTCCTCCTAACCTTTTCAAGCACAGGAATGAAGATGAGCCTTATTAACTGATAGGAACTACACAGGGCAGTTTAGTCATGCATCCTGAGAGTCAGGGTTGCCAAAATGAATTATTTCACAGGAAGAAATTATGCCAGGACAGAAAGCAAACCAGAGAGATGGGAAGAAAGTGTTTTAAAGAATTCAAAAATAAACTGAGCAGGTGGGAGCTCAGGGGAATAGAAGAAGAGGCTGTAGAGGTAGTGAGAAAGTGTTCTAAAAGCTTAAAACTATATTCAAAGTAAAATAAAGTTTAAAACAAGACACCAGTAGAAGGAAGCATAAAGGGAGACCAACGTGGAAAATTATCAAGTAGACGCTATAGGACTTGGACAGTGACAGGACACTGGGGAGTAAGTGAAAAGGAAGGATCAAGAGTTATGCTGTCCGAGATGGCAACCACTAGCCAGCCACAGGTATTTGAATGTGATTTCAGTAAATTAAATTTAACAAAGTTCCTCAGTCACCCCAGTCACATTCCCGGGCACTCAGTAGTTGTGCAGGTGTCATGGCTACCACGCTGGACAATACAGATTGTAGGCCATCCCCATTATCACAGAAAGTTCTGTCAGACAGCACTAGTCCAGAGTAAGGCTCAGGTTTCTAGTTTGGAAGATCAACTTTGATGGGTGGATGAGATGTCAGGAAATGGTTATGCCATTTACCAACCAGAGGAAAAAGAGGAACCATTTTTTGGGGGAAGGAGCCTAGATGAATCTGTTTTTAGAACTGCTGAATATGAGGTGGCCAGTGAAGCTACAGTGAGCATGAAGAAATGCTGGGCTGGAATTTGGCACAAACCAAAGATGGACAAAAACACTGACAATTTCTGTGACATAGATTTGGGTGGGTCAGCCACATGGGCAGAGGTAAAACCGGAAGAAAACTTTTAAAGCAGGAGTAGAGGCAGCTTTGTATGAGCGCGTGAGGGGAGGAAGATGGACCCCATGTGGATACTCTGGAAGCTCAGGGTAGAGCTCAACGTGTCACCTACGGTCAAGTTTCCTAAAATAAGAATTCCTTGACGATTCAAGCAATCCTCTGTCTCTGAAGTGAATTTTCACTGAGACGCAAGCACGTCTGCTTTTAATGCACTGTTACGTGGTTCTCCACTCCAGTGCACGTTCCTCTGCACCACTCTATGCAAAGTGGGGTGGGGGAACCAATTCTTCTCATCCTCTGAAGGCCTCTGGGCAGCAGGCAGGGCTGTTTGGTAAATGTCTATGGGCCCGTATTCAGATAATAAACCATCTCCCAAGTCTAAGACTTATTATTCCAGGTGCTAAGCCTACCCCGTTGCATTAAAACTGCCCAAAAAAGCGCTAAGAGGCCGGGCTTGACAGGCCGACTCCTGACAGACAAGGGATGCCGAACGAGGGCCCACATAGGCACTTACTGGAAGGGGAGCTTCTCATCATTAGGTTTGATGCAGCGGACATAGTGTGGGGTCGTGGCGTTCAAGGTCTCCATAAGCAGGTGCAGGGAGGTTCGGAACTGGGGGACAAGAGGCAAGGTCTAGTTATTTAAGATTTTCTGGTTGTACCACTATGGAAAGCTGTCTGTAGGTTCCTCAGTCTACTAAAAATGGAGCTACCATATGACCCGACAATTCTACTCCTAGGGATCTACCCAAAGGACACAAAAACTTTGATTCAAAGACCACCTGCACCCCTATGTTTATTGCAGCACTATTTACAATAGGTAAAACCTGGAAATAACCCAAATGCCCCAAAAATAGATGATTGGATCAAGAAGATGTGGTACATATACACAATGGAATATTATTCAGCTATCAAAAAAGATAAACTCATGCCATTTGCAGTAATGTGGATGGAGCTAGAAGGAACTATGCTCAGTGAAATAAGCCAGAAGGAAAAAGAAAAATATCAGATGGTGTCACTGATAGCAGGAATATAGGGGAACCAAATAAGACATCAGTGTAAAAAAATAGTAACAGTACAAAACACAAGAAAGCAAAAACAGGCAATTTTAAATCAGAGACATCCTGCAGGGGAGGAGGCGGGAGAGGGATCAGAGGGAGGGAGTGAGGAGCACAGGGGACCGAGGTGATGGTGCACGGGTGCATTGGGGAAGGAAACTCTATGGGGACTACACCTGAGGGGGTGGAGGGAAGCAAATATTGTTTAAAAATGAACAATGATGTAAAAAATAAAAAATTAAAAAAAAAGATTTTCTGGTTGTATATAAATGACAAAATGCCCAAAGACCAGTGGTGGTACATACTGATATTATCATTTTGATTACTGTTAATCCAGAAGATGCCAAGAAATCCATAGACCTGGGTTTACATCCTGGCTCTGACATTCCTATCCAGCTGTGTGACCAAAATCAAGTCCCCCCCATATCTGCAAGCCAATGGGGAGAGACCTCCTTCTCCAAGCCTAATGCAGGGTTGATCCCTGGGACAGGAGGTTGGAATTCCCAAACCCTGGCGCCTTGGCATCTGGTGCTGGGCATCCTGGATTACTGCATTTACATGGCCTGTTCAGAAGAGGCAAATCCTACAGAAAGGTTAGTGGTTGCCAGGGGCTTGGCAGGCTCTCTCTTCCCTCGGAGGACACATGGGATGTAAAATCCTTGAAGAGTTGACAGCTACAAAAGTTGTTTTCTGGTTTCCAGGTATATTTAACCCTCCTCGCCACCCTAGACTTCTAGACCCTTTGGCCCTCCTTGAGGCGGTCCTGTCACGTGATCTGCCACAGCGACTAAATGCATTGTTAAGGGCTAGCACCATCCCCTTTCTCTCTCATCAGTTCCCCCTATAGAACATTCTGGAGTTTCCTTCTCAATGGGAGGCAGGGCTCTGCTGCTGAGGCCAGCCTGGTGCCCTCTGAGCCCGCAGCCATTCTTCATCTGCAGCCAGGACAGCCCCGCCTCTGTGCCAACGTCTGTGCTAGGACCACCACTTTCTACCACAGGGCTGAGGCTGACCTGGTGGCCCACGGTTTTCTTGTGTTCCTTGTTGGAGGTTTTCAGGGGGGGCCTAGCGGAGCGAACGCTGATCTTTGAAGACGAGCCCTTCCCAGCCGCGGTGGTGGCCGGCAAGGGGTCCTTGTCGTCATGAAACAAGTCAGCCACCAGCGGGAACTAGAAACAAACACAGGGGAGAATCAAGAAGAAGATCTCTGTACTTCATGTTGCTTTAACGCTTTCCAGTAGCTTTCTGAGTCACCTGAGAATTGAAACAGGCCCACCCAGAAAGAACCGTGTACCCCAACCTCTGGAGCAGTACCCCTGGTAACAGCCAGAGTGGAAACAACCCACGTGTCAGATAAACAGAACACGGCATATCCATGCAGTGGAATGTTCTTTAACAATGTAAAGGAAGGAGGTCCTCACACACGCACCACACAGATAAAAACGCGCAAGTGAGAGAAGCCAGATGTGAGGCCATTGTGTGTGACTGTGTTTCTAGAGCTTGTCCAGGAATGTTAAGTACTTCAGTGGTGCCCAGGGCTGGCAGAGGGAACAGCAGAGTGACTGCTAGTGAGGTCAGTTTCCTTCCTGGGAGATAAGGACATTCTAGAATTTAAATGGTGATGGGAAGACAACTTGGTGAACAGACTAGAAACACTAAACACTTTAAGGGGGTGACTTTTTTTTTTTAAAGGTTTATGTATTTATGCCTACAAGAGGTAGGATGCAGGCCGGAGGTGCGGGAAGGGGGGTAAGAGGATTCAACAGAGACAGAGTGGGGAAAAGAACAGGCAGATGGACTGAAATACACTGCTGAGGGGAAGAGCGGGCGAGACAGGAGAGGTCTGCTGCGCCATGTGGGTAGCTCCCTGGCCGGAGATCAAACTTGGGTTGCGGTGGTTGCCGATAGCTTCATAATGCTGAGACTGAACCCCTTGTGCCACTAGGGAGGCATTTTGGTACGAGACTTAGATCTTAGTTTTAAGAAAAGAAGGTGAAAAAACAAGTTTCCTTCACAACTTTCACCTACATAGATGGGCAGAGTGTCATTTCCCTGTGGAGTGGGAGAAGGGAGTTATGGTTTAATAGACTATTCAAAAATCTTCCACACTTACTATTACCAGCTCATATAATTACTTCACCTCCCAGAGTCTTAATTTCCTCAGTAAAGTGGGGATAAGAATCTCCGTGTCACATGGAGTTGTTGTGAGACTCCACAGGATGACCTGTGTGTGCTGATGCTTCCTGACCCGGGGTAAAGGTTGGGTTGCAGATGAGATGCTCATGGCACAGTGAGCCCCAGCCCTCACGACACAGTCTGGTCCCCTTTGGGAAGTGGATTTGGGGCTAGAAGGCCTCTACCTGTACCTGCCCGTGGGGAAGGGATGAAAGGGCCCCAATCAGTGACCCACTTTCAACCCAGTGGAAAGGAGGCCCAAGTGCAAGAGCCTAGGGCTCTGGGCTCTGCTCCTTCTTAGCCACCCCGCCCCTTTATTCCTTCAGCGCCCCTTAAAGCAGGGGTCTTTCTATCTCCTACCACCTTGTCTGAACACCCCTGTCTACCTCCAACGCCCCACAGTCTGATCCCACTCCCTCCCTCTCGGATAATGGACTTAAGCCCATCCATGTGAGTCTAGGAGTCAAGAGGCCGGATTTATAACCAGGTGGGCAACTGGAAGGTGATGTGGCAGAGCAGAAAAGGCACACTGAGCCGGGGGGTCAGGAGACCCAACCTTTAGATCTGATTCTGCAACTTAACTAGTTGGGTGACCCATGGCAAATCCTTCCCCTTACTAGACTTAATTTTCTCATGTGTGAAAGTGAGGGAATAGCACGAGATGACGCCTTTAAATCATCCCCTGACCTGAACACCTGTATTTCCTCTCATCTTCAATCTCTCTGTTCACTGACACCTCCCCCTGAACATGTAACTATGTACAAATGTCTTTCACGCTGGAAAAACTCCCAGTTCAGCATCTTACTTCACTTGCATTTTGCCGCAGGCGAGGCACCCAGACCTCGCCCTCCATGTCTCCCATCTCAGATCACCTGCACCCAACAGTCTTTGACCTCTACACCACCTTGCTGAAACTGATCTTGACAGCAACACCTGGGGACCCTACCTGGCAAGTCCAGTGGTTGACATCATCTCACTTGATGTCTTTGGGGGTCTCCACACCACCCTCCCTTGCCTCCCTCGGACCCCTCCCCTGAGACACAGCAGCTCCAATTCTCTCTCACTCTCCCTCCTCCCTGCTCCTTCCAGTACGTCTCCCTGGCCCAGCCCCTGCACGCCTCTTCTCCATGTTGTTCGTTCCTGAATGCATCACCATTTATCCTCTGTCTCCACACTCATTCCCGGGGCGGCCTCCTCCTTGCCGGCATCCTCATCTGTCACCCTCCCGCCTGCCTCTCCACCTTGATCTGCCACTATGATGACAGTCTGACTATTCACTCGGCACGTTCTTCCCTCTGATGTCCACTGGAGCCCGCCTTTCCAGATTTACACTGGAGATCTGATCAATTACCCAGTCTGTCTATGGAGAGCATCTGCAGTCCTTTCTTAACTAACCAGCACTCATTGCCGCCCTGGCTCACCTACCTAAGCTCTCCCCTGATGGCTTCCACTCTAGCACCTACCCCACCCAATGTCTCCTACCCACCAGGCAGTTTTCTCTAAGTACAAACCTAATCCATAACCCTTTCTTTAAAGGCCTAGTCCTTAACCATTACACATTTAACACATTTTAAAGTGCGGGAGTGGCAGGACGAGAAGGGCCTGGAAACAGCCCGGGCCGAGGAGTCTGTGTGGACAGGTGTCAGACTTCTAGGTCCATGTGAGAAAGGGTCACGTGCTCATTCAGACATGCCGAGCAATTTCCATAGGGAAACAGCAGAAGGTCAAAGGCAGCCCCACATTTAAAGACATCCCTGACTCAGTCTGTCATGTCCAGTGAAAACAATGACTGAGTATTCAAATTCAGATGCTTTCTGAAATGGATTTCCAAGTTGTTCAAGTCATAGATAACACCAGCTGCACAATTACACTCGCTATGGGGTATAATTTACAGAAATCAGTTATAGTGGCTCTGTCTGTGAAAAAAATCAGGTTCTAAGGTCAGGAGCATGTATCAAAATCACACAAGGAACTTCAGAATCAGATTCTATAATGAGAGCACTATATAAAATCTAAGCTTCTTTCCAGTTTTAATCACAGAAACTGTGCTTTTTATTCGACATTAAACAATGGATTTACAACTTAAGAGAATGAAAACTTCAAGTCATTTTCCTAAGTTGTAAGTCTTTTCAACCCACACTGGCACCGTGTAGTGTGGGCATAAACACAATTGAGGTTTTAACCCGGTTTCCGTAGTGTAGTGGTTATCACGTTCGCCTCACACAATTGAGGTTTAGGCTGGAGAGTCTGTACTTCAGTTTAAAGGCTTTGTTTAACAGCAGGTGCCTGCTATTGAGACTAGTGGGAGCTGGAAGATGGAGCAAGAGATGAGGTTTTAGACATTAACACTGAGAAGGAGTTATAGGCTCACATTTTATGCCCCATTTAAAAAAAAACAACTCAGTAAACTTCTAGTTTGGCTACAGGGCAGAAAGACCAAGAGGAATCACTTAGTTTGACTTTGACAACCTTGGGCTGTAGGCAACAGTAAAAGACCAGACAAGAAATATGTACCACTACATCCCCATCACCCACCACTGTACCTCCATCATCGACCACTGCACCCCCCATCACCTATAGGATGAAGGGCTGGTTCAGACACACAGTAGTTACCCAGTAGTGTCCTAACTATACACAAACTTAAGGTCACAACCAAAATCAAAATCACAAGGTCGCCAAGCTTTTGTTTAACAAAGGATCCATACAAGAGAATGGAGTTTTGCGTGAGAAAGAGAAATTTGTTTTTGCTTTAATTCACAGATTCCAGTTATGCTTTTCAAGCTATTTGAGAGTGTGTTTATAAACCTACCCAACCAGTAATGGAACTACTATCTACTATAATTCATTTTAGGACAGCCTCAGGAAACAGCATCCACCCAGGCCTTGCTAAAATTTAGCTCCCTTCAATCTTGAAAACACTCTGATAATACCTTCAAACAAACCCAGCACTTCTCTAATACGGCTTGTCACTGATTTGAAAGTGGCCAAAGGTACTGGCTTTGGTATTCTCTGCTATTCAAGTCTATATATAGATTTTAAAAGCCTGAGGCAAATCTATTTGAAAAGGGATTAAAAGACATATTGAAAACCTTTTCTAAAGACCAATTGACAGTGTAAGAAAAATGTTCTATTACAGGTATACACATAACGGTTACCTTGGAAATCACTCTTATTCACTTCTGTTTTGAAGAACGTGACATTTATTTCCTTTAAAGTAGACATGTGAAACTAAAATAAGGCATGTTATAAAACCCTTTGATTGAATCTCTTGCTTAGAAACTTGAAAAACTCTGGCTGCAAAGTAGTTAAAAAAAAAAATACACTTTTTTCCTCCAATCAATTCCTTCACATGGTCAAAACCACCCTTTGAGAAAAAACATCCAATTTTCAGGTAAGAAATATTTTTGATTTAAAGGGCTATAAATGGGCTTTGAAGGAGGACTCATGCTTCATTTTTTTTTTTTTTTGTAAGAAGAAAAAGATAGGTTTTTCTGTATTGGAAGGGGAATGATTATATTGTTTTATTGACTAAAAGGTTCTCTCTTACATAGTGACCTGCTTATTCTAAATATTAGAAGTTTTTTAACTTCCAATGCAAATGGATTTTAACAAGAATTACTCCAAATACATTTAAGGGCAACTGTTTATGGTATGTTGAATATATCTCAATAAAGCTGTTTTATAAAAAAATTTAAAAATTATAACAAATATCTGCTCTCTAAAAAGGAAATATGTTTGTTCAAAATGGAACATGTGTGTGTAGTCTGTAAAGAACATACCAGTGTGGAAAGTGATGGACACACAGACACTCATTCCTTGATGAGCTTTGATGGGTGAAGTCAAGTTTGAAGGAGCAGAAGGGAGACAAGAGCGGGTGGGCCTTGTGTGAGCTCGTGTGCGGTGACTTGGGGACCTGGGGGCTGTCACGGCCCAGGGTAGCTGGCCTTAGGCAATATGGTCTACATGATGTCCGGATCCCTACTGCAAGGGCAGAGGAAAGGGCTGGCATCTGTGCCAACCAGACGGCCCCAACTGCCTGGCACTCATTGCACCAGCTCTCAACCCCCTGCTTTTCCCTGTGACCCACACTCAGGGCCCTGACACAGGCACAATGCAGAGAAGGCACTCCTGAGACTTTTTTTTTTTTTTTGAGGCTGACAAAATATTGTCTTTTATAATCAACAAAAACTGGAGGGAAAAAGCTCCATCCTCTAGTATCTTAAACAAATCAGGTCTGTGAGTAACTTGAAGTTAGGTTTCAAATAGTCATTTCTTGACTTAAGTCCCTATTTATATCTCCCTGAGAGCTGAGAAAGCAATTAGCTACATTATAACCTCCTCGGCAGTGTAACTGGCTTTACTAATTACATTCATATTAACATCCTTTTATTTCACTGCACTGGGTGGGAGTTCTTCAAACATCCCTTTGGCTGGGAGGGTACCTGGGGGTGTCTTCCATCTTCATGCTGCTTAATTATTCATAATGAATTGTTCAGCTCTTATCAGGGGGGCACACAAAGGAGAAAAACAAGCAGCTCCCCCATGAAATAAAAGTACCCTTTGCTGACAATGATGAATTTACACACAGGATGTAAGACTATGCCTAGTGAGAGGAAAACCAGGAAAAGAATTTGGCATTAACTCCATGCCATAGAGCCTTGTATCTTTCCAGGTCTCTTTCTCTCTTTAAACAAGGAGTTAGAAGCTTACGCCTTGCAAGAACTGCTGTGAAAATGAGAGATTGTTTCTGTGTCCCTTGGGTAAATACCTAGGCATGGAATTGCTGGGTCATATGGAAGCTCTATCTTTAGTAGGTTGAGGAATCTCCACACAGCTCTCCATAGTGGTTGGACCAATTTGCACTCCCACCAGCAGTGCAGGAGAGTTCCTTTTTCACCACATCCTCGCCAACATTTGTTGTTGCTAGTTTTTTTAATATGTGCCATTCTCACTGGTGTGAGATGGTATCTCATGGTAGTTTTGATTTACATTTCCCTGATAACAAGTGATGTTGATAATTTTTTCATATGCCTGTTGGCCATTTGCATTTCCTCTTTGGAGAAGTTTCTTTTTAGCTCTTCTGCCATTTTTTGACTGGATTATATACTTTGTTTTTGTTGAGTCTCATCAGCTCTTTGTAGATTTTTGTGATCAGTCCTTTATCATCAGTGTTGTGTGCAAAATTTTTCTCCCAGTCAGTGGGTTATCTCTTTGTTTTGGTTATTGTCTCTTTTGCTGTGCAGAAGCTCTTTAATTTGATGTAGTCCCAGTTGTTTATCTTTGCCTTCACTATCACTGCTCTGGGTGATGTGTCTTTAAAGATGTTACTGAGATGTATGTCATGTAGTGTTGCACCTATATTTTCTTCTATATATTTTATGGTATCAAAAGGGCACCTGCACCCCTATGTTTACAGCAGCACTATTTACATTAGCTAAGCTATGGAAACAACTCAAATGCCCCCAAATTGATGACTGGATCAAGATGTGGTATATATACACAATGGAATATTACTCAGCTATCAAAAAAGATAAACTCATGCAATTTGCAGCAACATGGATGGAGCTAGAAGGGATCATGCTCAGCGAAATAAACCAGAAAGAAAAAAAAAAAATACCGGATGGTCTCACTCATAGCAGGAATTTAGAAAACCTAAATAAGGGACCAGGAAAAAGCCTAATTATAATAAAGTAAAAATCAAAATAAACAAGCACCTATGAACCAGAGACACACTACAGGGGGCAGGGGGAAACGAGGGAGTAGGATCAAAACAAGGGGGGTAGGAATTGTATGGGGACTATAACCAACATGAAAATGCATACATTGTGCAAAACTGAAAAATGATGTAAAAAATGTATAAAATAAAAAAAAATTAAAAGAAAACAAGAGATTGTAAAGAAAATACAGAGGCTGAGTAAACAAGGAGAGGCTGCTGGACTTACAGACCTGCCCTTTGTTCCAGGGACACTCCACCCCTTGGAAATCACTCTCTGAGGTGCAGCTGCCTTCTGTTAGAGCACGTTCATAGGATTCCAGTGACCTGTCGATCCTGGCCTACCTTCTGGGGTGTCTAACTGGGCTGGAATGAGTGCAGGGAGGAGTGTGCTGGGGTCTGGCAAGGCTGGAAGGCCCTCTGGGTCTGCGTGAGTGGCTGGTGGTCTCCCTCACAGCAGCGCTTAGCCTTTGCCCAGGGGGAGGAGGGAGGAGCTGGGTAACAAGGTTGCTGACTCTTCAGAAAGATTAGTCAGTGAAGGGGAATGTTAGCATTGCAGCAGAATTGGTGGGCAGGGAAGAGAAGGGAGTCCTTTCAAGAGAAGATCAGAGACCAAATTTTCTATTCCAGTTGAGCAGTGCCAATAAACTTTTGATGTATACCTTCTTTGAAGCATCAGTTCCACTCCTAAGCATTTACCTGACAGATACAATTGTGTGAGTTAGCAAAGATACGCAACGTGCATTCATTACAGCATTATTCGAATTAGCAGAATACTGGCATCTGTCTAAAAAACCCCCAAAACATACAGACTCATGTGGAAAGATGGCCAAGATATAATAAGTGAAAAATTAAAGAGGCTTATTCAATCTTAATATTTACCAACATGCTTATGTCAGAGGATGAAAAGGTCACCCAGGGAGTGAGACAATACACTTTTATCTATTTCTATATGATTTAAATTTTTATGAGCTTATACTTCATTTCTGATAAAAAGCCAGTGCTCCCAACATGAAATGATATCCTGTAGATAACAGAGCTAACACAGCAGCCCAACACTGTTGTCCACAGAAAGGCCTGCTTAGGAGACCGACCCTTGGTTGGTGTCTGGGACCTTGGACTTCAGGAGGGTTTGCAACAGATGAGACAGAGGGAACCTGCATCACTGAGTCTCAGTAAAAACCCTCGCTGCCTTGGCTCAGGCGAGCTGCCCTGCTGGACCCTCCACAGGTGTTGTCAGGACTCACTGCTGCAGAGAGGAAGCACATTTTGTGGGGCCCCCAGGAGACAGCTCTTGGAAGCTTGCACCTGGTTCTCCCAGCCTTCACCCCATCTCCCTTCTCCCTTTGCTGATCCTGCAGTGTGTCCTTTTGCTGTAATAAACCACAGCCACTGGTACGATATACTCTGAGTTCTGGGAGTCTTCCTAGCCAAGGAGTCAGTCTGTTACCCATATTCTTTTTCCACAGCAATTTCTTTTCACCTCTCACACCATTACCAACATCTGTCATTAAGCTATGCGTCTGTTATGCTCTCGAGAAGGAAATAACTGAAGTCCTGGGGATAATAGAAAAGGACATTCCACATTGGCAGATTCAAGTCTCCTTAGCTCCCACCTCTTAGTCCACTTAAGATTTTGCCAACAGGGAGGTTCTGCAGTCTCAGCAGAAATTCATGCACTGATTCTAGAATTTCCAGGGGCTTAAGAACTTTGACATCTGCAGTCTGGCGATGAGGACAAGTGACTTAATGGATGTCAGGGATGTTTTCACCCTCAGACTTGCTGGTCACCTCTCATCTCCCACCCCGGGTCCCCATGTCCTCTCACTCGCTGGTATCTGTCCCAGGTGCCTCTGCCAAGCTCTGCTTTTTTGCCTCTGTCATGCTGTCTTCAAATGCTTTCAAATGAAGCACCCCACAACCCCTGCACCTTGCCCTGCCCAACATCTCCACCTCCACACTAGGGAGAAGACTCTGCCTGTGGACATTCTGGCTGTTTCCTAGCTCCTGATGCTCCTTACCTTGCTGGCCTTCAGGATGTTGATCTGCTCTTCATACACTGTGTCTCTATTTTTCTCCAGAAAACCATCAGAAAGGTACTCCACCTAGGGCCAGGGCAGGAGACAGAAACCGGAGTTAGGGCTTCATCCTGACCAGCTCCTCCCAGCTTCATGACCTTGAATGATTTCAGCTCACTCACACAGGGCTTCCTGAAAAGAGCTGTGGGTAGATAAGAAACCCACAGGTGTTCTGAGGGGACATGAAAACCAAGATGTAATCAGGATTTGTACAGAGGAATCAAGCATTCTTTTTGTGGGAAGATATCTTGGTTGAATAAGGCACTCCTATAAGGTAGCTTTTAATACAAGGCTTCCTTTGGGGTCTGCAAAGGCAGCTTGTCAGTCAGATCCCAGACCTTCCGAGTAGAACCTGCATTTAAACCAGGTCCCAGGTGACTTACAACCACAGAGAATTTGAAAAGCACTGGGCCAGCCCTACAGAAGAGAAATCCACATGAAAAATTCCATGTCAAAACCAGTGACTGGGATAGGAGCGACCCAAAGGAGCGGTCCACTGCGGGTCTCTCCTCCTCGTCCACCTCCAGGCAGGGAGACTCATGACTATTTGACGTGCGGCTCCATTCCAAGGACAGAGACCCTGAAAGTATATTTGCTAAGCATATGACCCCCTACTGTGGGGTTCTGTCACTCGTGCATTTTGGGGTACCACAGAGATGGTGTGAAGAAAAGGAGACCCCACCTAATACTTCAGGCCACTGGAGTTCAAAAGGGACAATGAATGCCCTCTTAGCCTAGAAACCCCCAGTCAGCTAGGGTGGGGTTAACAGAGCACCGAAGCTCACCTTATCGGCAAAGTGGATGACAATGAAGGCTGTGTTGGACATGCGGGGTTTCTGGAAGTGTTGGCTGCCAGAGTGCCGGTCGTACAGCTTCTGAGCCCAGTTCTGGTCGGTTCCTTTGGGGACCTGCAGAACCAAGGATTTAGGTGCTTTATGAAAGAAGAAAGGAAGCAAAGAGTCATGGCAGAGGGAGGGAATCCCCCAGTTAGTTGAGGTCAATTTAAGAGATGTGATTCAGCTCAGAAGGAATCCTAACTGGCCCATGGAAAGCATACAACCACGGACACAGGGGCCTGCTGGCCTGTTCTCAGCATGGGAATCCCCCAGTTAGTTGAGGTCAATTTAAGAGGTGTGATTCAGCTCAGAAGGAATCCTAACTGGCCCGTGGAAAGCATACAACCACGGACACAGGCCTGCTGGCCTGTTCTCAGCATGGCGTGGGGCTGGCTGCAGCGGTGCCTGCAGCAGTACGCTCAGCCTCAAGGATCCTGCTGGGCAGGGAAGCTGAAAGGGTCAGAGGATCAGTGTGGAGGTCACGGTCACAGGCGCAGGATCAGAACAAATCTGAAGAGGCTTCTTCCTTCTGGTCGGGAAGTGACTTCTGGGTCATGAACACACCCCATCCACCCCCACCACCAAGTTCCTGCTCACTCAGGCCGGCTGCCTGGGCAGGAGAGCCCATCGCTCACCATAAGCTCATCAAAACCCACTGCCCAGCACCCGCTCGAGTTTGTCCTTGTCCCGGAGCCTCCCCTGACCATTCTTGACTCCCTTTGGAATTCTTCCCTTCTAAGCCCTTACATTCACTCTCTTAATAGTGTCCACTGTTGTGTTCATGGATTGTCTTGTCACTACAAACTGAGCTTGTTGGGGACAAGAGCGTCCCTCCGAGAACTTAGGGTTGGGGTCCAACCACACACTGCATGCTAAGTAACAGCAGCACACACCAGTGCTTGAGTTACGTGGTACTTAGCTGCCTACCCCAAATGAAGGTTAGATTTACAAGTCTCCCTCCCTCACAATTCCAGGAGGACAGATTTCAAATATCTTTCAATATTTTTAGAGATGACTTCCAAAAGTGAAATAGCATTTTGTTTTGTTAAAGTATAACAGTCACTCATAAGCGCCATTCAAATTGTCAAGGATGATAACTCCTTCCGCCTATGATTCCAGTTATGAGTCCACTGCTTTGCCCTTTGTTCCTCTAGACTCTGCATCTGGATTGGGCACCAGCCTGAAGGTGACCCTGGCGCTGAGCATTTAAAGAGGGCTTTGTTTTGTATATTAATAAAATGTGCCACAAGTAAAATGCTTACACACTTGAGAACAAATGTCTAAAGCTTTTTGTAGGCAAACAGATTTCCTGCAATATTCAAGTTGCTATAACTAGTGTTAACTAGCCAGTGCTGAGTACTGTAGAAAATTCAAGAAATTTTTTCTTGAAGGCAGCTATTAATTATGTTGGGCAGATAAAATATATTTAATTCAGCATTTTTATATGTGCTGCTGCTTTATATCTGTCCCCAAGCCTGCTGTATTTAGAAACGCCAGGTATGGGGAAAGGAATGGGTCAGCCCAGAGGGGCTGTCAGGAGGCAGGGTCAGGAGACAGGAGCACAAAGGCCCAGGATGGGCAGAACTGGCAGCCAGAACAGGGAGGGCAGGACGATGGTGAGAAGCCCCACCTACGTTGATGCTTATTTTTCCAGAATGAAAATCATATCTTGACAATGACGTGGAACTTGTCGGAAGACTCCATAACCCAGTAGATTCACTAACCCTGACTGGCCTGATTCAGTGAGGGAGGGAGACCAACAGCCAAGCTTGTATGTATACCTGTTTCCCAGGATGGGTCAGTCCCTCCTTTTACCTCCAACCTCAACTAAAAATAACGGCCAGCAGAAATTCACAATTAAGATTCTCAGATCATATTAATAGTGTGGGCCTCCCCGGTGGCGCAGCGGTTGAGCGCTGGGTTGCGAAGCTGCCCGCAGCCTCTGCGGCGCCGGCTCGATCCCCGGCTGCTCCCCGGCCTCCGGAGGAGGGTCCCACATGGCGCGCAGACCTCTCCTGCCGCCCGCTGCTCCCCTCAGCAGTGTACTTCGGTCCTTCTGCCTGCTCTGCTCCCCGCTCTGGTGAATTCTCTCACCCTCCTGTGCTTCTGACTGTACCCAGTGCTTGTTAAAAAAAAAAAAAAAAGTGAATGCCCATAGTGCTTATTATATAGCGGTCAATTTTCTATGCATTTTAGATGAATCAAATCACCGAATCCTCCAATAATCCTATGAGCTAGGCACTATGTTTATGCGCATTTTACAGATGAAACAGCTCAAACAGAGAGGTAAGGTAACTTGCCTGAGATCACACAGCTGAGCTTCAACAGTTCTGGAGAATGGGCTCTTCATCATTAAACATCTCTTCCTAACAACAGTTTTAGAGGTAGCCATGAAGAGCAGGGTGAGAGAGAAAACACTAATCTCCCCCAAAATGTAGATTTAAAACGAGTTTAGGAGAAAGCAAGCAAATCCTGTATTTTGAAAAAAAAAAAAACAAAACAAACAAACCAAAAAACCAAAAAAACAAAAACCTGGCTTCTGGCTATCAGTAGCCCCAGCATATGCACCAAGTCAAGGCCAATAAAGTAAAAATCAAAATCAACAAGCAACTATAAACCAGAGACACACTATGGGGGTGGGGTGGAGAGGAGGGATTAGGGTCAAAATAAGAGGGGTGGGAATTGTATTGGGAATATAACCAAGATGAATATGCATACATTGTGCAAGGATGAAGAATGATGTAAAAAATATATAAAATAAAATTTAAAAAAAGATTCTACTAGTGGCTTCATACAAGTGTCCTTGCTGTCTTCTCACAGTAATGCATAAAAGGCACTGGGCAGGAGCCTGGATGCCAACCCTGTGCTCACTTGACAGGTCCTGTCCCTCTAACCTGCGGGGTAGGCCACTGGTCACATCACGGAGTGAGATCCCCTCTATATGGAATGCCAGAACCGGCAAAGCTGTATTGACAGAAATAGATTATTGGTTGCCAGGGGCTGTGGGGGATTGAGGACTGACTGCTAATGCCTTTCTTTATGGGGTGACACAAATGTTCCAGAATTGATTGTCATGGCAGCAGCTGCATAGCTCTGTGAATATACAAAGAAACATTGAATGGCATACTTTAAATGGATGAGTCGTGGGGTGCGTGAATCCTGGTAAAGCTGTTAAAATGCATTTAACTGGATTTTACTCTTTGCTATTAAAATAAAATAGAAGAAATCAGGGTGGAAAAGTGAAAGTCCTTGGGCTCACTAGCTACTCTTCTTCCCTAACAGCCTGGGGTATAAATCCTGTGGTCCAGGATGGCATTTCACCAAGGTTCTTTTTGGAACCTTGGGCAGAAATCATGCTCTGTCTTGCAGAGATGGCCACCGCTGGCTTGGGGTGTCACCTAGGGCCAGAGCCCATCCCCACACAAAAGCCCAAGGGAGCAGACTGGTAAAGACCCCAGAGCCAGTTACTTCATCTCTGCTTACTGTCACTGTCTTCCTGAGCCCCTGCCACAACTGACTGTGCTATCTCATTCCATCCCACACCTTTGGGGATGGAATCAGGGAGTGAGCCCCCTGGTGACCTCCTTCCAGAACCTTCGGCTCCTCTCTCAAAGTTTCGCCTTTTCCCTGACCACACATGCAGCCTGTGTGCTCCCTACACCAAGCTCTTCCCAACTGAGCTTTCCCACAGTGACCAGAAAGACTGGCTGAAAAATGACCCCCATCTGGTCACTTATCCCACACCCCAGCATCACGCCCTGCAGCCCCAGAGCCTTCAGAGTCAAGTGCAAACTCTGTCCCCAGACAGGAGCACTTCTTGCCTGGTTCCTGCTTGCCAGTCTCATGGGCTCTGGGCAAATCTGGCCATTTCAAGTTCTGCAAAGCCGACATTCCCCTTGTCTGGTACACCCCTCCCCTCTGGTTTGCCTTTGGGGGATACTTCCTCCCCGACTCTCTTGTGTCACCTCCTGCTCAGTACTCACACTTCTCTGTCAGCACAGGAGATCAGTGTTTGCCTGACCCCTCAGAGGTGCACTGAAGGGCCAGGGTCAGTTACAAAGGCAGTGGGGTGTGTTGGGTGAATGGATGAAGCATCCATGCCAGTGTTCAGACAGGCTCACAAACATGTGCAACAAGGAGACCTCCTGGGTGACTCCTAACACAGCACACGCCCGTGATGGTGAGAGTCCACTCCCAGGAGAGCAGGCTGGACCCTGGCAAGGAAAGAGAGGGGTTGCCTCCCCACTATCTAGCCTGCTCTCATTCTACTGCTGGGCTCCATGAAACACAAGGATCTTGGTACAGGAGACAGAGCTGGCCTCCCCCGCACAGGCCTGTCTCTGCAGGCCCTGACACCAGCTCTCACACCGAGACAGCATCTGTATTTTCACTCACTAGAACTGCTTCCAGGGGTTAAGAGACATTTTCAGAAAATTCCCACTAAAATGCAAATATGTTGCTTATTTGAGAATATGAGGAAACATGCAGTGGCCTCTCCTATCCTGTTAGCCCTAAGTAGCGTGTCCCTCCAGCAGGGAGGGTGCTGACACAGGGACACAGGGAGGCAGGAAAGGCCCTGTCTGAACGTGGCTCAGGAGCGGGCAGTCCCACAGCAGCCTGAGAACCCTGGGATGGGAGTTTTGTTTTTTGTTTATGTTACTCTTTTTTTAAAAAATGATTTTTATTTATTTGTGTAGAGAAGAACTGGGGTTAGGCCAGAGGTGTAGGGGAGTGAGAGGATTCACCAGAGACAGAGTGGGGAACAGAACAGGCAGACTGACTGAAATACACTGCTGAGGGGAGCAGTGGGCGAGACAGGAGAGGTCTGCTGCTCCATGTGGGTCACCTCCCTGGGTGGGGATTGAACTCAGGCTGCAGCAGTGATAGTGCTCACACTTAACCCCAAGGCCACCAGGGAGGCCCGGGGCAGGAGAGTTTTGTGAAGAGCAGCCTGGAAATTAACTTTTCCTGCAAGCAAAACCCTACCCTGTCGCCTGGGGACTGAGGAGCATCTCAATTTGTGACTTGGCCTGGGTTCTGATTATAAATCTGTGACTGTCAAGGGGCTTTTCCACCTGAAGGAGTCAAGTGCTCTAATATTCTGGTCCCTTGAGCCATCTCTGCAGCTTCTGGAACCAATCACAGGCACTGGGAGACCGGCCCTGTATGCCACCCCTTTAAATCCACAGTCACCCCATCTCCATATTTCTAATTGAAATCCCAGCTCGCTGGCCCTGTGTGACACTGTGCATCTCCTCCAGGAAAAGTGATTTTCCCAGGGGCTGCTTTCGTGCCATGAGTCTAATCTTTCACTGGGCTTTGTGTCCTGTCGCATGGGGGTCACAGAACCCAATTCTTCACAGTGCAATCTCATTATTCTTCCTCACCCTGCAGCGTGTATCTGAGTGACAGGAGGGAAGGAACATGTCTCAGGCAGTTCCCAAAAGTATGGTTCCCAAGGAGTATCATGCTGCGACCACCCCCATGGGAATTCTGAGCCAGCTTAGGGTCAAAGCCGTGGGTGCTTCCAGAGGGGATAGCAGGCAGCCCTAGTTTTAAAATTCAGATTTATTGCTGTATATAATTCCCATCCAGAAAGTTGCATGCCTTGTGGGGGACAGTCTGATAGTTGACAAATGCAGTAACATGGGCTGGGAGAAAAGCTGCAGTGGATTACACTGGGCCATTCCAAATTCCCAGAGTACCTAAATCGCTTAGAAAAATGTTTCCCCGTTATTATGTTGTTCCTCAGTGCTTATCTTGCCTCCCTTGAAACCCCCACATCCTGGGCAGCTTGAGTTTAAACATCACATTCACAGCAGGTGTGATCAGCTGTGAAGCATCCAATTTTACAAAGCTGACCCAAACTGGAGGCTCTGCAGAGTGCAAGGCAGAGCTCATTCACAGAGTCTGTTGGAGCTGATTTTCCTTTAGCTTCTCCAAAGTAGGAGAGCTCCACAGTGCTCCCCCATCTCAGCACTCTGAGTCCCCACTCTGATTAACAGGACACCCTGAACTGCCTCAGACCTGCACCTCCAGGCAGCCTTGGGAGGGGACGGCAGAGAGACCCCACACAACTGGGGCCACTGCCCATGGCCCAGAGGTCTTAGTCAGCTCTGCCTCCTTGGTGACCACTCAGTGGTCACTCTGTTGTCCTTGGATCACGGCCCAGCCTCTTCTGGCTCCAGGACCTGACCTGCAAACACATTCCTGGGCCCTTGCCCTGGCCCCAACCCACTCGCTGTGGTGATTGTTCTCCTGACCCTCCTCCCTTGGTGGCCAGCAGGGAGTCTTTCTTCCTCTCCTGAGGGTTTTTCCCTCAAGACCAGACACACAGCAGGTGCATAATACATTCCACATCCCAGTGTCATGAGCTTGAATTAGATACAGTCTTAAGCCAAAAGCTCCTGATTTTATAAGTCTGACCCAAACAGAAGGCACTACAGGGCGTGAGGCAGGGATCATCCATATAAACAGATGGATTTGACTTTGCCTTAGCTGTTCCAGAGTAAGCCAGAGTCTGAAAGAGATGCTCCAGGCGGTGCAGGGAGACGGCAAATGTGAGGGTCAGAGATCCTGACTGCACTGGGGCGATGAAAGGCTGCGAAGTCCAGGGATTTAGGAGGTCATGTTCATAAACGCTGCAAAATTGCATCTTAGACCTCCCTGGGACTGCTGCCCGCTAACTGCTCTCACCCCATTCCTGCCACCACCTGTTCCTTGCCGGACTTGCACTGTTCTGGAACACCCCTAGGTGGCTTGTGGCCCACCCAATGGACAACAATCTGAAGTCTCTGCATCTGAGCACTGGGGTCAGTGTTCTGAGAGCTGTGGTTTGACATTCCTGCGACATGATCTGGGGGAACAGCACCACTCAGATTCTCAGACACAAGACAAAGCAAACCCGCAAGTAGCTCAAGTCCGCCTGCTACAGGCAGGGTCAGTGAGTGAGAATCAACCAGGCAGTGCTCGGTTCGCAGAAGCAATCATCCTGAAGCTTTCAGGTGTGTTTCTGGGAGGGGAGTGAAAACAGCAAAGGAGAAGCCACACCCTGAGGGGCATGGTCTCGGTGGGGAAGCTCATCACAGAAGCCAGCAGATTCACGCCCTTGGCCTCAGCGCTTCTCAGCATGTACTTCAACCTTCATCTTCGCCACTGGGGAGGCAAGGGAAGAGCTGCAGGCCAAGAGCCAGGGCCGTGGGGGGTTATGCTGGCACAGTCCAGAGGCCTAGGTTGGACGCAAGGTTGCCATTGGGGTTGGGGGTGGGTAAACATAGAGGAGACAGTTACGGAGAGGAGGGGAGCAAAGGAAGGAAGCTGGCGGCATTAGACACTGACCCAGGAAAGGGAGTAATGAACTCCAGGAGGGGAGACCGGAGGCCCTGGCTGGGACTTTGGCCATTTAGCCAGTGCTGCTCCGTGCAGGAACCAGTGTCTTGTCACCTCCGGTGCAACTTGGCAGGAGCAACCCTAGGCACACACCTGCCACACAGGGGAATCACCTGCCTGGATCTGACTCAGGAGGGAGCCCGCAGCTCACAGAAATGCTGAAAACCATTAGGAGATAAAAATGTGTGAGCCGCGGATTTCCATGTATTCTCTTTTTCTTTCTTTTTCTTTTTTTTACTGTTCTGTTAACCTTTCTTTTTCATTTTCAAAGGCAATGAAACTAGGAGAGCCCCTCTGGAAGGGAAAGGCCTCTTTCTCCCTAGTGATCAAGCCACACTCTGTCCTGTACAGGCAAAGATGTGGGAGACCAGAGAGTAAAAGCAACAGGGTTCAATACCAAGAATCACGTGGTTTCTACACTTTTGATTAGAGTTTCTTTTTTTTTTTTTTAGATTTATTGATTGATTGATTGATTTATACATACATACATACAAGCACTGGGTACACTCAGAAGCGCGGGAGGGTGAGAGAATTCACCAGAGCCAGAGTGGGGAGCAGAGCAGGCAGAAGGACCGAAGTACACTGCTGAGGGGAGCAGCGGGCGGCAGGAGAGGTCTGCGCGCCATGTGGGACCCTCCTCCAGTGGCCAGGGAGCAGCCGGGGATCGAACCGGCACAGCAGAGGTTGTGGGGGCAGCTTCACAACCCAGAGCTCAACCGCTGCGCCACCAGGGAGGCCCTTGATTAGAGTTTCTATCACTGATGGAACTGGTATGCATTTACCCCCTTCTCAACAGCTACCAATTTGGAAAATCACTAGATCCAACCCCTACCAATCCACAGAGCAGGAAACCAAAGGCTAAAGAAGTTACGTGATTGTTAAAATCCCAGATCCATGGGCAACTATACACCAGAGACTCTGCAGGGGAGCAGGAAGGAGAGGGATCAAAACAGGGGAGAGAAGAACACAAGGGACTATGGTGATGGTGCACGGGTGAACTGGAGGCGGGAATTTTATGGGGACTACACCTGAGAGGAGAAAGCATGCATTGTACAAAAAGGAAGAATGATGTAAAATATGTATAAATAAAAGAAAAGAAACAAAACCCAGATCCTACCTGCTCATTCCCATCGGTGCCTGCCTCTGTCGGTGCTGACAATTCAGGGCAGCATCCACAAAAAGCTGGATGGGGAGCTCTGAGGACCTCAACTGCCACCAAACCATGTTGTGTCACTCACAAGCTACCTGGTGTAGCAAAGGATCCTAGGCCCCTGACCCTCACTCTCTGGGGATGCCTATCTAGATGTTGGGGTCCTTCTCCAAGGACAAGGATATCTGGGGTGCCAAATTCTATCACCATCATATCATGCCAATAAAACCATCTTGTCTCAGCCAAATAGATACACATTCACCAATGAAGCAACACCTGCCACTCACACTCCATGTGTCATTTTCTAGAACCTTCTCGTACACAGAACACTAATGCTTCCCCCAGCACACTAATGGCTGTTAATCACAGAAGCAATTCCAGCTTAGAGAGCAAACCTTGCACTGCACAGTGGTCCTGCCCCCGACTCCAAGTCTGGAAATGACCTGATCTGATGAAAGCATCAGCTTTACCTTACATTCTTCATCCAACAGGTCCAAGATGCCCAGCTTAGCTTCAATGAGGTCAATACAAGGTTGGTTATCATAAAAATCAATCAAGGTCCAAGGGATCTGCTCCTTCATGTACTCTTCTTGCTCCAGTTTGAATACATGCTAGGGTAAGGAGTGGAAGGTCACGGTGAGTGAACTGCAGGTACATCTGAACCTTCATCTCCCCTGAGGCCCAACCATTAGTTCTAAGTCCTGGAGGATGGTGCACACCCACCAGAAAAAGGCTGGCCACTAAGTCACAGTCACCAGGGCAGAACAGAAATGCTCACTCAGGTGGTGCCCCTTCCACTCAGTCCCTCCCCTCAGATATTCTAGTCATCACCTGTGTTGTCATTTCCCAACAATTCCAAGAGGCCCTGTGTCTGGCTGGTAATTATTTAAATGTCCAAGTTCAGGACTGAGGGTCAAGCGCAAGGAAAGTCTCGTTTACCCTCTCCCTGCTGCAGCCCCACGCAGGGGGCAGAGAAACCACAGGGGCCTTTGCTCACAGGAAGAGAGAGTCTGCCCACCCAACACGGCTGTCCAGAGACAAAGCTTACCGAGTTGAACTGCTGCTGGAGCTTCTCATTGGCATAGTTGATACAAAACTGCTCAAAGCTGTTGACCTCAAAAGTCTCAAACCTGCAGGATGGAAGAGGAGTGGACAAAATCAGAGGGAATCACGGCGACTTTCTCAAGCCTCCCTCACCCTCTCCTCCGATCAGCCCTACCCCAACTGCAGCACAGAAGACCTGTTTTCCACTCATGTCCAAAGAGACCACTGTGCAGGTGTCAGTGTGCGGGAGAGCCTTGACAAATTAGGAGATACCCAGTTTCATAATTAGAAAAACTACTGACTAGAGGGAAATTTAGAAAAGTAGATGTGCAAAAGAAAGAACCATATTGACTTTGTTACACTGAAGTAGGTTTCCTTTCAGGGCCTTCATGTGTTTGAACCAAATAGGATGATATGTAAGATCAGACCCGTATTTCTATCACGTAGCTTTCCACTGCAAACACTTACCCCGGCCATCGTTTGTCAAAAGCATCTACCCCACCTACCTTGAACGGATTGACTGGAAGATAGGACAGGTGCGAGGTGTGGGAACAAGAGGGGCTGAAACCTACCTGGTAACCCCTCACAAGCTGGGGAGGGCTGCTCCGCCCAGATGGGCCACCTCTATCCAATCTGCACATTGATTTAACCAGTGTGCAACTGCAAGGCATTTCTATTCTTTCTCCAGTTTCCAGCTACCCATGCTGGGGCTAATATTGTATCTACCTCTGTGAGTTCATGGTTCTTTCTTTAGGAGGCTATTCTAGAAGGAGAATCACCATGTCTGAGTACAGTTTCTTAAAAAGTAGCAAATTACTTTCCAAAAAGGTGGATCCATTATAGGTCATCGCCCCGCCCAGGTCCCAGCCTCCTCATTGTGTTTTACTCTCCTAATACTAGCCAAGGTGTGTTGTTTTGTAAATTCACATTTATTGAGCTAGAGTTTGAATAGATAATATGCACCCAATTTCAAGGTATATTTCAGAGAGATTTGGACAAATGCTATACAGTGTGTGAGCACCACCCTAACTCTGAAACACAAGGTTTTCATCACTCCAAAATTTGTCTTTGTGCTCCATCCTATCAGTCCCTCTCGCCCCTCCATGGGAGTATTACTGTGTAACTGAATTTCTGGTCCACAGTGTGGATTAACTTTGCAAAAAGTTACTTAATACATGAAAAGAATACTTTTGTTTAAATTTTATCTTTCATGATCCTTGATCAAATTCAGTATTTTTCTGTTCTTTGTGAACTGTGATTGGTAGCGAAGGTTTGTTGGATTTTAAATTTAAATATGGACTTATTTGAGCTCTTCCTACTTGAAGAATATTAACAACATCACTTATTGCTCAACTCAAATGCTTGCACTGTGGCTCCACTGCTGCAGAGGGGCTGGGAGAAGACAAGGTGTAGCGGCGGGAAATGACATTGCCGGGCCAGGCATGGGTCCTGCACCAGGGCCTTGGATGCTCTACTGGGGGATCTGGACTTTACCAGGGGTTAATGTGAAGAAATTAAGAAATTTCAATTAAGAAGTGACCATCAGATTTGCATTTTGGAAACTGGCAGGAGGGTGCAGGAAAGGTATGATTTGGGGAAAGGTGTTCAGGATGGAAGAAGGAAGTGGAGTCTGCTAGTACTAGAGCAATAATTCAGGTCACAGCCAATCAGGGTGTGCCTTAAATGAGTGGTGGCCAAGAAATGGAGATGTTCTCCAGACCTTAAAGAAGGTGGGGTGGAGAGGACTCCCGATGAGATTACCCTGTGCTACTGCATAGGCCTGGTTGCTCACCAAGCTGGGAGCATCGTAACAGCATCAGCAGCTGCAGCTCCAAGTGCATTGAGCAATGTCATCAGGGGGAGGCAGTGAGAAGGGCAGAAATCTAGGAGGAAGAGATGCTTTTTCTTTATCCACACAGCAGGCTGGATGGCTGGTCCTGTGTATCTACTGACCCCTCACTCATGAATGCCTGCCACCACCATGAGTTAGGGCCTGCTGTAAACCACATCCTACAGTTGAAGAAACTAAATGAGGGAGAGTTTCAATAATTTGCACAGAGAGTCAGGAGGAAGTAGAGCCAGTATTTGAACCCAGAGGCTGATATCTGAGATTACTATTATTAATTTAGAAGACGGTGAAGAGTTTGATTAAGAAAACAAGCTGACTGGGCCTCCCCTAGTGGCGCAGTAGTTGAGCACTGGGCTGCGAAGCTGCCTGCAGCCTCTACAGAGCCGGTTTGATCCCCAGCCGCTAGCAAGGGTCCCACATGATGCACAGACCTCTCCTGCCACCCACTGCTCCCCTCAGCAGTGTACTTCGGTCCTTCTGCCTGCTCTGCTCCCCACTCTGGCTCTGGTGAATTCTCTCACCCTCCCGCGCTTCTGACTATACCCAGTGCTTGTATAAATAAATAAATACATCTTAAAAAAAAGAAAACAAGCTGACTTGGAAGGGCTATGTTCGAGCAGGGTGACTTCTCAGCTGAGAGGGACTTGAGTACATGGAGTGGAAGAGGACCTGCCAGTAAGGGTTCTGGGCTGGGCACGGGCTTCAGCCTTCTGCAGAACCTTCATATCACATCTCATTCTTTCGAATGGACAACTGAATATTCTCCATTCTTAATAAAAGGATGCCCATCATTCCAAGCAGATTGCACTTTCTAACTATTACTCCCAAGAGACATATTGGAGTGGCCCTTGGTGGGGCTGGGGGCAGAGATGCAGCACCTGATACAGAAGGACCAGCAAAAATAAATGTATCAGACGCCCAAAGGGGCCAGGTCAGTGCCGGAAAATGTCAGGCTTTCCTCCCCCTCTGCATCCACCTCCACCCCCAAGATACAAGACACAGAGAAGTGGGAAATTGTTCTGTGATCAAAGGAGTCAATTGCTTGGAGAGACCACATTAAAGAGTTGCCTTTGGTCTTGGCCACATAGGAGAAATAATTCTGGGTCAATAAAACAAGATCAAAGACACGAAGTCCAGGCTGGAACTGCACTCGAGACCAAGCAGGAGGGAGGTGCTGTGTCTGCCAGATGTTGCCCTGGACTGCAGCCCTCCAGCCCAAATGGCGGTTCCATAGACCCAGTTATGTCACTCAGAGGTTCATTTTCTCCCCACCCACTCCATCCCAAGCGAGGTTGCTGATGACAGCCAGGCCCCAGCGGAAATTTAATTAACAAAACCTAGAAGGAAGATAAGAGAGTCACCCTAGCAATTGGGCAGGTAATAGCAATCAGTTGTACTTGCAGAATTTGCACTGAGCTCCACAGATAAAGGATTTAAATATCTCCCACTTGTCATTTTTGAAGGTTTACATTGGTAGCACTCCACAAAGAACATTCTCATTAATTTGAGATGGCCTGAAATTAGCTCATAATTTTCTATTTCTAAGATATTATCTGGTAACAATTCCTCTGCCATCTAGTGTAATTACCGTAATGCCGGAGGGCCAGAGATGAATGAGGTGCTTGGGTGGCTTGGAAAATATCCAAGATGACTGACCTCGGAAAACCACAGTCAGGGAGATGGGGCAACCTCTCTAGTATAATGGAATTATATTTGTAGTAATTCTTCCCATCAACAGAGATAAGTTTTTAAAATAAATACAATGGGTCAATTCCTAGTTGACAACATAAAAATGTCACAAAGAAATTTATATCCTAGAGGGAATTGGATTTCTCCTGTAAAATCAATGCTGAGGATATTTACACCAGAATCCTTGGGTGGGAGGAGTCAAAACATGGAGTAAGAGGTGATGCTGAGGCGTGAGATGTGTACTGCAGGGATGGACCACCTCTGACTTCAATTTCTCTCCATTTTCAAAATGTAGCAGAAAAGCATACAATTTCATTTTCATTCTACCCCAATTTCAGGGTAAGACAAGGGTCACAGATGTCCCTAAAAATAAGGCTATGCTGTTGGAAAGTGAAACTGCAATAAAAAGTCAACCAGTCACTGTGAGTTAATTATTAACCTCCATGAGCCTCTCATTCTAGAGCAGAGAGGCAATGAGATGCTTTGAAGTTTGGGACATAGTCCTTCCCTGTGAGCACGGGTGAAAGGAACAGGAATCTCTTAGCTCTGCCTCCTCTTTCTGCTTCGCAAAGCTCTCTACCATTCTGCTAAACGTAGATGACCACAGATGGGGTCTAGGGCAGCTACTAGAGGAGGGCTTCAATGAACCAGACCCTAAATCATTTTCATCCTTCCTGAAGTTCATGGAACCACATTGGGCACCTTACAGTCTGGTGGTGGCCGGTGCCTGGGAAAACAGGGGGAGTGGAGTTGGTCAGTGGGTAGAGTTTCAGTCTCGCACCCTGAGAATCTCTGGAGCTCTGCTGTGAAGATGCAGCACAATTGAGCACTACACTCCCAACTAGTTAGGATGATAAATTTCATGTCATATTTTTTCAACCACAATTAAATTATTTAAAAAATGCATCAACAGAAAGCACTGACTAGAGCAGGATTAAAGTTATAAAGTACCACAAACGATAAGGAAAACAATATGAGCACTGAGAAGGCTATAAAATACCAGCAACTCCATTTCTTGCTTCCTGGGGTCCAGACTTCTCTTCTCTCCCCCATCCTCTCCCTGCTGCTTCTCAGCATTAGAAGGGCTCTGTACCCTGCCTTGCTCCAACAGTCTCCGCAACCAACTGTCCTCATCAAGAACGGCCTGGTCATAGCTAACCTCTTGTGCTACCATGGCACCTAGACGGCTAATCTCAAAAACAAATACATGTGTACTTTTCCCAAATTGAAGCCATTTATTTCCTGTTGCCTTGAGGAGGGCAGAGAAATAAAGGATTAAGATTGTAATTAATCAAGCCTGTAGAGGCAAATGCTGGTTACTGCAACATGAGAGGGAACTGCCAACCAAAAGCTGCCTGGCTCTCTCCTATTAATTTCCATCCCTGCCTGGTAGGTAATTCCCCACAGGCAGCTTCCTAGGTCCTGAGTTAGGGAAAAGAGCTTGGCATGGGTTGGCTAAACTGCTCTGGGTGTTGCTGGCTATGTGTTTTTTTGGAGGTGGGACAGATGAGCAAGATGCAGGGGAGCCTCTCTCTACCAGGACACTGGCATCTGGAAATGCTCAGGAGGGCTAAGGGCAGGGAGCAAGGGCGCTCCCCGCTTGTGATGGATGCAGTTGTGGGCTATGCCCATTGGTGTAGCAGTTTCCAGACTTTTCTGCTCTATGAACTAGAACAGCATTAGGGGACGTGTGTGATCCTATGCTCACTGGTGTGCTGCACACTTTCAGAGGTAGAAATGAGCACTTGTTTACCCTGGTATGGGTTCTATGGTAACATTTTAAATTTCTGCAGAAAGTCTAGAGTGGCCCATCTGCATATAGAACTCTTCAGTTCTGTAGCCATGAGTCTGACACATGGGCCGATAACGCCCTAGAGAGGCACATCTGGGGCACTTGTCCCAGCTGAACAAGTGAGTGTCCGCTTGTGGGGTGGGAGTTGGCAATTCCACTCTTATTTGGTAGCTTTGCACACTTCTAACCTAATTCAGACAACCCCTTATTCCCTCCCTCTTCAAGAGGGGGTTTTCTGTATAAAACATTCCATCTTGCCTATTCTCTCCAGCTTCCACATGCTACTCTTGCTTATAATTCATAAGGAAGTATAAGAAATCCAAAGCCTTTGGGTCATCCTAAGGGTGTTTTCTACTGTACCCCACACCAGGGTTGAGAAAGAGTGAGATGATGGGGGTGTCTTCTTGCTCTCTAGCATTTGGTGGGCAGGGAGTTGGAAAGAAAACTGGAAAAAAAAAAAAAAAAGCTAGAGTTTTCTGACGCCTTGGAGGATGAAATGTTCCTTAGAGAGAATCTCTTCCCACGGTTATGTTGTAAATAAAACCTAAAGACAGGAATTAGTTTGAAATGGGAGGGAGGTGGTGAGAGAAGTCAGGAGAGATGTATCGGGTATGATACCCACTTCCAGGTAACTGAGGGGTGATAACATTAAAGAAAAGAATTCCGGGGGTTTCTGCAAGGCATATGATATCCCAAGGAAACCAGGTAGAAAAGGCCCTGTGGTCAGGAAAGCCAGTGGCAGTAGCAGCTCACACAAATCATCCCAGGTTTCTGCCGATGTGTAGTCATTTTCTCCCAGATTAAGAAAAGTCACTGATCTGAGAGATCAGAAACGGCACCTGTAGACTCAAGTCACCTGCTTTCCTGTGGTCAAAGTTTTGTTTTAATCTGCTAAGCGTTCATTACATTCTCTCTGATCAGGCCAGTTTCTACAATTTCTCTGCAAACCAGAACTGTTGGGAAGTGCGCTTTCTATGTTCAGGGAAAGTCTGTGAGTACCTCTTGAGAGCAAATAGCCCAGGCAGACAGCTTGATAATGCTGAGCCCGCCTTGTCTCTCTTGGACGCTGCCCACGGCGTGTGAACTTGGCGCTGCACCAGCTTGAGGAGTAGCCATGCATGGCATTTATTCCTCTCCAGGAGGAGAGCAAATCACTTTTTAAACATGACTGCTTTAGGACACAGCTTGGAAAAAGTAAATTAGCATCTGAGAAAGAAAAAAATTTTTTTAAAGAGCAAAGCTTGCCTGGAAGGAAGCACAAAGGGCCAGGAATTGCTGACCGAGCTCCCACGTGGCCCCACACCTTGTGGTTTGGCCATGGACCCTGCAGCACTGGACCACTGTCAGATGTTCTCAAAGGAACTCATGGCTACACCAAGGTGAGGGGGTGCAAGCTCAGGAGATGGCAACAGAAATGGGAAACAGGGTTCTCAGGGGCCCCTCCCCACCACGGACAAGGACACCTTTCAAAGACAGACAGAGCTTCCCCTCTGGGCAGGAGAAAATAAACACCATTGGAAAAATGTGATGGCAAACAGAAGCACAGAATCCCAGTGCACATCCCCTGACTCAGAGGCACCAGGAGCTCAGCTCACAGAGCACCCCTTCCCCCAGCTATGAGCAAAGCCGTTTATTGGGGATCCCTAGGAAGGGAAGAACCTATTTCAATTCAAGGCCCAGCTAAGATGGTATATAACTGAAACCTCAGCTCAGACTGTTTTCACATGCTATGAAGGACAAGGACACCTTGGATCTGCACAAGGATCTGACAAGTCTGCATGTTAATCTTCAAATCAAAACTTCAGTATAAGTAGATTCTTGACTAGGTAGGTAAGGAAAATTGGGTCAGATGCTGGAAACCTGGAGTTTCTAGAGGTCTCACCTCAGAAGGTAACACTAAAGCTCAATATTTTGGGAAGCCCAATTATCCAAAACTATTTACAGCAAGGGAAGAATAACGAAATCGGTCACTGACATCCGAAGTGCGTTCCGAGAGCACAGATTCTTCTACCATTTGCTCTAAGAACAAGTAGAAGTCAGGCTCTCGAGTGACAGCCCGGTCCCTGTGGTTGCTGGGCTTGTAAGCCTGGGAAAGACGCCTTCTCCCCTTCCACTCTGGGATGACTTGGTCCTCACCGCCCATGAGGCTTCCTTCTGCACCTGGCTTTTCCCGCCATCTTAACTGTGCTGTTCCTAAGGGTCCCGTCTCCCTTATTCTATTCTCTCCCTTTAAAAGATCCACTTTAGGGAGCTCTGGGGATGGCTGAGTGAATCATGGGTGTGTGCCCACGTGTGAAGCCGTACTCCTGAAACTACGTATGTTTGTAAAATACATGATACATCAATAAAATTTGATTAAAAATAAATAAAAGATGCAGTTCAAACCTCCCCTCCTACAAAACGCCTTCTCTGACTGGTCCAAGAAGCACTCACTCTCTGCCTTGAAAAGTGCACAACACTGAGCATTCAAACCCTCAAACTGACCCTGCCACAAGCTCTTCTATTGCCTCTTATATCACACAGTGACTTAAGTCTTGGTTCCAGAGGGCTCTGCAATGCTCCACATCAAGCTTCCCTCTTCCTCTATAGCCTCTGCAGCACACGACATGGTTCTGCCCAACGCTCAATGCTGAGCAATGGCAGCAGAGATGTAATCAGGGCAGCTGTCCCTGCCTGGGGAAGTGACAGCTTCTAGAGGAGCTCTTCCTTCCCTACAGCCACAGCATATGACGAGTCACAGTTGATCAGCCCATCCTTCCACTAGAACATTACTGCTCTTGAGACTGTGCTTTCATGGGTCCCAATTTCTAGTTTAAGTCAGAAGCCATGACTTACATGACACCAAGATCTAGGAGGATTTAACCTATGATTCCCTTAGAGAGGTCATGAAGAAGTACAAAGGAGGCTGCAACCCAGTTCACAAGGATCTGGAGGGAACGTCAGACGCTGTGGCCACAATGTGGAAACTAAAGGCTAGTGGGGCTGTGCCTGTAGCTGGTGATGGCACTGAGTCAAAAATCTAGCCTCGTGATGCCTACGTGAGCAAACTTCCCATGGGGCCCTGTTGCTTCTCCCTGCAAAATATGCTGTTACTATCCTGTCCGTACCTTAGGAGGGCACCCTTAAAGGAAAAGGAACCTCAAGAATGACCACACAACACAGGTCTGCATGGCATTGGGCAAAATCAAGGTTCAGAAACAATCCCCTTAGCTGGCAATACAGTGAATAAGCTCCAATGACAGATGTAAATAAAATGTTACTGACACACAAAACCTGGATTTCAGTGTACAGTAACTTCCAGTCTGATGTCAGGCAAACACGTCCTTCTCCAGGCCTTGATTTCACAGTTGTGCTAAGGGCTGCCTACAGGATTTCTCAATGGGGCAGGCTGCTGGTGTTCTCACAGGACCCATTCTTTGTGTGGGACACCCAGCATCCCTGGTCTGAGGCCAGCTGTGACCCCAGACATTGTGACAAACACACCTCACACTCCCTGGGCTGGGAACACCCAGGAAGATCTCCAGGGTGCTTGCTGGCATCAAACTACCAGCGGGAAGACACTACGGAGCAGCTGTGGAGTGAAGTGGGGGCCAGGCACAGCCTACCCATAGATGTCCAGGACCCCGATGAAGGAATGCTGCTTCAGGGAAGTTTGCAGGGCCTTGTTGACGTGCTCCACGATCCAGCTGAACAGCTGGGCATAGATGTGCTTGGCCAGGGCATTGCGTGCATTCACCACCTGCTGCAGGGACATGGTCTTGATGTAGGTCTCTGAGGTGGTGACCAGCTTGCGATGGCACAACCAGTGCTCCATCTGGCTGTGCTCCACCCCCAGCAGTCGGCAGAAGTTGTTCAGGTGCTCGTCCTGGGGCTGCAAGGACACGGGGAAAGGTGCTCAGAAGGGCGAGGAAGACTAGGCCCGCAGCATGCTCCTCTCTCTGCACCCGCCTCACGGAAAACAAGCTCAACTTCAGGCCTGCCCATTGCTTCTGAACCCCACTTTATCCCCAGCTGCCGCTCAAGGGGCCTCATGCATGCGCACCCGGCATGTGGACATGATGTGGGCCCACAGAGCATTGCTAAAGCTGAGTATCACACCTGCTTGGGACCTATCAAGGCTTAAAAGAAACAAAAACTCCTTCCTGTCTCCTCCTCTGCTGCCCCAGCACTGTCAGATGAGGACCAAGGATGTTCCAAGTGATGAATGTGAAACAAGAACAGGTAGCTTAGGTACAGATAACCCACTGGGAGTTAGGGGCTGGAAGGCCAGGAATCAAACTGCTGGCACAGCCTCAGAAAAAACTGGGAAACCCTCCAGTTTAAGTCACTTCTCATCCAAGTAAGAACACAAATCCCAGAGAGGCCAATGACTCACCCAGGTCCCCTGGGGTCTGGGCACCTTCTTCTGCTCTGCCATGCCCTAGCAACCCACCGGCATTTGACTCTCAACCATCCTCGACCCAAAGTACTGATAAAGCCACCTGGCTTTTTTTTTTTTTTTTTTTAAGATTTTATTTATTTATACAAGCACTGGGGTACAGGCCAAAGGCACAGGAGGGTGAGAGAATCCACCAGAGACAGAGTGGGGAGCAGAACAGGCAGAAGAACTGAAATACACTGCTGACGGGAGCAGCGGTTGAGACAGGAGAGGTCTGCTGCACCATGTGGGAATCTCCCTGGCCAACAGGGAATCGAACTGGCACCATGGAGGCTGCGGACAGCTTCACAGCGCTGCACTCAACCCACTGCGCCACCAGGGAGGCCCCCACTTGGCTTTTGAGCCTCTGATAACTAGATCTCCCAAAGGGTCTTGTCTGATTTTCCCCAAATGCCTAAGTCCCTTGGATAATCCTTGCTGTCCCTCAGGGCACCCCCCAGAAAATCTACTTTTCCCTCAGAGGTTCCTCTTCCCTGTTCTTCACTCCCTCATCTAAATCCACCCAGGAAAGTGGATACCCCACCTGAGGCCCTGGAGAGCTTAGTAACTGAAAAGGATTCTTTAGAACATCACAGCCACCTCCTAATGGCCCTAAATTGCTTGTGGGACTCATTTTCTATGTGGCTACCTTGTAGGATTTAAATGAGGGCTTGTTCAAGGAAAGTTAACACAGATAATCACACCATTTCCCCCTTAATGTCACATCCCTGGGCCATTTTTTTTCCCTCCTACAGATATTTAAAACCCATCAACCCAAAACAAACACAATTACAAGATAATGTCAAGAACAGAGAAAAAAAACCTCTGGGAGACATCAAAGGCCAGTGTTCTTTCAAAGCATGGTTCCCAGAGCAGCGGTTAGAAGTGACCTGGCCTGACCTAACAGAGGGGAGAGGGTGACCCCAGAGCAGCCGTGGCATCTGATGGGGCTTGTCCTGAACTCACAGACCCAGAGTCGCTCTGATCTTCCTATGAAGTTGTCCAGGTTAGGGCTGCCATGAAAACACCTTGGCATCATCCTAGTTCACCACCTTATTTTTCAGATGAGGAAAATGAAGGTAAATTAGGCTCCATGACATTGGCTCCAAGCTCCTAAACCAGCCTGAGAGGTTGGGGAGAAGGAGATTGCCTGGGACTGGGCTGGGTGGCTGGGCTGGGCAAGTCCATCTTCATTCACTCAGCAGTTGGGGTCACTGCCAGGGCGACTTTCCTTGGTCCACAGGCTTTTATTCTGCAGCCGCCCCCATACCCTGGGGGCAGCTTGGCAAGCAACAGGTTCAGAGGAGGCCAGTATCCAACCTGTTAATTCAGCTTGTTTCCAAGAAATTTTTAATTGCTAGGCACAGCCCTGCAGCTGGATTGCGTGACATGTAAATGGCATGTCAGCAGACACATGACTGTCCCAAGCCTGCCTGGAGCTCTCCCTCCACCCCTGGAGAGCACAGTGGAGCAAGGACCACAAGCTCAGAACTGTCTGATAGGTGCCTGGGGACAGGTTCCCATCCTCTGCACTGGGCGTGGCTTGCTCTGCCTGTTGATTAAAGGTGCTAACTGAAACTGATTTAACATGGTGCAATTACACTTAAGCTTAATTAAATGATGCTAAATTCATTAGAAATAGCCAGCATCATAGATAACAGATTAGTTTTGTGGGCCCATATTGCTAAATTCTAGAAACAAATTGCCTCTGGTGTCCAAGTAATTGCATGCTGTTGCATCTCCAAGGTAACTCTGGCAAACACAGAGCACATTTTCATGCTTTAATTAAAAATAAAAACTATGGAGCAGAAGGCACACAGCTTAGGGATGGACAGCCTTTTCCTAGGAGCCCCACACTGTGTGCCCAAGGAATAAACCTCATAGGGTCTCTCATAGCATTTCTCGAGTATTTAGCAGAGCATTTCTTTTACTATATTTTTACATCATTTTTCATTTTGGCACAATGTATGCATTTTCATCTCGGTTATAGTGGGCCATCACTGTGCCAGGCACCACCAGGCAAGTGGAGGGCAGCCCAGCTCCAGGGGTGAGGGTCCTGCTGAAGAGGCGAGGCTGGTGACAGCATTGGGGAAGAGCTGCTAGGTCCAGACGTGGCGTTGCTGCTAGCTCCTTCTGACCTAAGACAAAGTATCCTCCCATTTCCTCCTTTCCCACTGGACCCACGAGGCTGCACAGTCCACCTGAGGATGGAGTCCTGAAGGGCCAGGGCACGCCCTGACCCAAGACCAGTCCTCTCTTAAGGAAAATGCATGGGGAGTGATGAGCTCTGCGGGTGCCAGCTACCATTCAGGTCTTCTCCCAAGGGCAGGGCCAGTTTTAACTTCTGATAACCCCCAACCACTAAAAATTATAGGTTAATAAATGTTTGCTCAATTGAAAAAAAAAAAAAAACAAAAACGAACAGGTTGCGAGTGGCAAGGACACATGCCCATTTCCACACTCTGTCCTGCTGTCTTCTGTCTTTCCCCAGCATCTGCTTACTTACATTCTAAGTTCTTAGGGGCAAGACTCATACTTTGTACCTTGCTGGGACTTGGTCACACAGGGCAACAAAAGTGGCCTCTGATGAACAACTGCAGATTCACTTACTCAAGGCCAGAAAAACAGTTCCAACCACTTTGGACACAGTTGAGAACAGCCACCCAGTGGGCACTGCCATCCCCTGCCACAGGAGTTCACTCCCTCATTCACCCCACTAGCCGTGTTTACTTGCCAGAAATCCGCTGTTATGCTGGGCACCGGGAAAGTACCTCATTTTTTTATGAGCATTTGTGGAGCACTTGGCTGCCTGCAATACTTTCATATGGTGTCTCATGTAACTTTCGACCTTGAGCTGTCAAAATCTCCCGGTGTCATGTCTCTTGTCTACCCGATCAGACTGGGTAGACACTCTTCTCATGTCCTTGCCTCATGGACCTCACTCAGGAGCTCAGAAAGAACTCGTGGGCTGATAATACTTCGTAGGAATTCCACAGACCTTGGGGTACTTGGAAAACCAATCCATCCTTAAGAATGCATTAAATGGCCCCTGAATTCCCTGCCCTCCATGATAAAAATTTGATGGCAGCTGATGTGTTTTTAAAAAAAATTATCAGCACTGGAACAGAATTCACTGCTGTTAAGAATAAACAACCTAGGAGTGCCCTCCAAGAGTAAAGGTGCAGTTCAGCTGTATAAACCCGCAAGAGCCAAGTAAATTGTGTATGTTTTATCTCGGGGGCTGGTGTGTTACTTACTGATATACTACAGGATTCACCATCACGCTCAGGCTGAATCTCCACATTTCCAAGGTGCAGGATAGAAGCAATTATCTTAAAAATGCTTATCTGATGGGACTCTCTCACTCCTGGAAAAAAAAGAATGAATGAATGACAGTCAATATCCATACTAGGACAGAAAGGACATTTTACCCTCTTTTTCAGGACTTAAAAAAAAATCAGGTCTGATATTTTTCTTTCTGGGCCAGTAACTCCTCAAATGATCCTGGCTCCTTACCTCATAATTACCACACATAGAAACAGCTCAGGGGGCAAAGGGGCCTCCTGGACTCACAGGGAAAAAGCCTCACTGTGATTGTCCTGATCAAAACAGATGGGTCACGCATGATTTTAACTTCTCCAGGAGCAAAGGAGAGGCAGCAATCACATAGACTGTTTTGGACTTCATTTCAACCAAAAATTTCATATGCATTTAATAAGAAGGGTCATTTCTCTGCTGTCATTTTGCTCCCAACCTAATATCCTGCAAACATCTGTGACACTATTCAAAGTGCCAGCCAGGGAAGAGGGCGTGCTATTGTGGGGCTGGCAGGCTGGCTCAGGGCTGCTGCCTGCTGTGCTAGGAGCACCATCATACCTACAGACACCTACAGACACAGGCTGCCCCACACCCCAACCTCTGGGCAGCAGACACTGTCAATGCTGTTCTATATATACAGACAGTATCAAAGGTGTGTTTGTTAAAGCATTACCATTTATGGCTAATTGCAAAATCATTTCAGACTTAAAAACAGGTTACAGAGTGTGAATAAACTATTAAGATAAAAAAAAAAAGAGACTATAATAAGCAGCAATCAACCTGTAGTACAAATTCCCCTTACAAACACACCCTCTTCCCCAGCTGCAGTGACTTGCTTTTAAGACAATACTTTACTCAGACTAAAAAAAGAAAAGTCAATGACACCCACACAAATTAGAGAAAAGATGTGTCATGCTAGGCTTGTCGACTTTACTCAGCTCAGTCTACAAAGTGGACATTCCAAGCATCTAATTCCATCCAAGCAGGAATTAGACAAATCCAATCAAAATGTTTAAAATGTTAGATGAGGGCCTCCCCTGGTGGCACAGGCAGTTGAGCGCTGCGCTGTCAAGCTGTCCGCAGCCTCTGCAGCGCCGGTTCGATCCCTGCTGGCTGGCGAGGGTCCCACATGGCATGACAGACCTCTCCTGTTACATCCGCTGCTCCCCTCAGCAGTGTATTTCATCATCTGCCTGTTCTATTCCCCACTCTGTCTCTGGTGAATCCTCTCACCCTCCCGCGCATCTGGCCTGTACCCCGGTTCTTGTATAAATAAATAAATAAATCTTTTAAAAAAATGTTAGATGACCATGCCATGTAAGTTTTATAGGGTGGGGATTTCTTCTTAATTTTTATTCCACAGCACTTTCAAAATACATAAAGTACACACCTGCTATTGCCTCACTGTTACACCCACCAGTGTCTGTCATGGAGCAGGTGCCAGAAACTCGAGTGACACCTGTCCCAGACGGCCAGTACTGCGGATGTCTACACCCGTGTGCATCACTCGAGTAGCTAGGTTTACCTAAGCCACTAGTCTAAAAAACAGCCAGGGGCCAAATAATGCTATGCAGCTGGACAAAACTGAAGGGGAGGACAGGTTAAAGTCCAAGGCCAATGCCCACGATGAGACAGGAGGCCAGCCCGCTTTGCATCATGTGGAGGGTCAAGTCCCGGGTGGCAATCAGAGCTTGGCATGCTCTCAGATAAGACCCATCAGAGCTACTAGTCAGGACCTGGTGCTGGGACCACCAGAGGCTGAGTAGGAAATGGCAGGTAGTGGCAGGCAGTGAATAACTTACAAGTGGCAGATAGTAAATAACTTACAATAATGAGGATCCATGCACTATACTGACCAGAAAGTTCCTTCTTAATACAGGGCTCTCTGAATGAGAAGTACCTCACTATAGGAAGACAAAACAAAACAAATAATCAAGCAGTAAAGCTAAAGGAGTTAAATAGGAGTTGGGATCAATGGCCCATAGCCTGTTTTTATAGATAAAGTTTTATTAGCACATGGTCCTGCCTATTCATTTACATTTGTGCGTGGGAACTTTTACATTCCAAAGGCAAAGCTGAGTAGCTGCCCGAGAAACTGTATGGCCCACAAATCCTTAAATAATTACTATCTTTTCCCTTAAGAAAAAGTTTGCCAACTCCTAGAGTGGAAAAAGGTGGGGGGGGGGCATGTTTATTAAAGGGTGAGGAAGAATATCCTATTAAGATAATTCTACTAAAGCTATTTGCTTTGAGAATGAAAGTACTAGGCTCCTTAGAGCCTGGGCAGGGGAAACTTCTCCTTGCATGTGCTCAACCCACTGCTCCCAGCAGCCTCCAGGACCACATCCCCAGTCACTCCTGGGTTTCAGGCTGACCTCCCAAGCTTTGCATATTCTGGCTGCAGGTACCAGGAATTTACCACTTCAATTTCTTAGTTAAGAAAGCTCGCATTCCACCTTTCCAAACAGGTGTGGAAGAGTTTATTTTCTTCCCTTCTACTGCCCCTCATGACCCCAAAGAACAGAGAGATCTTGTTGTAAGGACTCCACTGTTGGTCTGTATGTGGAAACCATAATAACAGAACAACACTGTGTGCAATAGCGACTAGATTCTATAGCTTCTTCCAGCCCAGACCCCATGACTCAGCACATGGGAGGCTTGGTGTGAAAGGCATGTTCTTGCTGCTAGAACACACTGCCTCTCAAACCCAGACCAGGGCACCAAAGACATGGCTTCTCTTGGTTTTCCTCCACTGGCTTTGATGGCCTTAGGGAGTGAAAAGGGTTACTCGGCAGTGGCTGAGACAGCAATTCTCAAATTCATATTTTTAAGAAAGATCAATGAAGTGCCAAGTCTTACATTTTGGAGCATAAGGACTGGGATGGAACAAGGGAGTAAGAAGATATTGATGAAGAGCCAGAGGGATACCTCATCAGCCGATGCAGGTGCACCTTCCCAAAGTGGGACAATGCCAGTGTTCTTCTATGAAATCACCCTCTGGGCCTTCCCCCCTGTACCTCCTCCATTGAGAAGCTCCTTACCGAGGAGTGTGAAGGCTTGTTGGGTCTTCTCAAAGTCCTCAGCGTCATCCACACCCTCGATGGATGTGTCTCCTCCCTGTGATGTATAGAAGAAGTCCTCCGCACAAGCTGGGGTGCAGAGGAAGAAGACATTAGTGTCAGAGAGGGGTGGCCCCTGTTCAGCTCACATGAAGATCAAGGTCCATGAGGATTTCTTCTCTACGTTTTATTCCAACCCCTGTGGAGCCCCTTAATATATTATCATTATTGACCATGGTCAATGGGAGAGAATACTGAATCCAAGAGATAGAAAACTATACAACACTGGCAGAATGCGCTGCTGCGTTTGTGTAAAACTGGCAGGAGGTACCAAGTCAGTCATGGATATCTCCGTTTGCACCAGACTTGTTCTTGAAAGGATCTGATAAACCTAAGTAACACACCCCCACTCTGGAATGACAGACTTTATGACCTTCAATCACCTTGGTCTGACAACCTCATTTGATAAGTAAGGGGCAGTGATGAGTCCAACGTAACAGGTTGTTTGTTCATTTGTTTTGCGAAGAGGGGGACACCTATAAATTATTCAGAGACATGAACAAATGCAGGTTGAAGTCCTCCCACATTTATGCCTCAGTTTGATTCCTATTCCATCAGGCCTCTGGGAACAGCTGGTAAGGAGGAGCCTGGTTCTGCCTTAGAGCTCAGAGCCAGCCTTAGCAGAAGGCAGAAACACAAGCACCAGGCAGAATCCACAGAATAGGGGTGAAGGGCTGGGAGGCCAGCAGGGAAAGGCAACCATTACACATAATCAAAACCAACCTTGAGACTCACTTAAAATTCCCACAATATAGTGGGGAGCAGCTGTGTGCAGTACAGTCCTGCCTTGTACCTGGGATTTCTAAGTTATAATGTTGGATTTTTCTCAAAAGCCCAAAGGAGGACACTAGATTTCCATATTGGAGGGAAGGAGGCATTTATAGCATCTAACAAAGACTCTTTGTTGTCAACAGCCAGCACCCTAGTACCTGATGTGCCAAATCAGACAGGCTATCCCAGTTAGCAAACTCAGGCCCTGCTGGGTATCTTCCCCTGGCAGAGGCTCATCCTTGCAGGGAGCAGCACACCGAAAGGACCACCTCCTTATCAACTACCCCAAGGTTTGCAATCACCTGTTTTACCATCACTCCCCAGATCTTCTTCACGAGACACCCCAATAGGAGGCAGGTCCCTCAACTGCTTATTCTGTTTGATCTCAGTCCTTTTGGTCGCTGACCAGTCCATCCTACAACCAACATCTCATGTCACCTGGTTGGGGCCTCTCTTTACCTACAATTCCCAAGGAGAAACATACAAAAAAGTCCCTATTTACTGGCTTAATGGGCAGACATTGGACCAGGCAGTGGACAGACCATGGAGAGGGCATGAATGCAGGGACTAGAGCTGGACCACCCAGGTCACAGCCAGGGGCTTGCTCTTCACTTGGGAAGACCATGCTCTGACCTGCGGCTGGCAAGAGGTTATTTATAAAACTGTAACAATATGTGCATGGACATGAAAAGGAAGAAAAGCATTCATTCCTGATTACCCCTTTTTATCTGATGGGAGGAACCAGGAGACACCGGCTCCAGGTGAGAGGCCTTTCTGGCTGCTCCATCCTGCCCTCCGGGGGTGTGGGCTTGGACAGAAGGAATCAGAAAGCATGGACACAGCGTAGCTTTACTCTTCCATATCCCCCTTGTCTTCTGAGGGGAGGCTCTGGCTTTACAATGGGCCTCTCGAGGGATCCCCACTTTATCCCTGCTATTCTCACCTTCTCCCTTTTCTTTGTCTCATGTGACTTAAGACATGCCAGGCACAATTAAGAGATGTGTATTAGCTGAATCTCTAGGTCTAGGTCCTCATGGTTGGGGCACACTTCCTGTGATGCCTAAAGTAGAACATTTTTCAAAATAATAATGCATGAAAATTCATTTAAGCTCTGCAAAAACACTGAACCTCCCTATCGTTTTCTGCAGCCTGGGAATGACTGGCAGCCTGGGGACAGTTTGCTAACTAGGCAGCAAAGCTCAGAGAGGATGCGATATTAGAGGTGGACTTGAGACCAGAACCCACAAGTGAGTGGCGTTGAGCAGTGAACCCCTTCTCTCCTCAGAGCCTGGGAAAGACCCCTCCCACCGCAGGAGTCACCCCAAAGACAGGCAGGTACCCATCTGCTTACTCAGTGCAAGCTCTTTAAGCTCCGGAAGACTGGCAGCGGCACAGAGTTGGTAGAAGATGTGGTAATTCCTCTCATCATCTGCCTGAAGAAGGAAAAAAAGTCCAGCAGTTTTAGGGCTGTTATATTCCCCCCACCCCAGGATTATGCTCTCACCTCGTCTATTCCCACTGGGTGACAGAGGTCTCGGTTTTTCCTGACCTCTGTCCCCTTCATTTCCCACCTCTGGATTTTTCCATCTACCATCTAAGGGGGCCTTCTTCCAACCTGAGGCATTTTATCTTCTACACAAAAATGTGTATTTCTTTTTCTTCCTATGAAGAAGACAGCTGCTAGTCCACAAGTGGGTCACCTAGCCCACAGACACTTGTTCCGACATCCATGCTGCCTGGCTCATGTTGCAGATTGTGAGTTCCCTGCTGAAGGCTCGCTTTCTCCTCTGGGAGGCGAGATTGTACCTTCAGGGATCATTTCTGTAGTTCATTACTCCTCTGAGAGGTCTCAAACTAAGCAGAAGCTACACCCTTTCCAGCACATCAGGCTGGGGGACAGTGAGGAAAGGTAGTGACTGAAGCAGGACTTACAGGGGACACTCAGACCAGTCCTGCCTTCAATTGGCAGAGGAGTAGGGGTGGGGCTGCAGGAGGCCTGAGCAAGGAGAGAAGAGGAAGGCTTGGGGTGGTAAGAGCCTGGCCTGAGCACCCCGCCCAAGGCATCCCTTGCCCAGCTCCGCAGGCTGCTTGCGTGGCTGTGGTGAAATGCGGCATGCAGAGCCGTCAAAACCAACCTGTGAGGTGGAGAGATGGAGGCTGAACAGAAAAAGGGGGACACCACAAGGCTGGTTAAAAGATTCATTAGACGTCTGATAAATAGCAGCATGGACACCGTTGCCACTGAGAACAGGCGGCTGAGGCATTTGGGTATCCTCTGACGGCGGCCGACACGTCAGGGCCAGAAGCCACAGGCCATCACCTGGGCTCAGCGATGGGACTTGGAAAGGAGCTGGAGGAAAACTATTGGGGGGGTCAGGGAAGGGGGACCAGCGTCTCCAAGAGGTCACAGAGTATTTGGGAAGGAGGGAGAGAAAGGTGAGCACAAAGCAATGATGAACTGACAGGTTCAACAGGTGGGCAGGGGAAACACCAGTTACTTGAAAAGAAAACTAAGTAGAAGGCCAAGTAGTTTGTTTTTCTTTCTTTTTTAATATATAACCTACCAACAAGGCTCCTGGGGAGGGCTGACCACAGACCCAGGATGACATTCCCCTAGTCATAAGCCTCTACAATCTGCAAGGAATAGGACTGTCCTGTTCTTCACTGTGTCTTCATGATCTAGCACGTATTAGCTATTTAATATGTTTGTTGATTGACTCTAAAAACAATACCCACAGAAAAATAATACTGGGTAAAAAACTTTCATGCCTGATGACTGCAGCCTGTGAATGAATACTTACTGATGAAAGAGAAGAAAGAACTCAAAGAACAAGAATATTCAATTCCAGGATCAAAAAATGAGCAGCTTTCTGGGTATCAGGACGAGGGCTGGGAGTGAGCATCACGCAGAGAAGAGCACAAAAGGCCCAAGGTCCACAACGCACCTGAAAGACCACTCTGGACTTCTCCAACAGGTAGGTCCTCATGTTGGCCCCAATGATGTGGTACCTTTTGTCAAAGCCAATCTGAATATACTTCCCGAAACGGCTGCTGTTGTCATTGCGAGTGGTTTTAGCATTTCCAATGGCCTGTGCAGAACAAACAGATCAAACATGTGCAAAACAGGCAGGGGTTTCTTGACCTTAAGATTATGTCTGTGCCATACAGTCAATGAGCCAAGCTGAAACAAAACCAAACTTCACTTCCAACCACCTCTTCGGCTAAGGCAGCCCACTGAAAGTGATGAGTTGACTGGGGGACTCTTTGGAACCAGCTGGAACAGGAGTACCCCACTGTCCTTCCTTTCTTCTTCCTCTTCCCTGTCTGGAACACACATGTGGGGGCTTATGGCACCAGAGTGCTCTTGGGGCCAACAGCGAAAGGGCCAGAGAATCAGACCACTGTGCTGACACCCCTGAACCACTAAGGTGATTATGAGATTTATAAATGAAGCAAGGGAAACAACTTTGTTGCTTATCCACGTATGTATATTCGGTAAAACCAAAGTGGCTTAGAAGTAATAATTTCTGTACTGGGACTGCTTGGTTTATACCAAGCAGTGAGGGACACAGGAAGGAAGCAGCAGCTACACCCAGCAGGACAGGACAGGCTTCCAGGAGTGACAACTGAAGGGGATCTTAAGGGACAAGCTTTCCAGTGGGGAAGGAGAGGGCATTTTCTTGTGAATATAAAGGGGGGTGGAGCGAGAGAGCGCACCGCACTGTGTGGCATGGCTCTGGGGTGTGGGAACAGGAGAAAACAAGAGCGATGAGATCAAGGAGGTGTGCTGGGGGTAGATTTCTGTATGAATAGGTTAAGAATTGTAGGCTTTCTTGTTTCTTTTGCTTAACATAAGTCAACCCCTGAAAATTACACAGCAACTGGTCACACTTGCTATCGATTTTGCTCCCTGTAGCCCCCTTCTTTTTCTGAGGATGGGGAGTGTGTGGCTTCCAGAGTGGTATGCCTGCAGACTCAGTCACCCTAAAATACTATATGACCCCTCTTCCTGGACTTGGGGTCTGTCTCTGCTCTAACAGCCTCCTGATTACCAACATCCTTTTAATCAGCACAGACTTGTGAACAAATCACTCCCCAGATGCTGACAAGCTCTTACACAGAATGGGGTCAGAGGGCTCTGCAGCTGACAATAAATCATCCCAACTCATCCCAGTCACTGCACCCCACCCTCAAGTCGCCATTAATTCAAACAACTGCCATGTAGGGTGCCCCCTGGGACCTCAGCCTCCTCAGTGCCCAGCTCCCCGTGGGAGGGCTGCTGTTGCTGGGCTGCGGAAATAATGAGCTGATGACATGACCATAAGTGATAGCTTCACTGGGAGGTGGCATCCTGCCCCAGGACAGGGCAGGGGAATGAGTAACCAGCTGTCCCCGGATCAAGACCTGCCCTGTGTGGGTTATAAACTCTGAGGAGCCACAAGGCAGACAAGCCTTCCTGGCACAACAGCCCCTTGCACCTGGGCTCTGAATTCAAGAGCATTTGTGTTTAGATCATGCAAAAGCCACTCTTGCTCTGCTTGGTAATGCTCGTTTTAATCCTACCCTGGCTACAATTCTTCCTTTCCAAGTTCATGTTAAAGATTTCTCTCAAATATAACACCTAATAGCAGCTCAAGGGACAGTCACTCTGATGACGAAATTCTGTATTTAATAGAATGAGCCCCCAGACCTATCCATGCTATTTCCAAAGAACCTATTTGCACAAGGCAGAAATTTGACCTTTTGAGCCCAAACCACAGTAGCATTTATTTACATGACATCATGCAAAATTGAGATAAACTGGTCACACATACAGTCCTCCAGCTTGAGACCTTAACTGCCAAAGCCACATCTCATGTGTTTTGGGCTGTGTGTGGGGCTTGGACATTTTCCCCACATTAAAGCACCCTGCCTCCACCAGCCAGAGTGGACACTGTAAACAATGGTCATTTTGGACAACCGTCACTTAAGTGTTTTCCAAAGCAGAGACTAAACTGATAATTGCACAGTAGCATTATTCACAGTAGTGACAAGGTGGAAACTACCCCAGTGTCCATTCACAGAGAACTGGGTAAACAAAATGTAGCCACACAGTAAAATATTACCTAACCCCAGATAGAAACCAAGTACCAACACATTCTACAATGTGCATGAATTCTGAAAACATGCTAAATGAAATAAATCAGGCACAAAATGACAAATGTAGGATTTCACTTACACGAGTTTCCTAAAAGAGGCACATTCCCACCAGGAGGTGGAGAGTCAGTCTTTAGCAGACATAGAGGTTCTATTTGGGAAGATGAAAACATCCTGGAAATGGGCAGGGATGATTCTTACACAACATTGTGAATGCACTTAATGCCTCTGAACTGTACACTGAAAATGCTTAAAATGGTTAATTTTATATAACGTATGTTTTACCACAATAAAACAGTAAAATTTTATAGCTCACTCCCCTTGTCTCGCATGTGTTAAATAACACAGTGATCTGTCTTCACTAAATCCCCAGCTTGCCTAACGATGACTTTGTATGGCCACAAGAGATCAAACAATTTCTCCCTTTCACTGTTTTACCCAGAATAATTAATCACTTTTTCCAAAGAGGAGATATTTTGTGCCTGTGAAGTCTTACTGCCTAAACGATGAACTGAATTTTCAAACTCAGGGCCACGGAAATGTTGAAAGCCTGGTTTTAGTTCCATTTGAGGTGAAATCTGATGCTGATTATGGAGTGCTCTCTTAACTGTTCCAATTTAGTGTCAGTCCAAGGAAGACCAAGGCCAAGTCCATGATCACCTTCAGAACTGGATCCAGGGCCAGGAGGCCACCACCTTGGGTCTTAGAATAAACTATGGGCACATAGGCTACCACCTAAATAAATGTCTAGCAATCAGAGTTAAGCAAATTATGATAAAACCATGAATTATTATGCGTTTTCAGCCAATAAGACAATTCATTAAAAGTTTAATGATATAGAGACAAAGCTTAAAATATGATATTCAGTAGAAAAGCTGGAAAAATAAATACCAAAATTGGAGTGATTATTAGCTGACTGTAGGATTAAAGGGCATTGTTTCCATGCATTCTTTTACATTTTTCAGGAAGCCCTTAAATTTTTTTTCCAAATCAGTTAATGGTTCGCAAACTGGGGTCCCCAACTAGGAATTCATAAAAAATTTAAATTCTTGGGCTCTTTCCCAACCCTTCCAAATTAGAAACTCTAGGGGTGGGATCAGCAATCTGCTTTAACAAGTACTCCAGGCCACTGGGTGCTCAGGACTCAAGCTTAGAAATGATTGTAGTAGAAACAAAGTTTTTCCTTTGTTATCTGTTTGGTAGGGAAACTTTGGTGTCCTCTAATTCTCAGTGATGATATGGCACTGATACTCAGCAGGAGATAAAATTCTCCAGATAATGCAACTCTGTAGGTAGAGGATTTTGTGGCATCATCAACAAATTCCTGTGGAGACTCAGAATTTACTCATAACATACTATATTACAGTGCAATATCACTTCCATACATATAAAATAAGAACACAAATTAGTAATTCTACCTTAGAATTATAATAAAAAGAATATACTCCTGCAATAGGTAAAGGAGGAAGAGGGGGTCCTGGGGAGGTCCGGGCAGATAGTTCCCCAACCAGCAGCTGAGTAATCACAAAGAGCAAACACAATGGTGACTTGTGTCTTCATGGGGGTGGGGGTGTCCCCTCAGGGCTATGCAGATTTGCTGCTATCTTGGCAGGATTTGGATACAACAGAATTACTTAAAAAAACAGAGGGGCTGTCCAGGGCTGGCAGAAGGGCCAGACTATAACCTGGTTGATAAGGAAGCACCTCAGTGTCAAAGGCATGGGAAAAAGCTAAGCCAGGGACTGTGCTGACATTAAGTTCTATTCCATGAGAATCCAGTTTTGTACAGAGGAAAGGGAGGAAAAGAAATGTAGCTCTGGTCCTCGAACATGATTTACAATAGCAGACCTAAGTGTTAGGAACTGTGACCCTGTGTTTGTATCAACTGCTCTGAGTCCTGGGATCCTGGGCAAAGAAAAAAGCCAGGACCTGCCCTGGCCAGTTGATGCCATCACAGGTAACTGTTTCCTGGAGGTCTTCAAAGATTCTGCCATCACATCCTTTTGGCCTTTACTGACTTCCCCTCAAAGACAAAATGTTCCAATATTTGGGGGGAAGTGGAGAATAAGGTATCATCTACCTTGGCTCCTCCACCCCATGAGAACTGCCCGCCAACTCGGCAGGCCTTCAAAGCATGGATGGTTTTGGCAGAGCACTCATTTGCTGACACACAGTGGCAATGGCGGAGGGTGTCGGTGGTGAGGGGGTACAGGCAGGGCTGTCACTACAGCATTTGGCAGAGTGAAGGGACAAGGAGAACCTCAAAAGGACAGTCTACCCAATACTGGGACCTTAAAGATGCTGCCAGGTTTAGATTATTCCCAAACCTGTGGTCTTAGGGGAACCTTCATAATTTTTTCCGTACAGTTGACAATGGGCTCTTGGAAAGGCGTGATGCCGAACATGGGAGCCGATCCTTGTCATCAGCCACACAAAGCTGTGCACCCAGCAGACCTACAACCAGGAAGGCCAAGGATGTCTGGAAGGCTTTACCTCCATGATGGGACTGGATGCCAGGACCTTCTCTTCTATGTTGGTGTCACTGGCTGAGCCACCAACTGTGGCAAAATAGCGCATGGCGTACTTGGCTGACACGGTCTTGCCCGCTCCCGACTCCCCGCTGACGATGATGGACTGGTTCTTCTCATCTCTAGAAGGGAAAAGGCTCTGGTTAGTCACTGGCCATGGAAAGGCTCTTCTGGGGCTGCTGACAAGGGCTAGGCCCAATCAGGAACATCCCTCCTCCCTTTAGGGTGAATGTGAGGGGCCAGCATAAAACAGTCCACCCTCCCTCCATGAGGGCACGAGATCTGAAAGTGGAGAGAAAGAAAGGAGTGGTGAACCCCAAGAAAGGGAGATGCAGCCACTCTCCCAAGTTCTCTCTGGATACAGCCCCCTAGATCATCCCCATACATGTATATGTACATGTATGCACACACATGTTTAAATGCCCACATGTATACCCATGCATATATGTATACACTGGTATATATGCATACACGTATCTATGTGTTACACCTGTTTATATTATACACACATATTTGCCTCTGAGAATCTACACGTAAGCATTGATACATGCTACCTTCTGTGTCTGCGTAAGTTATACTTTTCTCAAGAACAAGGATACTTTCTCATCTTGTGTTTTGATCCAGCATGTCAGCAGACAGTCTAGAACACTTCTGTGTGTGCAGGTATATCACAGCCTTTCCAAGGTCAGGCTGATCTTGTCTCAAGTTTTCCAGAAATTAGATAAAATAGCTATCCATTGCATAAGACTAAATGGAAGATAAAAAGACACTCCCCATCAGATGAAAATGCACCCCTACTTCTCCCTTCAACAGGGACAGCAGGAAGAGAGACAAGGAGTGAAAAGAGCAGCCTAGCAGGTCTCCCATGGACACAGCTGCTCGAGCAGGGAGTGAGAACATAGGGCTGGGCCTCAGGAGTGGGAGGTGGACGGCTGGGCAGGGCCGCACGGCCGTCTACCTGCAGGCCGTCTATTCTGCTTCCCATCTCCAGCGCCCCGAACAGCACCTGGCACAGAGCTTCACTCAGTGCGGTTTCTTGGATTAGAAACAAGAAGGGGGCAGCAGTCCCCTTCTTTTCCAGATGAGAAGTGTGAAGGTAGGTTCAGAACACAGGTCTCCTGGTGCCAGAGCTTCTCCATCTTTCCCTCCCCCGCCCCCATGCCTTCTCCCTGTCAGTGGCACCTGCCTCCACTCACTGACTCCAGGCAGAAACCTAAGTCAGAGTAGCTTCTTCCTTGCCCCACGCCCTACATCAGTGCACCCACTGAATCCGTGTCCCACTAGCGTCAGCGCTCTTCTCTGCGCCTCTTAGTCTCAGCCATCACCATCACCGGACACACCTGACAACAGCAGCTTTCTACCTTCTACTCTCCTCCTCCTACAATACGACCTTCCTATGTGAACATCCATGAACACGCAATCACACCTCCGCCCCGCGTTAAGCCTTCCAGCAGCAACCCAGCTCCTCTGTGTTCACGGTTCCAGGGTCCAACACCTCTTCCCAGGTGTAAGCAAACAAACTCTTCATTCACTACGTCCAGGCCACACAGGACTTCTCTCCTGACTCCTTCCTACTTTACAGGTGCTGATGCTGTTCTAGTTCAAAGTGGTTTTCCTTTCTTTGATCTCACAACTCTGAGTGCCTGGTACTCAATCATCCTGCCTTACGGCAGCTCAAGTATAACCAGTGTCTAGTGTAATTAATTAACCACCTATTTACAGCAGGCTCCAATGATTTACAAAACTCTTAAGCCATGCACCATCTGCTGAGGATTCACAAGGCTGCCGGGTGCCAGGCTTTTCATTTTAAAGATGATAAAAGTGAAGTTTGGAAAGGTCAAGTGACAGGCTGGAGTTGTTGCAACCGAGACCGTGAGCCTGCACTTGAACCAGGCCCCGTGTTCCCGCACAATTTCCCACCGGGCTGTGCCATGCTGTCTCTATGTTGTCATCACACCCTTCTTGTATACTAAAGCTCTCACCGCTGAATCCCCCTGCCAAATCTAGCCTCAGTACGAGAGATTAGCTATAAGTCAGGAACCTCCTCAGCTGCAACAGCACTTCTTTTTGACCACCCCACCTTCAAAGCACTTGCTACACAACTGATCAATATTTTCCTCACCTACTAAGTGCCCCTTCCCCTTGCTTCCCCCACTAGAAGAACATAAGGCCCTGAAGGCCCAACTCAGGTGCCGGGGCTTGAATTGGCAGCCAGCACTGAACTGTCAAGGGGAGAGCCCTAGCAAGGGCTGGCACTTACAGTGGCTCACACAGGCTGAGCACGGGGTCCAGTGCCCCCTATAGATGTACAATTTATTGCCTACAAATCTGAGCTTGGTGGTCTGTGTCCCACACTTGCCCATGAGAAAAGAGCTGATGAGGGGCCAGGGCCTCACATACAACTCTCTATCTCTGAACTGGGCATCCCGTAAGCGAGGGGAACAACGTGTGCTGAAGTCAAACCTCTGACATACACCTCAGTTGCTAGGAGGAGACAGGGGCAGCCTGGCTAAGGCACGGGAGGAAGGACAGCTACGACTGAACACATCATTAAGCCCTCCGTCGTTTGCTCCTCTAGTGACAAGTCATCTGGAAATTTGGGTGTGTTGGTAGAATAGAGTCTGTTCACTAATGGGATAATCAATCTACTGTTTCTTGCCTGTCTACATCTGTCTTGTCTCTAATTATATTTTCAACACCATTGTCACAACATAGATCATGTATTTCTTTTTTTTAAAAGACTACACTGGAGAATGAGGACAAAAGGAAGTTTTAATTATCAAAGATATATGTCAGTACCACGGACAGAGCTGATAATTCAGAGACTAACTAGGAAAATATAATTAAAACGAATCTTACACAAATAATGCTGACTTAAAAAATGAAAGCATTATATATGGCAGGACATTATCCTCAGAAATTTAGTAAGAACCACCATGATACTTAGGAATATAAACACGGCAATATTAATACAAAACTTATTGGAACGCCATTAAAAGTATGGGGAGGACAGATTGGAGAAGAGTTAGGTAAAGTCTCATGGAGGGCCAAGTCAGACCAGGAGAATAAAATGGGGTCCTGTGTGGCAGGAAGAACAATGTAGAGGACAGAGACAGATTTGGGTGGAGGCTAAATTAGGTGAGAGGGATATAGAAAATTATGGGGAGGGCCTCCCCGGTGGCGCAGCAGTTGAGCACTGGGTTGCGAAGCTGCCCACAGCCTCTGCAGCGCCGGTTCAATCTCCGGCCACCGGGCGAGGGTCCCACATGGCGCGACAGACCTCTCCTGCCACGCCTGCTGCTCCCCTCAGCAGTGTATTTCATCAGTCTGCCTGTTCTGCTCCCCGCTCTGCCTCTGGTCAATTCTCTCACCCTCCCGCGTTTCTGACTGTACCCAGTGCTTGTAAAAATAAATCTTTAAAAAAAAATTATGGGGAGGCAGATTTGGGCTTTAACAATCAAACAATTACAAAGGTATAAAAGTAAAGGTTTCCTCCCTTTGGGGGCACCAAAGAGAACATTTCTGCTTTGAGAAGGGGCTGAGTTAGAAAATACTATGTGAGAGATTCTATGACTCCTTCCAACAAGAAAGCCAAAGTGGGAAGCAGGATGTACATCCCGGGCACCTTGTGAGGGCCCCCCCAGGTCCAGTGCCCAAGGGCTGCATGTGTGGGGAGGCACATGGGCATCCCTGAGTGCCTCTGCCATCAGGAGTCACACCCTCCCCCGCCTCAGGTAGAGCTGTGTGCTCAGGCACAATCCAGAACTCAACAAGCCATTCAGGAAAACTGTCATAAATATTCATTGGGAACTGCTTAATTGGTATTTAGCAGCGAGTCCTAAGTGTCTACTTGGTAAGATGAAATCGAACCTTCTGACAGTGCAGGAGATAAGCATTCACTGCATTTTATATCTAAGTATCATTTTCCCACTTCAGTTTCACAGCGGCCCTCAGAGTGCTGGGTTCTATTTATAAACCTCGGAGGTATAGCTTGATACACGTAGCAGCAAAATGAATCCATCTCTTCCACTTACTTGCTGCTCTCGAGAGAGAGACAATCTCCTGAGAGGTGACAGCATCACAGAAAGAACTTCAGGGAGTTCCACCCAGCCCACCCTCACTGTCAGGCAAGCAGGGGAGACTGCGAGGAAAACTGGAGGGGTAGGAGGCTCCTTGGTGTGAATGCAAGTGGACTACCCATTGTTCTTAAGATAAGACAATAGGAAATGATCCCATGACCTCCTGCTACTTCTGCATTCTGGGAGTCCAGCTCCAGGCTGCAGTGGAGCTATGTGATGCATTCCACACCAATCACAGGTATGGCTAGTGTAAGACACACACTTTGGGACTCAAGAGGCCTGTGTGTTTGGGGATGGGCAATGGTGGAATGTTTTCTGTGATTTTACACTAATGGGCTAGTTTTGGTCAATGTCATTATTAGTTGGGGGTAAACAATGATCCATGCATACAATCTCTCTACTGTAGAGCACCAAATACTTATCAAACTATTTCATTTGGTTCTGGAAATCATTTTGCAGTGAAGGAAAACATCTGAGAAGACACATTTAAGAATTTATCTCCCTCTTTTCTCCCTGAGTTGTACATTTCCTTCCTTCCCTTTTCCTTGTAAATAAACCTTTTGTTAACCTTTAAAAAATAAAATAAAATATATATTGCCAGAAAAAAATTAATTAATTTAAAAAAAAGAAAATACAACCAATGGCTTTTTTGTCAGTAATTCACCTGCCATTTCAAGTCATGTGCTTCTGTAGCTCATTCTAAAGTCTACCCCCTTTATACTGCACGGTCTGTCCCCCAAGCTGCCAGTAAGATACACGGTCTTTTATAGATATTGCTTCATCCATTCATCTTTTAAATTTGCAGCATCCCTGAAGTTCAATTTCACCATCTCCTCTCCTCCAGCCTGCAGCTATGGCAAGTATAACTGCCACCTTCTAACAAGAATTGATCTCCCCAACCCAGATCTCTCCTGAGGTCAACATACATATGCAAACTGACCCCCGGACAACTACATGTAAAGGCTGAACAGGCGCCCCAAAGCCCACATGTCCAACATGGATTTCTCCAGCTCGCCACGCTGCCTTCTGGAGTGGAAGGATTG